GAGTGTCTATGGGCGGCAGTAAACACTTACCACCAGGTGAGCGGCAAGTTCATTTGCCCCCAATTTTATTAAAAAAATAATAATATATAACCTATATATCAACTAATTAAAAAAATGGTTAAACTTATAGACATTTATTATATTACGAGTATCTATGCGTCATAGCACCCAATACATGAACGGTTTTCAATGATTTTTAAGTTTGTTAGCTATATTTCGTGGAAATGATAGAATCAGCTGTTTTAATTATAGGCTTCTCATTAAATATTGTAATTTGTATATCGAATTTATACCTTAATTGTGTAAAAGCATAGAGTTATTATCAATGTTTTCCATTACTTACAAATAAATTATTTATTAACAATAAAAACTTTCTTAGAAATTAGGTAAGTCATTACCTTAGTTACATTAATAGTTTAGTGGCATCAAAAATAAAGGAAGAAACATAATATCATTCTATGTGTATTTATTAAAATGCATATATATGTACATATTTACTAACACTTAAAGCTATATTTATCTTAACAAGTCTGAAACTCGTTAAATTCAATACAGCGAAAGAGCTGTGGGGAAGTTTTGATGTTGTTCCGCGAACTTCAGAATGATATAAAATATTGATCTTTAAAGCTTTTATTATATCGAACCTTCTCTAACTTCAGCTTCTGGCATTAAACGCAATATTAGAAAATATTTTTCATGAAGCAGCTATAAATATACCCATACTATTAGATATATGAAATATAAAAGTACTTAAGTAACTTCAGAAAATAAAAGTAATAATTTAACAGACAATAAAGAAGCTCCGAGATACTTAATTTACGTAAGAAAACTATCAAGGGCTGATGCCAGAAATTGATTTTTTTCTATACCATAAAATTGACAAACAAATACACATTCCGTTTGATTGTAAACGGTTACGTATTCTTCAAGAAGGGTGTGTTATGATACCTTCAGGGTAACGTGCCCGTGAAATCCCTGGTGTTATAAGCGTTCATAGACTACAGGGACCGTTTACCATCAGACAGGCTGTATACTTGCCATCTTCGAGTATAACAAAAATTAATTGCATATTAGTATATATTGCCGAAATCTTTGTAGATTTATGAAAAATCTGACGGTGGCAGTATCACGTGGAATGTCCGTTTCGAAATTTTTTTTTAATTCAACTCTTGAAATGAACTACTTTCATGCCACCAGTTAATAGGCTGTTCAGTGTCCGTGAATGTTTTAGGTATCCTGTATTGTAAGTACTAGACAACAACAAACACGCAAACCAGCAAACCCAAACACATAGGCATGAAATATTTGCACTGCGCCAGGATCGAACCAGCAACCTTTCGAAAATAAATCAGTGTATTAAACCGCTACGCCACGTAAATTATCAAACCTATATCCGATTTAAATTAATAAATAATTAATAAACTAGATAGATATCATATAATGAGTATACTTACACAATAGCAATAATACATAAAACGAAGGAAAAGAAGTTTTTTATGAACCATTGGGACTTCATCCGTATTTCCGTTGCCAACTAATAGAACGACAGAACAATGCTACGTGTACCTTCAGTAGGTATAATAAAAATGATACGCTGTTTGAACAATCATCCACTCGTCGCCCACCCCTGGGAACCGGCGGCGAAAAAGGAACGCCAAATTTTACGTGATATGAACGTATAATAAATATCTAGAATAATAGGATTTACTGAATACTTTATTATGAACCATATAGGCGCACTCACGTATTGTTAAGAATTGTGTATGTCAGTATATAAAAATCATGTCACGATGTTCCTTCACACTTATTTCTGACACCGTAAAACTGATTTTAATGAAATTTTTTAATGTGAATTATTTAACTTAAATGTATTTTTTTGTCCTGACAAAAACATGGGCACGATAGATGGCGGTAACAGATAAAACAACGTATACCGGGTCGACTAATGGTATATAGGTTCTTTAATTGAAACTTCTAGTACGTACTACACCATCAAGGGATCGTTCGTAATGGGGTCAAACCGCCCCACTGCTAGCAATATACCCTATCAGGTCGACCTCCACACGGTTACCGCTGAAAACCATCGTGGTGAATTCTTGTTGAATTTGTCGCGATAGGTCAACTGCCTTACTTTCATCCTCACCTGTCATCACTCACTGGTGCCCCGCCAGCGTATATCGATAGCGCAGGCGGAACTACTATTCCATTATCATTTATTCAATAAATACTACATCATATTATATTAGACACATGAACAGGAACAACTTGTTGATTACCATATGTGATAGCAGATCCAATAAATTCCTTGAAAGAATCCATTCATTCATATCAGCTGTTAACAATCCATTCCTAAACATACCTCTTGGGGGGAAAGGGATTGTAAGTAATGAAATTTGACAGCCCAATTGCTAGCAATATGCCCTATTAGGTCGACCTCCACGTGGTTCCCCCTGGAAACCGTCGTGAACAATTCTTGTTGAATTCGTCACGATGGGCTAACTGACCTACTCCATCCTCACCTATCATCCTTCACTGGTGCCCCGCCGGTGTATACCGATAGCGCGGGTGGGGTTACCATTCCATTATCACCCATTAAAAAAAAAACAGGCCTCCACCTTAAACGGTTTTACCAGTAGTTTCTTAGCAGGCAAATCGACAAGTGCAATTATACTTATGATGTTTTTTTTTTTAATTGTGGTGATGTTTTAAGAGAAACGCAGTTGTCCACCCCTCGATCTTTAAATTTACTTAGTCCCTTTCCCTGAAGACACCCATGGGAACCCATTCTTTATCGGGACCACACGACTTAGAAGCATGGAAAGGATCCATGTAGACGGAGAAATATAAACAATATATTCATATAATTTAAGGTTAAACATATTTCATTAAAAAAAGTCGATTCTCATTGTAATATTTTTCTAATAGCTATGGAGTTACAATATCGTAGATCGAACGTAGCAATTGTATTACTTGTTCAAGTTATTATTTTAAACAGGATAGTTAGACAAGGTATAAATGTTTACACAAGACTACAATGTGATACCTTAAGCAGATACCGCAGATAGCACGTGATAAGAACCTATGTGTAAAAAAAGTACACATTCTCAGTGCGATATTTTTTTTTATTTATCCAAATTAGCAATTTAAAAATAAAACAGTCTAACCCTTATTTATAAAAAAATAAAACCTACAAACCTATTTTAATTATTACACTGTATTGTTACTTTTTTTTTAAATTCGGAACTTAATATACTAAAAGTGTAGCTAGAAAATCCAAATAACTTAGTGTAAAAGACAAAATAGTTTAATAGCTAAATTAGATTTTTGAAAGGTTTAACGATTTTATGAATAAGTTGGCAAAAAGTAAAACCAAATATATGTTTAATCTATGCACTGTTATATCGACAAAAAACACATGTTACTAAATTTTTTTACTAATTTTAAAACCTCTTATAATTAGGTACTGTACTGTAGGTATATCAATTTAATTCTCGTATGGAACTTTGTTAGTTCCTTGAGGAGGTTCGATATCCAACATTATTCCCAAAGGCGTTGTACTGACCTGATTTTTTTTCACTTTACCCTAATGAGAACAGTATGTAAGATTTATTACATTAAGTCCCTGCTGTGCACTGCGATATCGTTAAATTCTATTGGTGTAGGTACCTACTTAGCCATAGACGTCACATTTATTTAAAGAATAGACGATACCAAAACATATATATAAAAATACATTAAGTTTGTATTCCACGAAGAGAAACCAACTTCATTGTAAAAAAAAAGTTATTTTGATTTCAGAACTACAAAACCAGATTTTAATAAAAAACTATGGGAAGGGAAAGAATATGTAAGTATATTCTTTCAGATAAAAAAGAATTTTTCAAATTGGTTTATAACTAACGGATTTGTGCATTAATTAAAAAAATACAACCCAATTGTAAACCTACTTCTTTTAGAAGTCGATTAAAAAAAATATTTTATTTTGAAATTTTAAACTCGTCTGTATCTAAAGTAAACCATTTTAAATAGTTCACAGTTCAGATTATAGTTCTCGTTTAACTTTTTTTTTTTTTTGCGACTATGTTACGCAATTATATATCCGATATTTGATTACAATTGTTTTGTTCAATTCCGCTACCATTAGTATGTGTGCGATTGCCAACCTACCAGAAGTCCTACAACCTTCCATTTCTGTCATCAATTTCTGACTGCCATTTGGTCCACGCACATGTTGCGACACGCGTTTACATCCAAACGAGATTTTTTTATACAACTTAGAATGGCAAACAAGCTGACGGCCCACCTGACGGAAAGTGGTAACCGTCGCCTATAGACATGAGCTAGATAATTTATAATAATTTAATTAGAAGCCTAATGTTAGCCGTTTGGCACTCATACTGCCAGTTTGAGTGCAACAAAAATAATTCTAATCAAATAACCGATATGGAATTTCGCAAAATATGACATAATTCAGTAGAATATTAGCAACTATATCTACCTTGGTCGAAATGTCAAGCCAACCGTTCATCGTGACTATTTTCTTCATTCATTTTTAAGTGTCGTTTTGTCTAATTGTCGTTATAATTTCAAATATTTTTATTACGATATTTTACTCAGTGCCTACAGTTTATTTAAAAATATCTTATTTAGATATATTTTAAAGGAATTTGTGCAATTTTCATACCCTTATTTTACGGAGGTAGTTTTATTGCAAACATGTGTACCATGCCTAATTCTGCTCTGAATATTGTTCTATTATAAGTAGCAATAGTGCTATATAATCAATGGCCCTAAAACAGACAAAGTAGCTTAATTAGAAAGAAGCCATCCACTTCGTCTCTAAATATTATTAAGTCGCTATCCACGTCTATTTCCCCATTTACTTTTCCAAAGCACGCAAATGATTCGAATTTCGCTGTCATTCTGATATTTATTTCAGAAGACTCGTTGATTTGAATGGCGTAACGCCAGTTTAGGATAAATACATTAAAAAACACACGATAACTACTAAATTTTTAATCGTATCCAACAAATTATTACTAAGCGACATTCTTAAACTCAATCTTAATTAAAACATAATGGCTAAAACATTTCATAACTTATCATTTTATACGTCAGATACAAAAATATGTATATAATTATAACAACCGAAAATGCCACACATTTCACTGTGATCAATTAATGATTAGAAACGAAAATATGTTCAGCGTTCAATGTCCAATACCACAGCTGGTATCTATACAATTGTCACAAATTGGTGTCGTAGGGGCTTGCAATATGAAGCCACGTGTACAGATCACTGCTTCTGCTTGAAAGCCTGTAAACAAATAATTACTTTCACTTACCTTACACATATTACAAATATAAAAGAGAGTTTAATTATTTTTATTACTTATTAAGTATTTAACGACTATACAGTAGAATCTCGGTTATCCGAAGATCGATTATACGAATATTCGATTATCCGGACTTAAACTTCACGGCTTTAATTACCGATTTAGAAATGGTAATATGTATTGAGTAAAAAGATTTTATGTACGCCCATTATCTTTATAGTTCGTAATATTTTATATCGTATTGTTTAAATAACATATACTATGTAAAATCTTTTACATAAATATTAAAATGTTATTATCATTTGATTGACTTTAAAAACGATTATCCGGATTTTCGATTATATGGAATATCCCTGATCATATTTGATTCGGATAATCGAGATTCGACTGTAGTCTGTATCAATATACCTAATGAATAAAAGAACAGTAGTATTAAAATTAAAATAGTAATAAAATTTCGCAAAAATTATCACAGAAACACTCTAAATGAAATTAATGACGTATCGAAACATTCAAATTTACATTAAATTTATTTATCAATATATGCAATTAAAACTGACTATACTACTATGTGGAATGATCAAAGACAAAGGCTAGTTTTCATACCGGTCAATCAGTATATTGGTCACGAGAACCAAGTCGCGAATAAAGACTAACTATTAATAACGACAAAATATAGCGTAAAATTCTTTTACGAAACAAAAGCCCTACCATGAAATATTTTCTGAAATTTTAGGACCGAACGAAACAAATTTGATGTTAAAATTACATGATACATATCATTTAAAAATGTTAAAATATCGTTCTTCTGGACATTTATAGGAGTAGGATTTATGACGAACGAAATGTTAAACTCTTTTTACTAAGTTAAGGTCGATTTCGGTATGAACAAATACACAAAATTAAGTCCGGAAATTCGCAATTTCATTTCATGGTAAACCCTCACGATAAACAACTCTATTTTCAAATTGAAGGTATGGATAAACGGAATGAACTTTTTGTTCTTGCAAACCGCAAGAATCATATAATGTCATAAACAAATGATAAGTGAAGTTGAAACTATTAATTAAATCAATAATTAAGACATTTCTCAACAAATTTCATAAATCGATCATTAACTATGGGTCAGGTTAATGTTATGTACTAATTAGTTAATTTAAATATATTAAAACTAATAGTATTTGTGATTATTAAAATCAAGTAGACGAAAAGAAATAAAAAATAAAAGCAAATGAATCGACTAAAACTGGCATGGTAACTTCGCCTGCGCTGTCGGGATATCAGTGAATCATAATAGATGACAGATGGATCTCTGCATAAATCAGATATCTTTTGTGGTAGGCAGAAGAGATCGAGTGCTGATTCATATTTAATAGAGAAAAATAAACTCCCGAATTTATTGCCCATTTATAGCATGTAACATAACAAACATTAAGAAATATTTTTTTATGGATACCTATAGGTTGTCTCTACTGTGTAATGAAGTTTAAGTATAAAACTTACCGAAGCTAAATTTTAAGTATCACTCTTCCAAAGTTTGATAGTTTTGTCATTTTCCAGAGCGGCCGATGCTATAATGTTTTCAGTGGGGTGGCAAGCAGTGCAAAGTACAGTATCCGTATGTCCTGAGAGCCGTTGTACTATTTCTTTTGACTGGAGATTCCATATGTAGACCAAATTGTCTTCTGAACCTGATACTATCCACTGCAAACAAGAAAAAATGTGTTATGAAATGATGTTAAAAATACACTATACTATGTCAATACTCATATTATATATACATAATATTTTTAATTGTAAATAATCCTTATATTATATAGCAGATGACAGAAAAATATTAGGAAAATATACCATACAGATTTTATTATATCACTAAAATAATTTTGCTCATCCCCTACATTGTCTGTAAGAGATTGCCTTAGCAATAAACCGCCTTTTGTACCTTTATGTATATATTTTAATTTGTATTTATGTTACTATATTTCACTTGAATTATTCAATTGTCATTGTATGTTTTTGTTTCTGTTACAATTAAGAGTTAAATAAGTAAATAAATTGGATTCCAATGTTTAGAAAAATGTAAGACTATCAAATGTTACCATAAAGGATAAATCATGGATAACGCGGTCTGGGGGCTGCTTGCAGCCCACGTACAATATTAATACAGCCCGCGACAAAATAATTTTAGTAGACAATTAATCCCTAACAACAACACGTTTAAGCTAAATTTAAGTCATAATTTATTTCAAACATAAAAGAGATGGTAATCAGCTGACTTTTTGACTATCAAATATTAATTTATGCATCCATGTGGTAATATCAAAATATGATGAATGGATGCCAATATAAAAATATGATTCTGCATTTCAAGTTACCAAATAAAAGTACAGGGATAGATACAAAGTCCCTCCTGAAATCCATTGGTTAGCTCTAAGTGCGCGGGTTGCGGGAGGGAAAAGTTACGGCAACGGTTATGGCGCAGCCGCAGTAATACCTACACAATTCATTGTCCTATGTAACTCTTGACCAAAAAAGAACATATTTAATGTATTTTTTTTTAAACAATTTGGCAAAATTATCTTGATATTCTCTGGTAATATACAATGCTTTACTGAATATCAAAAGCGTAGCTTTTTTTTTATACAGTTTAGAATGGCAAACAAGCTGACGGCCCACCTGAGGGAAAGTGGTAATCGTCGCCTATAGATATGAACAGTACCATAGACAACAGAGTATACCGTTTCGCCCATAATACCTCCCATGTGTTGCCATTTCTAAGGTCTCGGGTGTTATTCCTCTGTACCCTGTAAATTCACGCCATATCCCACTATTCAAACCGAAAGACAGCCGCGCAAACACAACTGCTTTACGGTTAAAACTGACTTCTGTACAAAGTCTCCCTCCCTCTCTCTGGTAAAGTGTAGCTAGAAAATGTTTATATTTAGTGTGTATCACCATCTCATGGACACTATCATCAAACCTCGTAAACAGAATTACCACATTCTGGTAACACATGTATATTGCAAATTTATGAATTAAAGCAAACATACCTTTCCACCGGTGACACTGAAGTTAGCAAAAATACAATATTTCTCGTTTTTATGGCCAGTGTAGGTCTTAAGGCACTTGCCCCGGCTATAATCCCATAATTTTAATGTGTTGTCTAGAGTAGCAGCTAATATATATTTGCCATTCGGTGAAAACTTTACAAAAGATACTGGAGGATTGTCGTCATCTATTAGTGTCTTCAAACATTGCCCGGATGCTGTATCCCAGATTCGACTAAAAAAAAATAACAAAACATTATGGACTTTTTAATAATCCTATATATTGTGTGAATCAAGATGCTGACCTCTGAAACAAATCGAAATCACATTGTATTTGAAATATCTATTCACATTAATTAGATTCTAATAATGTAGTATCAAAAAATAGGTCAGGCAATCAATAATAGTTTACAACATAGTTTATTTGTAAAATAAACGTTGTATGTATGTATCTGCCATTAACTGTCCACTATTGAACATAGCCTCTCCCATAAGGGGGGTTTTGCCACTCTTGGCAAATGGGTTGGCAACCGCAGTTTGCCTTTTGGTGATGTTTCAAGAGGCATACTGTTGCCCATCCCCCGACCATAAACTCCCTTAGTCGTCTTTTGTCACACCCACGGAAGAGGAAGGAGTAGTCTATTCTATGTCGGGACCTACACAGCTACGTAAACATTAGTTATAGAAATAGTATCTTACCATAAGCCATCATAACTTGAGGATACAATAAGACTTCCATCTCTATTGAAGTGAACTGCCGATACTGGGTCTGAGTGTGCTGGTAAAGTCTTCAAACACTTTCCTGTAAATGTAAAAAAAAAAATATATATATGTTCATCGTTATTTAATAATACCCTACGCATAAAAAATTCAACATAAATCTTCAAAATGTTTACCTGTCCTTACATCCCATATTCGTACACTTTCATCAAAACTGCCAGATACAATAAGATTGCTTTGAGGATTGAAATTACAACAGAACACATAATTGCTATGACCCTTTAGTGTCTTTAAACATTTTCCAGAACTTAATTCCCATACCTGAAAGAGAAAATCAAATATAATAATAATAAAACATTTATTTATTTATACTTGAACAAAAGTGTAGAACATAAATTACAATGAGTTTAAATTACTTATGGTACCCATACACTTACACAACAAACAAGCTAATGCAAGGTGTGGCTTAACGTTAGGAAATTTGGGCTATATATATATATATATATATATATATATATATATATATATATATATATATATATATATATATTAGGTAAAATTAGTACGAACTGATGGGATTGATCTATCAAGGTTCTTAGATAATTTAATATGCCCCTAAACAACATGTAACGTTACGTTAGTTTTACGACCAGGTCGCGTATCATATATAGCTCCATACATGGTTCGGCGTTCGTTAAACCGATACAGGAGCACCTGCGCGGCCTCGCCAACAGACAATAAATACATACTACAGTGAAGTTTATAGCCTGCTTATTTATAGAATACACTATTGTAAAAGTACAGGTGGCTACCCTCATATCACAACGTGTATAAATTAAGCAATTATTAGCACACAAATACTCATTTTTATAACAAGCTAATGGCCTACCCTATATAAAGTTATAACCATCACCTAAAAACATAAATAGCACCATGGACATTCTAAACAGGTTATTGCAGATGGGCATTTTTTTCAAAATTATAGACAACTAACTTTTACTTCGTCCGCGTGACAGGAATATGTTCATAGACCAAGATAAAAAGTCGCCTTTAACTTACTCCATGGCATATAGTATGTGTATACCAAATTTCATAGTAATTGGTTGAACCATTAAATCACTAACAGGTATTTAACAAACAAACTCACTTCCACATTTATAATATTAGTATGTCTTAAACATATGTAATCAAAAGAAATCATTCATCCTTTATAAGTTAACTGTTGTTCACATGTACATTACTTATTCCTTTTATTTTGTTATAAATCTACCTTATCCACTATACAGTTGTTGTTATTCTGTTAGTGGAAAATTACATAAAGTTACTAAAAATATTTATAAGAAACTTATGTGCCTATAAACACTTTTATTGACTGACCTATGGCTTATTTATTTTCCATATTACACTTTATATTCTAAATACATTATCATTATATATATATATATATATATATATATATATATATATATATATATATATATATATATATATATATATATATATATGTATATACTTCAAAATACTTATAATGAATACTAAAAAAGACATTATGTTTAACATTTTAGAAATTATAGGAATGCAAGTTGTTTAAGCTTTTATCACAAAGTATTATCATAGCAAACAGTCTTATCTGAGCAAGAGAAACATGGGAAAATTTTATTTGAAATTATTCATAGTGGCACTCATTTTGACATTGACATTTACTCGTATTTTATTCCAATATAAAATTTTACATAATTAAATATTTATAAACATTAAAAATCCACATATATGTATAATAAGTTCATTATATTTCTATTTATCTTTATCCTGCCATTTAAACTGCTAGTATGTTTATACAAGTCCTCACCATTGACTTTTTAACTCAGGCAATTATATGGTTTGAATTTTATTATGATTCTACAAAAGAGATGCTTTCATGCAAGAAGCATGAGGTAAGACAACCAGAATCTGTCCTGGATATCTATCCATCATCCATATCTTTGTCACTATGTTTAGATATAGTATATTGCAGTAATACAGAAATTATGATAAGGAAAATCAAGATGATGATAAAGATGATCCCAATCCCAATGCAAAATTAATACATCAAATGCACAATTTATTTTATATAGAAATATTCAGAGGATACGGATCATTAGCAATAGCATCTATTGCCCCATTACTATTAACCCTTTCAGAACTGGCGTGCACAATTGTAGACATAAGATATAATTTAAAAAATAAATATTAAACTCTCAAGCTTTCCGATTGAAAAGGGGTTGTATTCGTTTGTTCACTAAAAAACTACTCAATTTAATACTACTTACGCCATTTTTTAGGATATTCTAGCGTTTTTCGACAATTTGCGACTAGTGTCCGTGCGTGATTTGAACTATACAGGTGAGCTTTATATTTTATTTAAAAAAAATTAAATTAGTGCATGAAATCATCTGGAAAAAATATAAACGAATATCTAATATTATTGGGGTTATGTGTAACGTAATATTTGTGTATTTTTTTATTACCTTATATTGGTAATCTCGATTTTTATATTTGTGCTCAATTGTTCCCATCAGGATTTAACTGAGTTTTTCTCATTGTTCACGGTTTTTTACAAAAATATGTTTTGTTTATATTTTTAACGTTTTATTAATCATTTTTGTAAGATAAATATATAAAATGAATTATGATATTGTTTACTTATATTTTCAGATGCAAAAACACCAATATGTCCTCATTGGAGGCGTTACAAGTATGATAAGATGAAGGAGATCTTTCTGACTTATTATTATCATCTGATGACGAAGATAATTATTATGGAGATTCAATTTGTCGAGCAAATTGAATCTAGCAGCTAATGCTAGAATTAGCGCAGATGTCATTTACCAAAACTAAAGGGAGTTTTTTCCACCTGAATTTGATGACAATGAAGGACCTAGCGAATTGTATGACGGCGTCTCTGCTTTACTTTGACAATAATTTTTCATCATAACATTTACTACAAATCCTAAAACAAAAAGGTATTATGGCCGCATGCACAGCTCGTGTTAACAGATTTGTTAAACCACCGTTTTTAAGTGACAAGGTAACAAATAAGAAGCCTAGGAGTTTTTTTCAAGAAGTATGTAGCAGAGACGGAGATGTAACTGATGTAAAGTGGTTGGACAATAAGATTACCCATTTGGCTTCCAATTTTGTTGGTATAGGTGACAAGGACTTAGTAAAGAGATGGTGTAAAAAAAGAAGCGATATATTGAGGTTGCGCGACCTGAGGTCTTAAAGCGCTATAATCATGCAATGGGTGGCGTTAATTTATTAGATCAACTTATGAGCTATTACAGAACATTTATAGAATCAAAAAAATTTACTCTGCGTATGATATTTTATGCATCGGATGTGGGAGTTCTTCAGGCATATCAAGAATACCAAATAGATAACGACTTGTAACGGCACACCTAAAAAGCAAGGACTTACTTTACTTTCGTCGTCGCTTGGCTGACAGTTTGGTGCTACAAGATAAATGTTCTACCACCAAAAGAGGTCGACCAAGTAGCAGTAGTAGCTCAACGATGCAAATTATACCAAGAAGGCCAGGAGAGATTCGTCCTGCAGCTGAAATAACTCGTGACGGTGTTGGGCATTTCCCTAAACATGACGATGGAACTGGGACTAGGTGTAAAATGGTGAGATGCAAGGAAAAATCCCGTGTAAAATGCAAAGTTCATTTATACCTAACCAAAGACAAGAATTGCTTCTTGGCTTTCCACACATAGATAAAGATTTTTTTTTCCTAATTATTGTTCTTACTGTGTTTTTATATTTGTACCAATAACTGATTATGCCAAAAAACTAATAAATGTTTATTTTATCACAAAGAAAAAATTTAACTACGTTAATTCATTTATAATTTTTTAATAAAAATATTTTTAAATTAATATTATTTCATTTCAGAACAACTTCGTATACCTTATTCTTATTACTATGTAGGACGGGAGTCCACATTTGTGCACATTAAGAAAAACTAGATTTTCTCGAAAAATGTAAAGCTAATTTTTTTTTATTTATTTTTTTTATAGTCTCCTTATTATACTTTAGACACATGGAATTTACCAAATCCATCGGATGAAAAAAAATAATTCAGTTCTGAAAGGGTTAATATAGGGTATACTAATAGCAATTGAGCACAGGTTGATTTCCCCAAAAAATTATTGTGGTTAATTATCATTGAATTTGTCACAATGGATCATCTAACCTGCTTTCATCCTCATCTACTATCTCTCATTGGTACCCCAACAGCATATAGTAATAGAACATGCAGGATTCCATTTCCACACATTAAAAAAAATAATAGGTATAAAAGTTATTTCAATAAATTACCTTTAAAGTTTTGTCATCACTAGCACTGACAATCAATCTACTGTCTGAGGACCAGGCCACATCACTGATGCCCATTTTGTGTCCAGATATGGTCTTTTCAAATTTACCATCATAAGCACCCCACACCTTAATAAGTTTATCAGCAGCTGGAAATTAAAATAAATATATAATTAAAGGCTAGTACATAAAATAAAAGTATTAGTTTTTAAAATGGTCAATATCTGATGATATCGTCAGTACTTTATTTGATAATTTAAGTACTAATGTAGTACTTAAATTACACTTGCATTGTTTTAGTATTACTTATGTTTTAAATTGTTTTGTTTTTTTATACAACTTAGAATGGCAAACAAGCTGACGGCCCACCTGATGGAAAGTGGTAACCGTCGCCTATAGACATGAGCAGTACCATGGACATAACAGAGTATACTGTTTCGCCTATGATACTCCCCATGCATTGCCCATGTTCAGCATTGGATGGTTAAAGGGTGATATGATGATGATGATATTATATTAGTTTTTGGAAACTTATTACAGCATCAACAATTCGATTAATATAAAAGAATATAAATAGATAAAAATATACAAGATTGGTTTATACAGATACAACATACTCACATAAATGGTCAAATAAGAGGTTAATGTTATGTGACATGTATGTACGAGGTTTGTCCGGAAAGTACGTATAAAAGTTTTTTAAAAATTTTATTTTACAATAATTCAGGTAAATCAATTTTATCCCCTTCAAAGTACTCCCCCTGTGACATAATGCACTTGTGCCAACGCCGTTTCCACTGTGAGAAGGCTCCTTGAAAGTCCTCTGGTTGTAGGTTTCTCAGCTGCCCCGTCGTAGCTTTTTTTATCTCATTTATGTCCCCCAAATGCCGCCCCCGAAGTACCAATTTGGTTTTTGGGAACAAGAAGAAGTCACACGGGGCCAAATCCGGCGAATAGGGGGTGTTCGGTCACCGTAATGGAATTTTTACTCAAAAACTCACGGACAACAAGAGAGGTGTGGGCAGGGGCATTGTCGTGGTGAAGAATCCAACGCCCCTCTCGCGCCAATTCTGGACGAACTCGTGCCACACGAGCTTTGAGGCGTCTGAGCACATCGACGTAGAATTTTCCATCAACTGTCTGGCCTGGAGGGACGAATTCTTGATGGACAATCCCCCAAACATCGAAAAAAACAATCAACATTGTCTTGACATTTGAGCGGGATTTTCTTGATTTTTTTGTTCGTGGTTCCCCGGATGTCTTCCACTATTTGCTTTCACGGCCATTCTTGCCGAGTTTCGAGAGAAACTTGATTACGACGCGCTGCTCTTCAACGGAAGCGGGCTCCATGCCGACGGGGTTTCGTTAAGAGGTAACTTCACAGATGGCGTGACAAGCCAGTTCGCACCGCACGGCGGTCAGACCAGAACTGAAGCATTGTTAGGGACATAAGGAAGGGGTCCTGCGCTTACCTGGCCTCCCCACTCCTCTTTCTCGCATTCCAGAACACTTTTATACGAACTTTCCGGACAGACCTCGTATGTATTAGAATTGTATTCAAATGTAACCATTTTTTTTTTTATGAAACTTAGATTGGGAAACAAGCTGACACCTCACTTGATATTTATTATAAACAGATGATTATTTGCACATTAATTACTATCACTCATTTTTAATATACTACTTTCTTATAATATGTAATATCAATTACAATGAAGGTAGACACATTTTTTGCCAAGAATTGTAAATTTAAAGAATCACAAATATAAAATATTTATTTTACTTTAATATAAATAACAATACTTTTTGTAACTATGACAAAACAGTTAATTTCATAATTATATCTAACTCATAATTTTTAAACAATCTATAAAAATGGAATCTTAAAATATTATAATCAGCCAACTTTATAAAGTTATCATATAAACTATCAGACAAAAAGCCTTAAACTTTAAATCCTATAAAAAATAAATGCTATAAATAAAAAAACTGATAATATCATAATGAGCCTTGAACAATCTTGTTTGTAAAACCTAAAACAAACTTATAATGTCTGTTTGGCCCAAATTAGCTCAACTCCATGCATTAATTAGTTCATGAAACTTATCTATAAACTGGGGCATTGTAAAATGTTTATCATCTGAAGCAGTAAAATAGAGTAGCACATTTTGATTTTTTAAACATCCAAATTAATTGTAATCTTCAAACAAATAAAGTAATAAAAACCCACTTTGAACCCTGACTTTTAACATAAGGTATATACTACCATAATAATTAGCATATTTCTATTAGTTGCACCATCTGTAATATTTTTACTCAAGATTATCAGTTTATCATGTCATATAGGTGAGTCAAGTTTTTTTTACTGCAGCACGAAAATTTCGCAAATAACGACGACATAACGAAAAAGTAGGATGCTAACAGAATTAATGAACCAGTATCAAATTTGTACTTACACGAACTAGCCAGCCATTCTCCATTGGGACTGAATTTAACGGATGAAACTGCTTTCGTGTGCCCAGCGAGCGTGAATTTCAATGTATAATTCGGCTTCTGCAAAATAATTGCAAAATTAGCGCCAAATCGCACGTGTTCAATACAAAAAGTTAGTTACATAAACATGTGCCGCCCGAAAAGCTCTGAAATATCAACAGGAGGGTGAAAATTACCGCCACTGAAGATTTATTCGATTGTGGGGCACTCTGTGATAAGGAATTGGAGCCGGAAAGATTGGTAGAAGGTCCACCGTGCGTTTGATGTGCAGCAGGATGGCCTGGCCCCGGTCCTAGCGGCACCATGTTTTAACTTTAGACGCACTACGTTTTTCTTTGTTCGTCACCCACTACAGTCACTATTACACAAAGAACAACAATTCAAGTTATAGTTTGGAGGAGATAATCCGCGTAAATTGTGGTTCACTCGCGTTTTTCTATAAATTTCAACATAGATATTCAAAGAACATTCTAAATTCAGGCGTCTCAATGCGTGCATATTTCGCGAAGACGATCAGTTATGCCAACATAAAATTAATACAATCCCTCCCGCGTCCTCCTGAACTCAATAGCCAATATACAAAAATTATAACTATTGCCATAGTGAAATTTATAAATTAAATGTACATTAACAACGAATTTATAATTTCGTTTTGCAATAATACCTACCTTACATTTTATTTTATATATAAATATTATATCTTTATTTTTATAATTTGTACTGGAACATCAAGTTTTTCACATAATCATAATCAATGTGATTATGATTACTTGGAAAAATTGATTAATTGAATATATCTAATACTATTTTTTTCAATATTACAACAAAAATGATTCAGAAATATTACACAGAAATCTTATTATTTTTTCTTTATTTATTTTGAAAATCTGATTGAAAATATTTAAAATTGCAATTTTTAGCTCGAAAATGAAGATATTTTTGTATATTTTTCAAATGGCAAGTATATTTGACCTATATACCAAGCAAGGTTAAATTTGACAAATTCAATTCATTGCCGACGACTGATTCCAATTAATTATTTTTGTTTTAAATTAAATATTTTTTGTATATAAAAGAAAATGGCTTTAAACAAACTCAGCATTGATGCTATTAATCTAAATGGCAAAAGAGTACTAATGAGGTATTTTTTTGCTTTTATAATGTTAGTTTTATAACTTTATCCAAGAACTTTTGATCTAAAGAATAAACTTATTTTCTGTGAAATTTTAGAGCAGACTTCAATGTGCCGCTAAAAGAAGGTGTGATTACAAATAACCAACGTATAGTCGCAGCTTTGGACTCCGTAAAATATGCCTTGGATAAAGGTGCTAAATCTCTTGTTCTTATGTCTCACCTTGGACGACCAGACGGACAAATCAACCTTAAATACACCCTAAAGCCGGTCGCTGATGAACTGAAAAAATTGCTAAACAGGTAAATTATGAAAACAGTGTGTTAAAATCCTAAAATATTAATATGATTCTTTTGGATAAAGTAATAGTTCACTTTAAAAAAATTAAATACCATAAATAAAATTCTAATAGTGTGTTTTAATTTTCAGAGATGTAACTTTCCTACCAGGCTGTGTAGGACCTGAAGTAGAAGGTGCCTGTGCTGATCCTCCAGTTGGATCAGTCATTCTGTTAGAGAATCTCCGTTTTCATATTGAAGAAGAAGGCAAAGGAGTTGATAGCAGTGGGTCAAAGATTAAAGCTGACCCTGCAAAAGTTAAAGAATTCAGAGCCAGCCTTAGAAAACTTGGCGATGTTTACATTAACGATGCTTTTGGTGAGAAGTGTTTATAGAATAAGTTTATTTATAATTTACTACTACTGTTACTCATGATGATAATTGAATAGGATAAATTAAAATCATCCCAAGTTACTATGATATGAAAACTTAACAAAGAAATATAGAAAATAATCCTCTTACTTTTTTATACAATTAAAATAAAATTTATTTAATATATACTTTTATGCAAGTTGTTTATATACTATATATATGCAATGGTCAGTATAATATTGTTAAATAGGTACTGCTCACAGAGCACACAGTTCTATGTTGGGAGAAGGATTTGACCAAAGAGCCAGTGGATTCCTGCTAAAAAAAGAATTGCAGTACTTTGCCAAAGCCCTTCATGAACCTGAAAGGTAAATGTTAAACACTAATTTTGGAAACTTTTTAAATAATTTTTCATTTGTATATTATATTTCTTTATATCTCCATTATATTTTTAAGTTTATTGTGATATTAGGACTCGCATATCATATTCAGATTAAAAACTCATTAATTTTATCCTTTTTTATAAAAGAAATATAATTTTTATAATTATGCTCATCATCATGAATTATGTTAGTACTGAAAATTTAAAAACCGTGGGAGTTATAAATTTTGTCAGTGTTTCACATATTCTAGTTACTTTGATGTTTCTAATTTTATTTGATTAATGATATTTCTTTTGTACCATTTCAATACAACTTTACTGTATAATATCTAAGTAATATCTGTTTAAATAGAATTTAATATAAATCAAAACAAACAAAATAATTGACAAAAAATTAATTGACTAACCATATAACAGTCTGCTGATTCTTAATAGTATTCTTAATAAAAAAAAAACTGTTGATTGAATGTTATGGTTTGTCATTAATTTCATTTAGAGAATGTTCTATGACAATCACAATGAAAATTGTTTACCTTTTTACTAAACTTTATTAAAACTGATTGTTAAAATAACTAGGTGTTAAGATATATTCCATTTGTAGGCCTTTCCTTGCAATTCTTGGTGGTGCTAAGGTGGCAGATAAAATTTTATTAATAGAAAACTTGTTGGACAAAGTTAATGAGATGATCATTGGTGGTGGTATGGCTTACACATTCCTCAAGGAAACCAAGGGCATGGCTGTAAGTACTAATCTCTTAATAACTGTTTGAATTACACTAAATTATACATGTATATTTAAGAATTATATGCAATTATTACAGTACATATAACTAAAATGTAGAACATAATAGAACAGTTTAGTTCATTAACAATAATAAACATAAATAACAAATTTAAAGTAATATATGTATGATGAAATAAAATGGTGTGCTTAATATAATCCATTGACTGATAGAAACATGTACTTATGCATTTTATATGTTACACCATGTATCTCACATTATAATAAATAAATAGAAAAAAAAATGTCATAAATACAAATAAAAAAATAGATAAAAAATTTTGTGTCTCACATACTAACTCAATAGCTGATTGTATCATTCAATGCTTTCGTCTTTGTTGAAAAATAAAAAGTACTTAATAATTTTATTTATAATATAGCTATTATTGGTTTTATGTAAATTACTTCCACTTTATGACTCATATTAAATATCCCACTGCTGGCCATGATAATGGATAATTATTTTAATAATATATTAATTTAAAAAATTTATTCCATAGATTGGCAACTCTTTGTATGATGCAGAAGGCGCTAAAATTGTTGTGAGACTTTTGGAAAAGGCTGCCAAAAACAAAGTGAAGGTTCACCTTCCAGTGGATTTTGTTACTGCTGATAAATTTGATGAGAATGCTCAGGTAATTGAATACAATAACATAGAATTATACGTCTTATAATATAGCAATATTAATTTAAAAGTAATTTATTCATAGAAAATTTGTGGATTTTTAAAAACCTTTCTTATTAAAACTCTATACCTTATAAATAGTATAGCCATGACAGAGCATTTTTTTTATTGAATCTTAAAGAACAAATCTGACTTACATTTTAACAATTAAATTGTGTTACACAAAAAAAACTGGTTTCAGTTGTAGCAAATCCAGTCTAAATAGATTTTAAAAACTGAACAACTGGGCCGTTTTTGATGAAGTTTCTATGGGACCAATCTATAAGTATATCCTTTCAGATAAAAATATTTTTAATATAATTAGTTTACAACTGACAAAGTTCAACATACAACTGAATTGAGAGCTTTTTGAATTTGATAAAAACATATTATGCTATTATATCTACTGTTTAGGTTGGCTCCGCCACTGTTGAAAGTGGAATCCCTGATGGATGGATGGGACTGGATGTTGGTCCAAAATCAAGACAACTGTTTGCTGAGCCTATTGCGAGAGCTAAAGTCATTGTATGGAATGGGTATGTTTTAAAAAATTATTCAATTCTTTAAACTAAAATATTATATCATAAAGATTCTTTATAACCCACATATGCCTATTGAAAAAAATTATGAAAATATAGTAATAACCCTGTCTGCACCGTCGGTATGTGCTGACCAGTGGGGTGGTAATAGGTAAATATGATAGTAGGCCCATCATGGCGATTTCATCAAGATAATATATAATGACAATTTCCCAAGGTTATATTGCTAGCAAGCCGCTAATTACCAAATTTAACAATCGTTCTTAAAAACTGAATACGAACACTACATAACTAATAACAAGCAATACCAAGAGGAAAAGAAAACTTAGTATTAATATTTTTTGTAATGAATCAAATTAAAATTAAAATCTGTATACCTATATTTATTTATTTATACTTTATTCTTCACTAATAATACATAAAAAATATGATATAAGTAACCAAAGGTAAGCTTAACTCTAAAAGAGTTCTCTTCCAGTAAACCAAAACTAGCAAAGAGCACCAATGTCATCGGATAGAGTGCTCTTCAATATTATGACAATTATTTATTATGCAAATTGCATAGTTTTAAAATATAGAAACTTACTATTTATATGTATGCATTTGTCTAAAATCGCATCTTTTCATGTAATATGTGTCGTTAGCGTCAAACGATACCCCTATCGTTTGACGCCCGCTATTTTAAGATCATCTAATTCCTGCCACCGTCCCCTTATGCGAATGAGGCATGCACCCCCGTCGAAGTTAGCATTTTTTTAGCCCCTACATTTCTACTCTTATCTGCTAACCCCAGTCTTTTTTTTTTTTTCACCTTTATTTCGAGTCTCCCGCTACCATATCTAATAACGGAACTTGGCCCAATTAGTAAACAATTTTGGCTTGTATTATTATCAAATTAATGTTAAAACAAAAATAAAATGATAAGATTTTTATATTAATTGTATGTTATAATATATTATTATTTTTTGTCTATTTTATTTTTAAACTATAATCGATAAAAACAGAATATTGTTGTTTACTAATTGTACCGAGTATAGAAAAACAGACCGTAGTTATCATTGTGTTTGAAATTGTACAAAAAATATCGTATAAATATATGTAGATATCTACGATAAAGTCGCGGAGATGCTATTAATATCCATAGAATTGCATACATTTTACTCTACTATGTCATAACAATACTTAAGTATATTTTTTCTTTCTTTAAGTATACTGTTATTTATCAAAAGCATTAGCTTGTGCGATAATGGTTTAGAACTGAGTATTGCGTCATTTAATATGTTAAGACGTAATATTGCATAATATGAGTATGCTTATAATCAGTAGGTTTTTTTTTTTGGGTGTCAGTGGTATAGTACTCCCACCTGCGTTTCCTTAATACGTTGACTTCCTTAATGATTTGTAGAATAATAGGTGAGAATGAAATCATAAATTCACTAGAAATTAACTGTTTATCGTTTCCAAATTGTTTTAATTTTTTCGCCACATAATTATATTTTTGTTTTGCCAAAGGTTGAATGAGAGAGAATGCTATAAGTCCACCAGTCCACCTTTTGTACCAAACATTTCTCTATAATTTGGCCAATAAAGAATAAATAAATAAAAAAAAAAAACAATTAATCACTATGATTTCTAAAAGGTATATTGCTACCAACGGGGCCTGTAGGCCCCATTACTAACAATTCCCTTCTCCTCCTACTTGAATGTAGTTATGTATCTTAAGCCTTATTTTATGTTTATTAGACCTGCTGGCGTGTTCGAATTTGAGAAATTCGCGGGTGGCACCAGAGCCCTCATGGAGGGCGTCGTGAAAGCCACCGCCAATGGAACTGTCACTATTATTGGTAAGTACATTGAACATTATTATATGATTATATTAATTAGATAATGAAAAATACACCTACTCAAAATTCCATTGAAATGCACTAGTACAAGCATAATATTAAATGATTAGTTGTGAACCTACTCTGATATTATAAAAATGCAATGTTTATAAACATACAAACTATAGTTTGTTTCGTTTATCTTTAGATTATTACTCCTTGTATGTTGATACTTAGATATTTACTCAAATTACATTTAAGCGGTTATTGAATAAATTTGAATGAAATTTGGTAAACAAATAATCCATATCCTAGATGGGATATTTTTTAAGCGAGCAAGCAGTCATATAGTTAAGCATATCGTATTGGACAGACGGTTAAGCATATAGACTACTAACTTTTAAGCGCGTGACCGGAATATGTTTACTGAGCGGAATAAAATGTAACCTTATACCCTTCTCCATCTCATATAGTACGTGTATGCGAAATTTCATAGCAACTGGTAAAGCCTTTAAAGCGCTACAAGTTATCAAACAAACATATTCAATTTCACATTTGGAATATTAAAAAGGATTATGTTCACTACACCATCAACAGTTTACAAGTTCCTCTAACAACTTGGATTATAGTTTAGAGCGTATGTTGTCCCACAACATTTATTGATTTTATTATTACACAACGTCATCCTCAATGCATCTAAGACAAATAAATATATTTGGAACCAAAGTAACGTCCAGCCATGACTCGTATATGATAAAAAATTTGAAAAACGAACGCATCATGATCGATATCCAGTATCCAAGAGTCGTACACAAGCGACAGCTGTATCTAATAGTGATAGTACTAGCAGCCATGTGTCGCAATTTTTGTATGAAGCATCCGCCGTGTGTTGGAACGTTTTTTAAATATAATATATTGTCAACTTTGCACTTTTTATGAGCAAGATAAGCGACCACGTGTTGACCCGTGACTGGGACCACTTATAATAGCGTCGAATTTTCGAGAACGCACAAAAATCTTAGTAATATAATAAAATTGTAACTAAAGATCAATAAATGCCAAAATAATAATTATTAGAAATGTTTTCTGTCTCTATATGTTTATTCTGAAATCATGCAAAAACTCCCTCCTTCCTCCGTTTTCAATTAAAACAGTTTTCATAGTTGTGTTCCTGATGGTCTAAAATAAAATCAAGTATGTACATGTTTTATCACGATAAGTCATCTATAAATGACCTACTTCATTAATTTTCCTACTTCTGGAATCTACACGTACAAAGTAGCACTAAAAATACATAATAATAGATAAATCTCATTAGAAAATGTATAAAGTTATAAACATGTTGAATGTTTTAACTATATAATCAGCGGTGACAGGTCGTTTGAACAATGCTTTGGACTGCGGTCCGAAATTCCCAAGATCGAATTCAAGCAAAAATCTCTAAATTCTGAAATTCATATTTGTTGAATCATTTACAATGTATCACTTGCTTCGTGCTTTAGAAGATCAATAATACCTTCATCCGGTAAGCTGGATCAAAGGCCTTATTGTATAACAAAGACGACCTAAAAACTCTTGAATCCAAGTATTTGGATGAAGATGGAGTGGTGCACTCACATATGTTAATAGTGTACAATGCCCGGACACTAATAAAAGATTATACAATGAGGAGCAATTCGAGTCAGTTATGACGTCGTGACGATTGTGACTAAAAAAAAACCATGGGGGGATGGCGTGGAGATAGATATGACAGAGTACAATCTCCCCTCCCCCCTGAGCCCTCGACTCTACAAGTCTAAACTCTCATATAAGCAGTTGTACTTATTTTTATGTGTATGTAGGTGGTGGTGACACTGCTACTTGCTGCGCCAAATGGGGCACGGAGGACAAGGTTTCACACGTCTCCACCGGTGGCGGAGCATCACTTGAACTTCTTGAAGGTGAGTGTTGTTTTCGCGTGTTCACACTTAAATTGTACTTTCCTTTTATAACACAAACAATTGCAAACAGACTGACAGCCCACTTAGTGAAAAGTGGCAACCGTCGCCTATAGACATGAACAGCGCCATGAACGTCACAGAAAACATTGTGATGCCAATAGTACCACTCATGTGTTACGATTCCTAAGGAATATGGTGTTATAGCCGTATACGTCCCGACATACATATAATAGGCCACCTCTTCCTTTTTCGTGGGTGCCGTAAAAGACAACTAAGGAAGCTTATGGTGGACGGATGGGCAGTAGCGTATGTTCAACAGCGGGAATTAACAGTTCATATGACGATATGACTCTAATTTATTATTTCACTGCCTTATCACTGCCCTTCAAACCGATACATTACCATTGCATAGCTACTTAACTCCAGAAACACGGATGATACAAATACCCATACAGACAACTGGTGTACTAATCCAAAATGGCCTTTGAGATATGGGGGAAATTCGAAAATAACAAAAACAATTTAACTCTCTCTTACTAACTTAACAACTAGATGCACCACGTTCTATCGAAGGCTCAAAATATTGTTTATTCGACATGTTCTTTATTATATGTATATACTAACGATTTTGATTTCCCCTTATTTAGTAGTAGAGTGTTTATTTTGTACTAAATTAAGTACACATGTCTATATTACACGTATATTAAACACGTGTTTAACAGAAGATAAATCATTGCAGGCCGTCTTGGTCAATGCGATATATCTTCAAGATCAATCCATTAATTTATTGGCCGATTTTAGGTTGAAAACGGCCACTTTCGGTGATTCATAATAACATAATGTATCACCTAAACTACACATGTTTACTGTGTGAATTCTCTATTGACTGAACAATTACCGAAGTTCGATTTAAAAAAAATGCTTAATTATGTGATTACAAAAGACAACCTGAATTTTTTTCAAAATTTGTTCATTGGTTTAGTTTTTAATGCAAAATATTTATTGGTTTTGCCACAATTAAAGAAGTTTTTTTATGAAACACAGTTTTAATTATATATAGTATTTTGTCGTCTCTAATCAATAAATATAAATCGTATTTTCAATATATCTTGTTACAAGATTACGTGGCATGTATTAAACAACTGATAATTAATAACATAATGTTATATATATATTATATAACAGTATCCAACTAAGTGTTCCACTCTTCATATAAATTTCCATTTATATTGTATGCAACAGTTTTTATGCAAATCTTTCTATTTTCAGGTAAAGTGCTGCCCGGCGTGGCTGCTCTCTCCGACGCATAAATTAAGAAATGCAAAAAATATCGAATGGAATAAATAATAATTATTTTTTCATAAGCATAATAACGTATTTAAGCCATAATAAAACCTGATGCAATTTTTACCATTTGTAAAAACAGTTTAAAATGTATATTTGGGCATAAAAAAATGTATGTATGTAGTGGTTGTTTATGAAATGTCTTGTGATTATTTATAAGATTATTTTTAAATATACGTCGGTTATATTATACAATAATCGTTATTTTATGTGTTATAGAAAATTAAATATACTTAGTAAACCATCTTTCATTTGTTCTCACTTATGATGAAATGAGGATATTCGCAAAAGAACCAAAGTCGTCGACATAGCTAGAAGGATAAGCACGCTGAAGCGGCAACGAGCTGGTCACATAGTTCACTCACAAACGATGGGGAAGGAAGGTTCTTGAGTGGCAACCTAGTACGGGCAAACGCAATGTAACATGACGCCCACAAAATGATGACCTTAAATGCATTGCAAGGAGTCAAGTGGATGAAGGTGACTCAGGGCCGTTCTTTATAACAGTTTGTACGATAATGGCTGAGATGGTGATGATGATTCGTATTCCTACAATTAAAGCCGCAGAAATATGTGATGCTACAAAACAAGCTTATGATTCTTATTTTTAATTAATTATCTATATCTAATATATAAAATTCTCGTGTCGCGGTGTTTTTTACCAAACTCCTCCGAAACTGCTTTACCGATTTTTATGAAATTTTCTGTGCATATTGGGTAGGTCTGAGAATCGGCCAACATCTATTTTTCATACCCCTCGATGATAAGGGTGACCCGCCCCTAAATTTTTTTTTTTATTTATTTTGTAAATTTTTAAATTTTTATTTTATTATAATTTAGCATTGAAAAATACAAATTCAAATTTTCACGCTTTTACGACCAACCCCTGTTTTTTAATCGCGATTTTTATATGCCACAATAGGCTTGTAAAATGGCAATCGAATATAATAATTGTAGTAGGATAAATTTTCATGTATAATTCTCGAAACATGGAAATGTGGTATATGGTAAAACAACGTTTGCCGAGTCAGCTAGTATAAGTATAATAGGTGTAAATTGAATAATAAATGGCCACAATCTAGAAAGTCCATGCCTTTCAAGAACTGCAACAAACTTGCACAAACTAAAGCTATTTACTACATCGTTATGGTAATTCACTAGGCGCATTTTTAAATGCATGAAATTGAAATTGCTACTTCGCCTCCGCTATTGGTTTAGACTGGCGGAAAGGATTAACATCAGTCTGTACATCATATTGAACTAAATAGGAATTAACCATGATTAGGACATTAACCTCGCAGGATAAACATATTTGATATAATAATTAATTGGAAATAGGTTTTTAAGTAGAAATAAATGGAAAAATTCACCAATATTGAAACTAAATTAATATGCCTTTGAAGTGAGTAATAAAGTGAGAGCCTACACCCTTATATCTTCATAAAATGACTATAAAAATGTAATAAGGAAAATATAATATAAAAAACGTTTAACGATGTCGTTTTACAAGGGCGAAAGCTGTGAAGTCCCGTCATTGAAAATATAATAACATTCGGGTAAGTAATGAGAAAGGGCGTACTACGTTAGTTCAAACGTGCGTAAAATGACTATTTATTTTATTACTTAGGATCTTAGGTCATCGAAACAAGGATATAAAAATAGCAACGATGATTACGAACAGAAACTTTCTAGTTCCACCTTCTCCGTCCTTCAAGGTAATGCACTGGAACAGATACAGTGCGCTCCATACATTCCGAGAACATCTATTGGTAGACGCCAAGTATTTACGCATCTAACATATAGAGAACCCCGCTCTAATTGATCTTAGCCAAGGTAAGGAAATAAATGCTGGCCATTATATTCTACAGCTTGTTCCAAAAGATACGCCCGCTACAATAGCCGGCAACTAGCAAAACGGACATCCGAACTCACCAATCAAGAACCTTTCTTTTTCATCGTCTGTCGGTTCTTCGAGCTTTGTGACCAGCCCATTGCCACTTAAGCTTACTTATCCTTCGGACAATATGCACTTTGATTCTTTTGCGGATTTCCTCATTTCAAATTCTGTCACGCAAAGAAAATTCGAGTATAGCCCTCTCCATAGCATACTTTTTTTTACTTTCCATACGAGCAATCGTGTAGGACCATGTTTCGGTTCAATAGATCATCACTGACAACACGCACTGGTTAAATTTCTTCGTCTTCAAACTTGGAGATTTTTTAATATTTAAGTAGGTATTTATTTATCCCGAGTCCTCAGGAATGGCAACGCATGGGGGGTATCATTCATGGGCGATAAAGTATACTCTGTTATGTCCATGGTACTGCTCATGTCTATAGGCGACGGTAACCACTTTCCATCAGGTGGGCCGTCAGCTTGTTTGACATTCTAACTTGTATAAAAAAAAAAGAAAAAAAAAACATTATAATTAATATTAAATGTGATGGTGTATTCTGTACCATAAAAATAAAGATTATAGAATTATTTATTCTTATGCCTCTATCACTTTCTACCGTCGCATGCGCTCACAGTAATTACAAGTTCCAACTGGATCGCCAGCTTATCGAACAAATTTATCGCCATACTTATTACTAACTTTTATTTCTAGATGGTGTGTTTAGATAAAACATAACATCAGATTTGAAATTGGAACACAGGAGTATAACTGTGAAAACCTTATTTAATTTGGTGAGGTTGTTTTTACGTGATACAGGAACATACAGACAGACCCAAAAAACAAAAATTTTCAAGTTTTTTTTATTTACATATATTTTCACATTTTTATATGTACATATTTGTTATGGGTGTCATTATTAGGATAGGCAGAGACATAGTCATCTTTCGTCGTCATCGTCTAGTTAGAATTTTATTATATTATTAAGATTCATACTAAATACATTGATACTAGCTATACCCAGAATGTGTTTACTGACCGAGATAAAACGTAGCCTCTATTCTCCGTCCCGTATAGAACGAGTAATCCAAATTTCATAGTGATTGATTAAGCTGTTAAGGTGCTATAAGATAACAAATAAATAAACAAATTCTCTTTTACATTTATAATATGAGTAAGAATACTGAGATATGGATATTGTTTCATATCTCAGTAACAGTACTTATCTTACGAGGTGATCACTGTATAAAAAAGGTACTTGGGAACTAATTTGTATTGGTATGAAATGTCATATGAAGATGTCGATAAATAGATGAAGTTGTGAAAAGAATATAAATAGTTCTCTATTTAAAATTTTAATTATATGTTCCCTTTAATATATTCTAGTATAAATAAATCCAATCTCTCTAAATAAAGAAAAGTGCCTACGCCTTGTCACACTTTTGCTCTATTTATAATAAATAAGTTTCCCCTGAGGTACTTTACCCATATCAATTAAGTGTATATAGCTGTATAAGTTGTTGTAATATATAAGACGAAACCAATTTGACCTTTATTGACATTTCCTCTTCAGTAAACAATTTGTTCAACGTTCATGAATGAATCTGAATTCTGTACAGGAGTATTGTCATTGCATTTTGATCTTTACGCATTTGAAATTAACTAGAATTTTTACTAGTAAAACATGATCAGAACCGAACACCTGTAACTATAGATGGGACTAAATATATAGGAACTATCGATCGGCCCTCCGCGCAAGCGTCTTCGTCGAATATTCGTGCCAATTTCCAAAAAAAAAACTGTACACTTATTTCCTGCCAGATATAATATAATAACAACCTGTGGAGTAAGTTACAAATCTTACTGGTAATGATAGAGTCGGAGTAGAGTAAATTCTAGATGATCATTAAGATTGGCGAATTATTGTCGGGAACAAAAGACAGCTGTTCTTTATCACCGAACACTCGTAAGACCTTTTCGATACCGAGCATGAACTTTGGTCCAATTGGCGAAGGGTGGCGCATGCCCACAACCCTCCGAGGGAGCTTTATCAAAATAATAAAGGCACAAAATGCTAGTGATGTAAAGTACGCGCACGGCCGCCGGTGATCCGGCGTGCGTCTAAAAATGACTTTTAATGTTACCTAAACAGCCCCCAATAGTCAAAGTAGAACTAATTTTAGATTTGTTAAGAAGTTAATGGTTCAATGTCAATTGTTGTTGTGTATAACGATTATGTCTAGTAAATAATCGTTGTTTTTAGATATTATTATATCTGTAAGCAGGTGAGTGACGTTACTGTATGCTTACGGTTTATGATGTTGTTTTATTTAGTACAATATATATCTAATACAGAATTAGTCGTAAATGGTGTGACAATTTGAAATACCTTTCATTAAAGTAAAATTTTTCTCAAGGAACATATATTGAAATAGAAAAAATCCACAAGCCGCACGACACGTTCTTTATTTCGGGAGTATAATTTCATAAAAATTATGTGGAATTCGGTATATTCTATTGAGATATTCTATAACGAAATCCACATAGTTTATATATTTCTTATATCTAGATAAAATTAATAAACATGGAATCAATTCCGAAGCTGTCGAAGTAATCACATTTAAAAAAATACGACTAAATTGAGAACACTTTCCTTATAAAAGTTGAAAATTAATACATACAGAAAAAATATTTAATATAATTAAAATTACTTTAGGAACAAAATTGTGCATGCATAATGGCGGTATTTAAGTACCTATGATTTGTAATTCACTCACTAAAAATGTTTTGAACAATTAATATGGTGTTACATTAAATAAGTGATAACTAGCGTAATTTAGAGACAAAATTCAAAACGGAATGTTGCGTTGGTTTAGCCATTTGGAGAGAATGGATGAAAGAAGAATTACGAAAGAGATTTATCGAGCAACAATGAATGGAGATGTCGGTAGGGACCGCCCTAGATGGACGTATGTCGACCAAATAGACGACGTGCTGAAAAAGGGCCAAATTAAGAGTACCCGTAACCGGTAAGCGTGTATGAAAAGATTGATGAACGTGGAACAAGCGAAAGAGGTTTGTTTGAATCGAAGCATTTGGCGTTCCATTGTTTAAAGAATAAAGAATAATATGTATATTCTTTATTGCACTTGTAAATTACAAGGGTGGACTTATCTCTGACAGAGATCTCTTCCAGTCGACCCATTGTTTCTGCCTACCCTAATGTGAGACAGGCGTGACAGGTATGTACGTGTGTATGTATGATTCAAAACGGGACGTTGCGTTGGTTTGATCATTTATGGCAATTGCGAAAGAGATTTATCGAACACTAACAAATAGAGATGTTCGGCCGCCGTAAATTAGCATTATGTCAATCAACTAAAAGACGTGCTGAAAAAGGGCAAAATTAAAAGTGCTCGTAACCGGCGAGCTTATTTGAATAACTTAGTAAATGTAGAGAAATTACAAGATATTAATTTATTTCTATCTATTCTATTTAAGAGCTGCGCTCTTGTCGGTGGAGCTCTTGCCACTCACTACGATTTTAAGCGAGTCTCTTCACCTCTTGATACGACACGACACCAACTCCTTCCTTGATCTGCCTGATGTAACTATGTCTCGGTCTCCCTCTTCCCCTCCTTCCTTCTATCTTACCTTCTATTATAATGTTCATAAGTTCGTCGTGTCGTAGCAAGTGTCCCAACATTTTTCCCCTTCTGTCCTCAATTTTTAATTTATTTAAGTAGGAAAATCCATCCATTTGTTGCTGCATGTTTCTGCCTACCTCAATTCAAGACAGACGTGACATATATATTTGTATATATAAAAATGTGTATATAGAATATTTCTGTCATTAATGAAATAAGAAAAAATACCTATAGTAATCGTATTTACAAATTATTATCATGATTTTTTGTTTTCACTTCTATAAGTTTGAATCTCTTACCACATAGTATATTAGGTGGTAGCTACATTTTATTTTAATAATTACATATACAATAACTAAATGATTATACATATATCTATTTTTACCCTAAATCCTTTATGGACTAAACAGATAGAATCCCAGTGTAAAAGAGCTATCCCTACGTATATCTTTTACTTCCTACACTTTTATAACTCTTCTCATGCATGCAGACCTGTTCCGGAGACTTTCAACTCCTCCTTCAAATAAAACACGATTTTTCATCATTTGATCATAATAGGTAATTATATTTTATTTATTCATTCTAACTACGAATTATCTTTATTGAAATATAAAAATTGCTGCTGTCCGCGGCTTTGTCCGCATGGTATTTGTTATTCCTATTTAGTATGTATCGATGTATCTACCTATCTATTTATTATGTCTGGGAATACTGGACCAAAATTAACAAATGACGTGGCATTCTCACTCTTTACCTTTGGTCAAAATGACTTAAGTTGTATATACTACATAAGTTAACTGTATAAGTTACTATAGTTTTTTAAATATCCCACGGAAACTTTAATTTTCCGTGATTAAAAGTATCTAAAATGTTGACCGGGGATGTAAGGTACCACCATGCAAAGTTTCATTTAAATCGGTCCAACAATTTTGGAGATTAGCCCGTACAAACAGACAGACAGAGAAACAAAAAATCTGGATGTGTTCTATTTCACTTCTAACATCCCCTTGACTCAGTTTTCAGCGTTCTCTTTTTCTATTTGCAGACATTCGATTCTACAGTTTTATTATATGTATAGATGTAACAATTTTCAGTTCTTTTTCATTGTATTTTATCATACAATCTACTTCGATTTTTGCTGTTCCGGTTCTAGTACTACCAAACGGCGGTAAAATATATTTTAACTCAATAGCACTTATTTTAACACGGTAACTTGGCTTCAATATACTTTGTGGCTTTGATCTTTTTTAGTAAATATGTAGTTATATTCCAATAGTAAATAATTTCCTAAAGATTCCGTAAAAATGTCATAAATGCTACATTACAATATAATTAACTACTTACAAGTACATAAGAGATATACATAGATTGAACAAAGCTAAAGTACATAGGCGTTATCTAACCTGCCAGTACTTTCATAATGTTAATAATGATTCATTACTGTTGCTCTTTCTGTGTCTTGAACAAAAGACGATGCATTTCAGTTTTTATTCATCCCGCCCCAGTTTTGTATAACAGCCTTATTGTTATGTTACTTTTGTATTATCTTGTTAGTTTTACATTCTCGACTTTATTTCCAACCTGTTTTCTCGTATACTTTAAATTTTTTTCTAATATCTATTTTAAAAGGGAGAAAAATATACATTTAAAGATTAACTACCTTTACCTTAGAATAACAAACACACTAACCATGACCGCTTTATTTCTTGGTTTTATTTTTAATATCCTAAATATATTTAACATTATATAATGAACTTTTTAACATACAAATGTTACATAATATCAAAAAAATATACCTATATACAATACATAGTAGTTTACGAATATCTGAGTTACTCATATCCGTAGCTTTGAAACCTGTACATCAAAATTTGATTTGGTATTTCAATCGATCATCGGCAATATTTGTAGATTTTTTGTGCAAATTTGAAACCAATGATTCTTCATTAAAACACAATTAATAGTTAAATAGGTATTCGATAATTATTCGGAAATATAAAAAAATATTTATTTTTTAAAAATGATATTATCTAATTGTGTTATCCGTTAATGATTTTATTAATCTTTGATTGTGTGGTCATCGTGATTATAAACGTACGTGTGCTATGCGGCAATATTACAAGGGTTACAATTTTCGACATAGTAGTGCACTTCCGTGACTAAACCATTGTGATTATTGCTCGTAAACTGATTCGTATAAACAGCAACTAAAAAGTGTTTGAATGCGGTAAACCTTATCGCATTAGATAACTACATAAATCACGAAATTACGTGATATGCTACGTTGATACTACACAGCACCAATACTTACTTCCTTTGCTTAATGGCATACTAATGTTTTATATAGGCCTTTAATCAAGGCTTTCATGTTACAGACTGTGGTAACTTCATCATCAGTCAAATAACATGCGTCTATCTTTGTGAAACTATTCTACTGTGTGTGTGTTAGTGTACAATGATGTTAACCTAACTCGACACAAATAAAAATCAAACACTTTACCGTTTCTCTTCTCGGCACTTCATGTCGTTGATGGAAACTAAAGAAAATTGTTTGAGGCCAAATCCCTATTCGCACACAGCTTATTCGAATTTTGGTGCGTTTATTGGGGGCTGAGGTTACGACCGCATCGGTTGACGCGTGTTCGCGTTGGAGTTACGAGGGGTGACATGTCTCCCGCTCAATCTTATAAGAGCAATACAAAACGTGACAATCATTCCAAATAAGCTAGTAGCTATCACATATCTATTTTTACACCTGTTGGAAGTATAGGAATGAACTCACTTATGTTACCTATAACATTGCGTTTCATATACTACAATAGTTGCAATTTCTTATACTATGATAGTAAGAAGTATGTATATGAAAGAAAAATGGTAACTACAATCATCACAAAATTAAAACTAAACCAACTCGGGTGGAAACCCTTTAAATTGCAAAAAGAAGTAAAGAAGTGTGAAAGTCATTTCAGTACTCGCGTAACATAGAAGAACAGTGACCGAAAGCGTCTGATGAAAACTGTTACTGACAGTGCCTGATGTTACATGTGTATTACCAACCTTGAAGAAATCTTAGAACACCCTTTAAAAATCTTATAATGTAGTCTCTAGGAAAACATTTTTAATCTACTTTAATAAAAAAAATACTTTTCACATAGATTATGGTAGATACTAGGTCAGGAAATAAATAAAGATATTTTAGACTCTTCAAGACTGCTGACCATGACAGACTAATTGTCTAATTGACCACGCATATATCCTCACAGTGAAGGAATGCCTTGCATGACTGCATGGGTAACGAACCATTTATTGAGGTGTAAATGTACCTCTATAGTAACCCCAATGACCAATGAGGTATGATGTCAGGGAGATTCATATTTTAAATAAAGAATTGGGTATCTCTGTATCTAGTTAGAGATATATATATATATATATTCATTATTGCATATACTACCTCTCTATGTATTTGCATTGAAAAATGACAGAATTTCCATCGTGCCTCCAATCAAACTATGCATACAAATGTTGCTTAAAAGAAATCGCTTTTAGCGATACATCGTCCACTGTTTTTTCATTGTGATCATTTCTTGTAATTATTTGTATCTATAATAAACTTACTATTATAATTTTTCAGAGAAAACAATAAAGAGTATCTATCTATCTAGTTATTCTTATAACAAAGATATTATTTATGTCACTGACAAACCTACACATGTAAAATAGAACCTACCGTCACCGATTATGATCGATCTGCAGAGTTTGTACGCTTCAGTAGATACGCGGCTCGTCATTTACATTGAAATAACTTACGAATACACACCCTATGTCCTATAGAAATGATAATTATATTTGTTTTAACTTGCTTCTGTTCTACTAGCAAATATTAGCTAAATATTAGCATTACTAGATTACTATTTTAAATTTGATATTTTATAGTCACATAAGTACTATATTTGTTTGTATATATATATATATATTAAATAAATTCAGAAGCAGTTCAACCGATTTTAAATTCTTTCACCTATAGAAAGCTACATTATCAGCATCAGTGACATAGGCAATATGTATTTTCTAAAAATAAGAAACACCTAAGAATATTACAATAACGAAACCCAAAGTAACAAAATTTGCATTTTAAAGCTAATATTCATTTAATATCTGTCTGTCAGTACGAAGCTGGATTGCTATTATATAAAAATAGTAGAAATACATTTGTTTGATTACCTTTTATCGCCTTAACAGCTCGAATAATCATCATATAGTTTGATATAGACATACAAGAGAGACTAATCCGGTCAATCAATATAGTCACAGGTAAAAAAAAAACATGTCAAATAAGTAGTTCCAAAAATAGTAAATAAAAATTAATACCAATCACAATAACTCCCAAAGCGGTAGGAAGCTTAATATACAATGTAAAGATGAATGCCCTGTCTAATCTATTAATGAACTGCAAAACTTTGAAGATACGGGGTTTATATATCCATTAGAGGAACTTCCTCGAAATTCTCACGGGAATTGAAGCATACCAACAGTTTCGGCAACGCCGTGTAATTCGTCACGCCTGCCTACCATTGAGGTGATTGGGGTAAGTAGAAACAATAAAACGCCAAATTCTCTGATTCATAAAGATGTCTTCCGCTTATTTCATATATTCATCTAACTATACATAGCTACAAGCAAGCCGGTTACGAGTTCTTTTAATAATAAAAAAACGTTTTTAAAACGTGCATTTACTCAGAGCACAGTGTTACAAGTGATATGTAAAAACAAAAGATAAATACAGAATGTAACTATTTCAAAAATGGTAAATAAAATATAAAAAGCTGTCAGATATATAAAGTTCAACATTTTTCAAATGATTTCTAAAATATGATAAAGATTTTCATTTTGTATGTATTTTTTTAACTATAAAATATCTTCACCAAATATAATAATATTTTTATGAAACTCTGGTGTAATACAAACAAATTTTGTTAAGGAATTTCTCGTTATACTTGGTGTGTGTGTACCTGTGTGTGTGCGTGCGCGTGTGCGTAGTTGCGTGATTCTGTGTGTGTACGGCGCCTTACGTCATAGCATCTCGTCTTGCAATTTGTATTAAGAGTTTTTTTATAGAACGATTAGTTATTTTATTATCTCCCTTGCCTCCTAGTTTGCTTAGAGCAACGATGTACCACCATAGGTGCACCTCGGAATAACTCTATCTTCTCTTGAATCCAAGTACAGCCACCTATTGCTTTTTCAGTATACATACATCGTGTATTTATCGACATACGTTATCAAGAGTAATTCTAACCAATATCACTAACGGCAAAATACAGTCGGCATCAAAGGTGACGAACACATTAATATTTTTAAAACCTTTATACACTATAATTCATCATATATATTTAATTGATTTGTGTGTTTTATTGTGTTTACCGAATTTTATGCTAATCTTGTTGACCGTCTTGTGTAAGCGGCGATATTTAAGAGATTTTAAAATCTACACATGTTCATCAACTTTTGGTGCTAACTGTACATTATATAATATAAAATTTATAATAAATGTGACTAATATGATTAACATATCGCCAGTTAATCAAGCTAGAAACAATGCCAGACTGGACATGGTTGGTGTTGGCGGCGCTGTTCGGCGCGCTGTCCGCGCTGGCGGTGCCACTGCTACTCCTCTTATATTTCGTGCGTCCATTCGAGAAGAAATCGTCTGTGGAGGAGCATTATTGCCTGCCAGTCACTTTACCACCTGTAAGTTCTACTACGGCATATCAAGCAGCTAAATTAAGCATATCAATGCTTAATTTAGCTGCTTTTTAATATTCAAATTTCATCATCATTATCACCATACCAGCCGTTAAATATCCACTACTGAACGTAGGCCTCCCTCGCAAGCTGGGTTATGATAATAATTGCCATGCTTGGCAAACGGATTGTCAACCGCAGTTAGACTTTAGGTGATGTTTTAAGATGGACGCTGCACACAGAAAAGGAATAAGTGGCAAAGTGTGTACAACCTAGTAATCAGGGGGGAAGGGGATTGTTAGTATTGGAGTTTGACAGCCCCATTGCTAGCAATATGCCTTATTAGGTCAACCTCCACGTGGTGCCCCATGAAAACCATCGTGAACAATTCTTGTTGAATTCGTCACGATGGGCTAACTGACTTACTTCGCCTCATCTATCATCCTTCACTAGTGCCTCGCCGATGTATACCGATAACGCGGGTAGGGTTACCATTCCATTATAATCCATTAAAAAAAACCTAGTAATCTATATAAGATTGCCTGGAAGAGATCGCTCTCGATATTTTCTTATAATTGTTTGTATTTATAATAAGTTTCATATTGTAATTTTATAGAGGAAACAGTAATGAGTATCTATCTATATTCATTATATCTTTCTTCAAATTTCCGTTATATTCTTCTTTTATTAGTTTGCCAGCTATTTTCCGTGGCTTTGCCCACGTGAACCGGCATATAAATTATCCTATGCATTAACTTAGGATATTACCCCGTATACCAAATTTCTTTCAAATTCGTTCAACCTTTTGAGTGTGATTGAATAATAAATAAACAAACATCCAAACATCTTAACAAACTTTGTTATTTCACATATAATATTTGTAGGAAGAAGAATTTAGATAATTTTAGCAAACGTCCGTCATAAGGTTTGGTTCCGGGGCTTGACCTGATTTTACAGCCCTTTAATAAGGCCTCCCTTTAATATACGTAAATAACTATGTCCGTAACATTAACTGACGTTTATGCCGTATTTTTTTATTCAAAGGTCGTTTTATTTATAGCTACCATTTATATATATATATATATATATATATATATATATATATATATATATATATATATATATATATATATATATATATATATATATAGGATAAAATCCAACACAGGGGACAAGTTAACATTTGGAAAGGCTGTGTTATTATGACCTCAACGTTTTTAAAACCCGTTATAACGTTCCACTTTTAGATTTTTTTTCTACTAAAAATGTCGCAGTCTTATCATTATCGTATCAACCATTAACTGTCTGCTGCTGAACAACCTTCCCCATAAGGCGAGTTTTGCCAATAGTTGCCACGCATGGCAAGCGGTTTGGCAACCGCAGTTAAGCTTTTAGTGATGTTTTAAGAGGGACTTGTCGCGTTAACCACATACCAATGAAATCAAAATTATTATCTTCCCATAATAACAATGGGCGACCAGATGCCAAATCAGTGTGGAAGGTTGTGAATATTTCGTTAATAAATTTCTAAACTAGGTTTTAATAACCAGTAATACTTTGTTGCTTTCGATCCTTGTTCTTTGGAAAAAAATATTCAATTCCATTCGCGGAAACTTTTAATTTCTATTTAAGACTCTGCTTTGGCGCTGCTTATGGAATCCCCACCTAACATAAAAAGTAATAAAAAATATTTATCTGTATCATTTTATATTTATTTTTTAACCTTCTCACAAAACAAAATGTATATTATTTATGCGAGTTAAACTTTTGATCCTCTTACCTCAGGAGATACTGAACGAGTTGACCCGAGGAGCGGGTTGTACTCCAGAGGGCGCTCTGAACGCAATGCTCCAGTTCATCTTCCAGCAGAGTACGGCAGACACACGCTGGTTGAGACGGCGTATGGCCACTGAATTGGCGGAGCTCCTCGCCAAAACATCCTCGGGGAAGATCTTTGAATCCTTAACAGTAAGTCACTATCGTTATCATAATCATATTAGCCTTTAACTGTCCACTGCTGAACATAGGCCTACCCCTATTGGAGGGTTTTGCCAGTAGTTGCCACGCTTGGTAAGCGGGTTGGCAACTGCAGTTAGGCTTTGGTGATGTTTTAAGAGAGACACTGCTGCCCATTCCTCAACCATTATGTTTCTTTACTCGCATCTTACGACACCGTTATCACGGTATTCGACTACTTGGAGGAGATCTATTTCAGAAATAAAGTTACCCTAGCTCATTATACTATTTACAAATGCCTTATCTTTGTAATTTACAAAACAAAGTGAAATGAATATTTTATCGGTATTGCTTGCTTTCTAACTTACTGTAAAAATTATCAAACTGATTTTATAGAAGACGAAACAAAGTGTTGCTAAACGATACCAACAATAAAACTAATTTACTTAATCCTTTAGTGATTACTTAGATAGTATCTTTTAATTTTAATTATTACTTAATGTTTGATTGTCAAATGCATAACTCTCTTTTTGACAGTCGGGTAAATGATATAATTATGTAATTAATTAATTCTTATCTGACATTTTTTTACACCAGCTCCGCTCCCTAGAAGTTGGTACAGAGTTTCCAACTATTACGAACCTACGTCTACTTAGTGGTGAACTGGAAGACGATGGTGCAAGGCTACGCTCACTCGACTTAAACTTCGACCTTGCCTATGACGGGAACTTCAAGATTGATGTAGATGCAGTTATGTTGTTGGGGAAAATAGCAAATATTTCTATTACAGGTAGGTAATAATTATTGTTTACTTTATCAATTCAACCTATATCTATCCACTGTTAGACATAAACCTTTCCCAATCCTTATCCTTTCGAATCCATTTCAGGCTATCTTTTTAATGTCATCGATCGATCTATAAAGACGAAAGGCGCCCTAAGCAGGAGCTTGGGGCACCTTAAAGCTTTATAGGAATAAATAGTATCCATTCAAGACCTTTTCTTTTGGCCGTAATTCACTTGTGAATTTACAGAATACAGAGGAAATACATCAAGGGCGAAATAGTATACTCTGTTATGTCCATGGTACTGCTCATATCTACAGGCGACGGTTACCACTTTTCATCAGATGGGTCGTCAGCTTATTTGCCATTCTAAATTGCATAAAAAAACTTAATTCCTTTAATAGAAAAATCCTTATTGCGATGTCATATATCGTATTTTACCGCCAAACGACTGTTTGGGTATTTTAGGTTTGCAGGATGGGATTTAGCAGTAAAATTTCCAGGGATGAAAGCATAAACTTAGTCGCAGAAAATACTAACTAAATATACATACTTTTTTATTTTAGTGGAAAGCATAAGTGGGAACGTGAGAATTATGTTCAGACGTACTCCATACACACACTGGGCTCTGGCATTCGAAACGCAACCTAAACTAGAATTGCGAGTACGTGGTCGCTTCCAAGGCAGACAGCTCAAACCTAGGCTAGCTTCATTGGTCGCTGCACATATCAGACGAGCTATCGCCCAGAGGCATACACTACCTAACTACAAGATACGGTAAGAACACCCACTCATATTTCTGTTGTGAAACAGCTGTGTGCGCATGACTGTGTATATTCTTTCAGTTTAAAGGGTGGCATATGTAAAGAAAATGGCAAAGTACGGATGCATAATACCTTAGTCCTCAGGAATGACAGTATTCTCTGTAGCGTCCCTGATTCTATTCATATCTATAGGCAATTAAAAAAATTACCTTTTTCTATCAAGAAGACCGATAGACAGCTTCTTTGCCATTCCAAGGTTCATATAAGTACTGTAGTTTTTTATAGTTTAAAAATTCAAAGCCAATAACAAACAAATTTAAAAAAATATAGATATATCAAAGTGCTATCAATTTCCACTACTCCATTTTAAAGCATTGTTTTATCATTTCAGATACAAGCCATTCTTCCCCAAGTCAGAACCGGGAAGTGCTGAGGGGGACGAAGGTCCTACACCTCAGGGACGATTGACTGTGCGACTAGTAGAAATTACACGTTTACAATGGTCAGGAGCAAATGGAACTGTACGAGCAGCTTTAGCTGTCGATTCGCATGGTTGGGTAGGTTTCTATTTTGAGTTACCAATCATCATAATCACAACTAGATTAGGATATTAATCTACTATTATCGGTAGATTAGTAGCTTAAAAATTTTTTTGTTTTTATTTTTTTATTGAACTGGTATGTTAATCTTTCTCCTCTTAGATGCCTCTTACAGCCAGTATACACTAGCCACCATGCATTACTAGGAGAAATTCATAATGTGCGAATTTGCCAGACGTAATTTGTCGATTATTGCCATTCTAGTGGACGTAGCAGTTAACATAGTTAACATAACCAAATTTCGCCAAGCGTATTTGAATTATACTAAAGGATGTCAAATCTTAAAGTATTTCCTTTAATTTTGTTTCAGGTATCCCTTCGGCGTGGCGTCTTAGTCTTGGACATAGTGTTACCAGCAGTAGCCGGCCCCCTTGGGCTGGTGTGTTGTCAAGGAGTAGGAGTGGTCTTGGTAGATACTGTGGTACCCATGTCTCCTGCCTACCGCGCTGACTTGAGGAGAGACGACGTCGTTTTGGCTATAGATAATAAACCAGTGAATAACGTAGCCCAAGTGAGTTCCTTGCATTATTTTGTTACATACGAGTATGTTTATAAATAAGTCCATATATCTTGCTAATATGATAAAACTGTAACCAGACGATATGTGTACATGAGAGATATTTAAAAAAATATATATTAGGGCTCTTAGTACGATAGAAGGCTAATAGAAGTCAAACCAATTTTTTTTCAAAATTTTGTCTGTATGTAAATATTTGTATCACATTTTTTTACAGGTCGGCAAATTATTAAAATGTGTGGATCGTCGAGCGGTGACTGTGCGCGTGCGTCGTGGTGCACGTCGTGAAGATGCTCTCACAGCGAGCGGAACTTCAGCCAACATAACTGCTGCATCCAATGAACCACGCCGCATGCGCACAAACTTTACCTTCCGCCGCGTCTCCGAAGTTATGGAGGGAGTCCGCCTTCAGGGCATGAGGGCAGCCACTTCAAGAACTAACTTGCAAGTAAGCGCTTTTTAGATTAGCATTAACAGTACTCGTTGACCAACTACTACCGTATACCGCTGCTTAGAGTTCCGTACCGCAAAAGGAAAAAACGGAACCCTTATAGGATCATATCGTCGTCCGTAAGTTCGTCTGTCAAGACCCTTTTTCTTAGAAACGTATGGAGGTATCAAGTTGAAATTACTATGTATTAAGTGATTGCAGATCTAATTACATATACTCAGATCTGCAATCACTTAAAAGGAGTAAAAAAATCAAGCTTCTAAATCGACGCAATTAAAAGATGCAGCCGTTTATGTTCCATTTATATCGCATATTTTGACATTCGCAAAGGAAATCAAAACCTATAGGGTACGTCCCGTTGACCTAGAATCATGAAATTTGGCAATAAGCAATGTCATGTAGCACAAGTAAAGGAAAAACTCAGAAACCAAAAATTTGTAGTTATTTCACAAAAAAAATTGATGATTTCGTATGGAACGTTCGTTGTGCGAATCCGACTCGTACTTGACCAGTTTTTAATTATATAAATACGTGTGCAAATGATTACTCTATTAGGAATTATAGTTATAAGCATATTTAAAAAATAGGTCTGATCTTAAAATTTTCATGCCTAAATTGCTGAACAAATAAGATTTATCAAGTGATCTTGCTAGTCAACAACAAATAACTAGAACAATATTAGTGAAAATTTCGGCCATTCAAATATTTAAAACAAATATGAATGCTATTCATGAATTTGGATGATGTTCATGAGATATAAATGTGAATATCATTTACATCATTTATATCCAAATATATCAGCAAATTATATTTGTATTTTTTTTTAACATTAGGAAACAGAATCACCCTCGAAAGTAGCTGAACCACAAACTGAAACGGAAACCCAATCAAAGCAGAAAAGTGAACTAACAAGGCAACCTTCAAAGACATCCGAACCAATGGGGCCTAGTAACTTTGGACTACGGAAACGAAGATGCTCAGTCGAAAACAAGTCTTCCGATAGCTCCGCAGGCAGTACACCACCCGCATCAGGCGCCAGTACACCACTACGTCAAGCCACTACCATAAACAAAACTGTCAAACATCCAGAAATACCAATCATCCGAACCGACTCCTCAGAGTGTAAAGTCCCTGAAAAATCCGAAATACTGGACGAGGAAGAGCAAATATTTGAAACTGGAGGACCAAGGCAAAGCGAACACGTAGAAATCTGTCAAATGTATTGGACCAAAAGTATACAGTTGAAGCCCATAATACCTTTTGATGAAGAGACTGATTTCAAGTTGAACGAGAATCACAAGTATTTGAATATAAATGTTTGGGCAACTGTGCCTGGAGAGAAAGACGAAGTGCTATTAGGATATTTGAATATACCTTTATCGGCTCTATTAGCTGAATGCCAAGATTCCACTGTACCTCATCATATGAAGAGATATCAGTTTCTGCCGCCAGATGTCGATATCAAATTTAGGTATTGAACTACTTAAAAATTCAAATATCTTTTATTTACTTTATTGGTTAATTCATATTGATTATTCTGTACGTCTACTCGTATGGATAAAACAATTTACATTCCCAGATTTAAGACTGAATTTTACTAAATAATACTACCAGAGGGAGACTTAGTACAAAAGCCGTTTGCTTGGGTACCTCTATCCCATTGATATTTCAAACGTGAAGCAGTTGTTTGCGTAGCTGTATTTCGATTTGAAGGGTGGAATATGGCAGTAAATTTACAGGATACAGAGGCATAACAACTTAGTCCTTAGGAATGGCAACGCATGGGGGAATATCATGGACGAAACAGTATACTCGTATATATAGTTTATAAGTGACGGTTACCACTTTCCATCAAGTGGGCCATTAGCTTGTTTAACATTGTATTATAAGTTGCATAAAAAAAAATTGGAGTCGATTTTGTTGTGGAACACTATTTAATTATTATCATGGGCGAAACAATCTTATATCCATAGTATTGCTTATGTCTACAGGCGACGATTACGACTTTCCATCAAATGGACCGTCAGCTTATTTGCTATTCTAAGTTGCATAAAAAAATAAGTAAAAAGGTAAATGACAAATTTACTTCCTTATCCCAAACCCCAACCAAGACATCTATGAATTCCTATAAGACAATTGACCTAATTTCATACTTCCTCCCTGCAGTGGTGCAGCGTACGCGGAGTTAGATTTCTATTTACTAATAACAGGATATTTGTACTAAATAAACTATATTGCTAATGAACTTAGTACCTGGGTAACAAAAGTATTTTGCTCTAATTAATTATGTTATTTTACTTTAGCAAAAGCCACAAATTGTCATCACATCCGGGATTTGAGCCATGTTTATGCTTTGGCGACGCTCTGGTCTGGTGGGAATGGGAAGGCGTTGGTGGCAATCGGTCCTCAAGTCGCACCACTGCTCGTGAACCAGCACTGCCGCGACCGCCGAAACCGACTCGTGCGACTCACGACTTTGTACGCACGCATTTCCATCGATCGACGCAATGCGATTTCTGTAACAAAAAGGTAAATTTTATATTTTTAATTTTTCTGATACATTGAAATAAATGGAATAGATCTCACTAATGGTAATTAAGATCTGTTTAAATTTGATGTTTTAACGCTAATTTGGCAATTGACGCTATCGATTCGAAATACATATTTATTGTCTATTTTATATATGACTCAAGATCGGTCTCTGGTCAATCAACCTAATGTTGCATTAGTCTAAAGGTTTCTATGAAAACTACCTAAAAATTAGACTAAAAAATATATGCATGAGTCGATAGAAACAAAATAGCCTATTTCTGGTATTTTTATTATTATAATTAAAAAATATTACTTGGTACAATTAGTACAGTATAATACTTTATCTTGTATTTAGAAATATTCAAGTCCTTCGAGCCAGATATTACACCACTGGCTATATAAACAAACGATAAACGAATAAATAAACAATTTCTAAAGGAAATAAAATATCTTATAGATATGGCTGAAAGATGCAATGCAATGTCGCAACTGTGGTCTATGCTGCCACAAGAAATGCGTCGCAAAATGTCAAGAGTCTTCTCCATGTGTACCAAAACAAGATCAAGGTAACATTTTGTTTATTACCCGTTTATCACTAAATACCTGCGATGAAGACGTATTAGAAATTTTTAGCACTAGAGGGCAATATTCTCACACGAGTAATAGTAATACTAAACGCCTGAAGATTTTCAGAACGCTTTCTACTGTATCACGAGAATATTTTTAATACATAAAAATAGTATTATATGGTAGCCCTCTTTACACTATTTGTTTATCCTGGTGAAGTATATTAGCCCATGGTAAAAAATTAACCAGAAAGTATTTTTTTGAAGTTTACTTTAAAAAAGAACCAAAAATCTCCGAAAGTGTTGTCCATGCATGATATGAGTCATAAAAGTACAGGAAGCAAGAGATTTGTTTATTAACACTCGGTTCTTTCTGCCCCACAAGAAACTTGATGTAAAAATAGATAGATAAATATAATCACAATTCGGTTATTTTCCACTACATGGGACTACGTGGAGATTTAAAGGTAAAAGTAATAAGGAGCTACACCTACAAGTTCTATATAATTATATCCAATATAAATAAGGCCGATTTTGATAAAAACTAAAACTGTATCAATAGATTTTTAAATTGTATTATACGAGTACAATACTAACTTCAGTATACAGTTATTACATATTCTGTGACATTAGGCTCTGAGTAACCTACCTCTAGTTTATAACATAAAAATTAAATGTATGCTTAGTCTGCAAAAAGCAGTTATCAACGAAAACCCCGACGAAAGATTGAAGAACTATTAAGTAGTTTTTTCAAAGTCGACCTGCCCACATATTCCTATTGCCAAATATTCCTCAGTTGACGTTTATTCCATTTCCTTGGTCATTCTATTTTTTACATATAATAAAACTAAAAAAAAAAAGACTTTCATTAATGAGAGAAATGTGTCGTTTATGTCCTCGGTGGATGATAAGTAGGTACGTAAGAAAAATATTATCTCTTGAGGCAAATAAAATAGAACTTTGAAACAATGGGGTTAAAATCCATTCTTTATATAATTTCATTTATTTCGTATAACCCTCCAATAAAATTATACCTTTTGTTGATTTTAGCTTACTGAATTCGAATGAGTTATATGAAATAAACCTTATTACGATTCGCATAAAGCGTTTTTTTTAAGTCCTTCAAACTCGGGACAAGACATTTTATAGACATAATAAGTATGTCAATAGCTTTGGAAATGGATTAACAGATTTTGCTAATATTTATTTATAATAATAATTCCATTAAATTAGGTTTTAAATAAAAATTGTTGGTTATTTTTTTTGTATGTCATAATGTAGTATTTACTTTGATAATTATATGAAATCTTATAATAATAAGGAAATTAGTCTTACGAGTGCAAAACCTATATTATTGCCGACTAGTATAACTAAGTAATCGTAATAAATCCAAACTCTCGACAACTTGTTAATGTTGACGTAAAGATTGAGCCGAGGTTGAAGCAAAGAAATTCCGTTTTATCCATATTTGGGTTAAACGGAAGTAGAAATCCTTATTGTGTGGAAATGTTATACAGATCTAAACAAGTAAGTAAGTACCATAGAGTAGAATAACAGACAATTACATATTTATATATATATATGTTTGTGTGCGTAAAATATTCCTGCTGGTATACATTGTTCTGTTTGTTTTCTCAAATCGAATTTATACAAATTTAACTCGATTCGATTTTAAGAAACTTAAATTTATCTTAATAAAATACGTAACTATATTTTTTATTACAATCGCTTAAAATGCTTGTAACTACAAAAATATTTTTTTATTTAAAAAATATTTTAAAGTAAAGTAAAAAACATAATAACAAACACTTAATAAAGTTGCGCACAAAATAGTTGTATACCTACATGAAACATTGATATAATACAATTACAAAATAAACCGTTTTGATTTAAATAAATAACACGGTAGTGCCAATAGTGCTGAATATTAAAACGGTAATTAGATTCTATAAAAGTCTCTACCAGAGACCAACCAACCTTAAGAATACTAATCATAACTCTTTATCCAAACATCTATATAAAAAAAAACTACTTAGTGCAAATAAATAAAACGCACTGTATTTAATATTACACGCTCATATATTAAAAGGAGTAAATTAAAAGAATATACAGAAGGAGACTTTATCAATTAAAGGCAGACATCCTGTGGAACCTACTTAAGCGATTAACAATTCGAAATTCGCATTTTCTGGCTTAATCCGACCTTATTATTTAATTAGAGCTTAATATATTTTTTTTAATTAAAGAACAATACCAGACAATAATAATAGAAATTACACCCACATTTGCTTATTTGGGATATAATTTAACCTTCCAAAGGAAGGAAATTTACGCATTTATATATTTTTTATCTGTTTGAAATCGCGCCAAATATCTTTGTCCGTAACAGAAGCGGTTAACGACCAGAAGGTTACTGGCCTGTAGTTCGTATTCGTATGTTAACTACTAGGTGGGTACCAAATTTATAGATTTAAAAAAAAAGTCTTTAAGATTTTGCTAATTCATCCTTAGCTTTTTGAAAAAAATCATAATTTGTTGGCAACGTTTTAAACTACGTAATCAAATTCTACTAATAATTTAACTGGAAATATTGTAGCTTTGACTACTGAATGTTTAATATAAACTTTAAAATAGAGATATATCATATCCTAGATCATGCCTAGAATATTTTTTATCTTAATTCACGAAGAATTTCTGACAAAACCTCGAGATATAGCTATAACTTAAACGTTCTGAATGGCTCTACATGGAACCATAAGGTCCAACTGAAAATACATACCTGGAAACAGAAACCAAAAATATTTATTCCTATATTCTTTCTATCAAGAAGTCAAATTGGATATTTCATATAGAATACTTTTTACTTACTTTACTGTTAATATTGTCCCAGTTCAGTAATCACATTTATCTGAAAGGAACTAGCAAGAAACTAAGTTTATATTTGTTTGGTTAGTTTATTTAGAAAAAAAAAATTGTTATGTTTGTTTTATATAGACTACATGTCTACGCTTTATCTTCACACCAGATCCTTTGCAGACTAAGCAAGTAAAGACGACCAAGCGCCAAAAGTGTCCATTACGTACACACATATCTAATTTCATTCATTTTAACAATCCATAATTTTGAAAACCGGTTCCATAGACTTTTGTCTCCCCGTAACCGATCCAGGAGAGGTCTAGCCTATCCCGGTGTCTGCATTATTCCTCGCTGTATGTTTTGTCATCCTATTATTCAATCTTGTTTTCACCTACCAGAACTGACTTAGAACACTCCTAGCATTAAATTATTTGATGTAAATTCAAATTAATGGATGTTAAATCAAATTTTAAATATATACTCTACTCCCAACTTTTGTTAATTCTGTACCTACTACGAAAACTAATAAATTTATTAGTCAATGAGTTTATTTTATTGTAGGTACCCTATGACTAAAATTCTAATGCTATTAATATTACTATTAATTTGATTAGAATTAAAATTAATAATTATATTAACATTGTAAATCTATCTATACAAGAAATGGCTATACAGATTTAAATAAAATTTGAAACAAAGCTAAAACATGTGTTGGATTAACACTTACAAATGATTACATAATTTTTTTATTATATCAGCTCACTACAAACCCCATGACCCTCCTTCCCCATAAAGGGAATCTTGCCAGTGGTTGCCACTTTTGGCAGACGGATTAGCAAACGCAGTTAAGCTTTAGATTTTGTAAGAACTAATTAATTATAAAATAATTAATGTTTTTAAGCAATTTAGCTGCTGCCCATCCCACGACCATTAAGTTTCGTTAGTTGCCTCTTACGACACCCACGGGAACGAAGTTATTAACAACCTGTGAAGGGTGTATTCTACCAGCAAAACTGAATATTTTCACCATAGAAACATGGGTCGGAAAATGACAAAAAAAACTTGAGCCTCACATAGTAACACACACGATCAGCTGTTGATTTGTATGGGAGACTCAAGATGTTTAGTTGCTTTTGAATTTTTGATTTACGTAAATTTTGTACTAATATATTCTATAGCATGGGTAGGTTTTTACTTTTACATATGGCTAAGAATTTCAATTTCACCTTGAAGTTACTTGTTGTTCGTTTTAAATTGATCATACCAATGATTTTAAACATCCAATACTTGCTGCTAGTTAACGTCATGTAATAGATATCTTATACATATTTATATGTAAGATATTATTGTACATGCCATCATGATCATTGTTATTATTATTTAATTATTTATTGCACCAAGAACAAAAACATACACAATGACAATTAGAAAATTCAAATAAATACATAAAGATGCCAAAGGCATTATCATCATTGCCTTGCCTGTTTTCTTTTTTTTTTGGGATCGACGCAATATGCGTTCTACTACAAATCTCTATCAACGGTCATTTCCGGACTCACTTTTTTATACCTATCATATTTCACAGTCCATATACATATAAGATATCATATACTATATTTCACGTCACATCCGTAATACAATAAAAAATATAATTAAGTAAGTAAACTAGTTTTACAAAACACATTAAAACAATATTCTTTATATGTTACAATTCTCAAGTGCACAATAAAGTTACGTATAAAACATTCCTATCCAGCACATTTTAGAGGTTGTTGCGTGACCACCGGTTGCCAGTACACGCGGAAGGCAAAATGTTCCACTTCGTGTTAGTCAGCGGTATGCACATAATTACATCTTTAAGTAATTCTAACTCATATGCTCGCGCCATGCAAGAATATATTGATGTCATTTTCTGACAAAAAAAAACTGATCCGACCACAAACGAGTCTGCTATTGTCAAAAACAGTAGCACAAATAAAAAAATCAATTCATGTAATGAAACGTTGCATTTGTTATTATTTAAAGGTCAACCTAATAGTAAACGATTATCAATAATACCAAGGGCATTACGCCCGCCTTACCGACCCTGAAGAAACCTCTTCACTCCTATTTTGAAGACCCCATGCTGTAGTCTCTTGGAAAAACCTCGACCTTTTTATTAAATTTTATTCAAACAGAATATAACGATTAGTTGTCAATTACTTGTCATCATTTACTTGTACCTCACCAGCGTAAACCAATAGCGCAGTCAATTTTACCGTCCACGAGTACACATACGAGTACCTCTTATTTTCATATTTTTTATGCAACTTAGAATGTCAAATAGACTGACGGTCTACTTTATGGAAATTGGTAACCGTCGCCTACAGACATGAACATAAAAGAGTATATTATGTAACCCATGATACTTTTCATGTATTGCCATTCCTGAGGACTAAAATATTATGCCTCTAGTTAAATAATATATCCCGTAATTTCATTGCCATACCCCATCCTTCAAACCGAAACACAGCCAGTCTCTACAATACAACTGCTTCACGGCAAAAACATGAATGGGACAGCGGTACCCAAGAGCAGACGACATTTATACAAAGTTTCCCTCTGGTAAAATAGAATAATAGTAATTGATGGTATAATTAATTGAAGCTATGATAACAAAAAAGTCTTATGGTTCCGGCATAGAGTACGTCACCCCTTCCTTTCCCTTGAATGTCGTAAGAGGTGACTAAGGGAGAGCGAGGGGTGGACAGCAGCGTCCCTTTTAAAACATCTCCAAAGCCTAACTGCGGTTGCCAATGCGTCTGCCAAGAGTAGGATCTACTATCAAAATAGGGGGGAGGGGGGCTTATGTCCAGCAATGGACAGTTAAAGGCTGATATGATGACGATGATAATAAGATAACCAAGATATTATATGCAAAAACGCACGCACTCCTGTAACCGCAGTAATTAGTAAGCTTATAATAATAAAAAACATATCAGTTCCTTCATGGCATCAGTCCACGAAAATAATGACGCATGATATATGCCTCATGACTACGGTCATTACCGAACACAATCATATGTTTTCAGGGAAACCAAGTCATTTACTTTTTTTTTAATTCTACTTATTATATATAGAAAACATTCCACCAACGCCGATGGAACTCACGACCATCGATAGGTGAGGCGGTGTGTTAAATTGTTAAACCACCAAGGTTGTCTAAATTACTTATCTTAGAAAAATCTCATCATCGTCACAAAATTTATATAATTCTTATTCCCATGTTTGTCTTCGTCAGGGCTTAACTGTCCACCGCCAGAGGTCATAATGACGGAACCAGACGCTGCTGATGCAGATTCCGATGATGAACCTGAGAGAAAAGACTCTTTGGATGTCCACGAAGAAGGTATGTAAACATCAGGACTAGTGCAATAAGTATTTGAATGAATGAATGGAATCTCTTTATTGTTCCTTTCAATGAATGATACAGATCATAAAGATTATTTAGTATTTGTTTATTGTTTATTTATTTTTAATTATAACTGTTATGAATTCCACTATTTTGGTGATTTAAGAAAAAAATATTGCATAATTACAATACTATTGATATAATATTGTTTATCTATGGTAAAATAGAACTGAGATATTTAAAAAAGCAACATTTTGAACCTTATTATTTCAAATATTCGTATAATCGGTAGATACATATTTGTGAAACAAATATTTTAAAATCTTTTTTGAGAACAAACTGGAAATATTCTGATTTATTTTCTAGAATAAAAAAATAAATTATTCCTTTTTTCTTTTCTTTGTACACACAGACGAATTGTACGAAAGCTGACGAAGGATACGGTACCTCGTTATTAACATCGGACACTCCCGTCAACTACACACATAGTTATATTCAAGTTTGTCACGGTACATGTTCAATATTGTTTAAATTATTTTCCAGAAGTTTCCAGAAAATCCTCATTAATGTGTAGCTTATTCATCTTTTGTCGTCATGTTCCCTTTTGTTTGTGTTAGAAACTTTGTCTTATCCTTGGCCAATCAATGTGATATGTTATACGAGGTCTGTCCGGAAAGTTCGTATAAAAGTGTTCTGGAATGCGAGAAAGAGGAGTGGGGAGGCCAGGTAAGCGCAGGACCCCTTCCTTATGTCCCTAACAATGCTTCAGTTCTGGTCTGACCGCCGTGCGGTGAGAACTGGCTTGTCACGCCATCTGTGAAGTTACCTCTTAACGAAACCCCGTCGGCATGGAGCCCGCTTCCGTTGAAGAGCAGCGCGTCGTAATCAAGTTTCTCTCGAAACTCGGCATGAATGGCCGTGAAATTTTTGCCGATCTCAGAACAGTTTATGGGGATGATGCTGTGAAGGAACCAACCGTCCACAAGTGGCTAAAAAGATTCAGAGAGGGCCGAGACAATGTTGATTGTTTTTTTCGATGTTCGGGGGATTGTCCATCAAGAATTCGTCCCTCCAGGCCAGACAGTTGATGGAAAATTCTACGTTGTGCTCAGACGCCTCAAAGCTCGTGTGGCACGAGTTCGTCCAGAATTGGCGCGAGAGGGGCGTTGGATTCTTCACCACGACAATGCCCCTGCCCACACCTCTCTTGTTGTCCGTGAGTTTTTGAGTAAAAATTCCATTACGGTGACCGAACACCCCCCCTATTCGCCGGATTTGGCCCCGTGTGACTTCTTCTTGTTCCCAAAAACCAAATTGGTACTTCGGGGGCGGCATTTGGGGGACATAAATGAGATAAAAAAAGCTACGACGGGGCAGCTGAGAAACCTACAACCAGAGGACTTTCAAGGAGCCTTCTCACAGTGGAAACGGCGTTGGCACAAGTGCATTATGTCACAGGGGGAGTACTTTGAAGGGGATAAAATTGATTTACCTGAATAATTGTAAAATAAAATTTTTAAAAAACTTTTATACGTACTTTCCGGACAAACCTCGTAAATAATGTACCACCTAATTTTATATTACCCACAACACGTTTGGAAATCAATTGACCGAACTATTTAATCTGCAGTTGAATTCTTCTATTGAATATTTTAAAATTGAAATCAACTTCCATAGAAATTGTGTGTTGCTATGATTACTCATATAAGTCAAAAGTTCTGAGTTATTACTCAATCACAGTTTGAAAGAGAAAATACTCTGTGGACCAAATTGACGAAATTAACTGTTCTCCACCTCATAAACTTGCTTAATTAATTGCCAAGTTTAAGTTCCTTGTTAGTTAATTATGCTTATGACTTGTCCTTTAACGCTCTGGTTAACTCTATTAGCAAGAATTGCACCTAATTTAAGTAGACATTTCAGAAACAGTGCAACATAATGTATCTGTTACTTGCATTCCAAGAGCTATCCAATATGCGTAACTTCTCAATTTGTAATTTTGCTTATTATGTCGAAATATACAAGTTGTAACATTTCGAAAAGTAGTAATAATATTATTTATGAAATTTACTAAGTTATCCTAAGGAAGAAGCATCGAAACATTTTTCTCGCCTTTCATAGCTAAAACCAATTCTACAACCGCGCGGTTTGTGTAAAATTTTGCATTACTTATTAACAATTTTTAGTTCTTCTTTAGGCCCAATTAGAAATTTCTGTGCAGCGTGATCCTATCCCGACCTTCCGAAAATGTTGTATGATTTCTGACATTATCAGGAAGTCCAAAATGGATACTTTGGTGATTCTTGATAAAATCCTAATTTAATGAACAGTTTTTTTTATAACAATCTGTAAAAATATTCTGTCATAGATAGAAAATGGAGTCTCTTGATACTAATGCTAATACGCCAAATTACTTACAGAAGGTACTTATTATTAACTCCTGCTAAACATCTTATACTGCGTAATTTATTAAAAACGTATCACAATTAAATGAGGTTTTCATTTAACTGTAATATATGTTTTTAGTACATTATATTACGTGAATTATCTTAGGATTCTATTATGAATTACCATTTTAGACCCCCATAGTATAAAAGACCTTAGTCCAATCGTATGAAATATATACTCTGGACAATAACCATTCCGGCTTCTGCTTCAGCATTTATGTTGGTATTTACAGTATTGCTTATACAATTTAGAATGACAAAGAAACTTATGACTTATCAGTTAAAATATGTTAAATATCTTGTAACATAAATATCTTAAAATAAACTCTGATCATCATAGTATCCTGATGCCCTGGCATTCTTGAAGACTTAGTTGTACGCCATCGAACTACTTACCCATCAAACGGAAACACTCAAGCATAAAATGATAAACAATCTGACGGCTCAGCTGATGAAAAATGGTAACTGTAGCCTATATACATAAAGCATCGTGAAGTTCACAAAATATTCTGTGTGCTTAGTGATGGAAACACTAAAGTATCCGCATATATAGATAATTTTCGTACAAAGTCCCTCAAAATTCAGCACTCACTAGCTACAAGGATAATGATTTTGCGAAGGTGGTGGAGCGATGAGCGCGCTGGTTGCTGGATTGCGGCGAGCAGGCTCAGCGCACTCACTGTCGGCGCCGAAGACCTGCTCCTCTTCACGTTCCCTACCACCGTCACCCAGTCACACGCCCAGGTATCTCACACAGCTTGATCATTTAAAGAACTCTCACAATATTTATAGTACTGCCGGAAACAAAGGATAAAAAACGTTTTAAATTATATATTTGTTCTTTATATCGCGGCTGAAATTTTCTAATATTTTTTACCATCAAATTACAAAGTTTTGAAAATCGGTAGCAGTAATGTTATGTAATATATTCACCAACACTGCACCAATTTTAATGGTTTTATTTACAATAAATATGGTTGACTCATTAGTTGGATTTTGTCGTGATAGAAGTTAGTTTTTTTGGATTTCCTATTATAAGCTTATGTTCATATCAATCACTCACTCAATCATTGTAGTTATTTTTTTTTATTTTAAGTCGTTATAAATTAAAGCTGAAACCCTGTCTTTAGATAATTAACACTTTGGACAACAAACACAACCTATTTGATAATCAGTCAACCACTATAGGTATAGATGGGATGTAACAATAAATTTATATATTATTTTTAATCTATATGGACTTTATATAAATGTAAAATCCGACTACGTACGCATAAACATAAACTAGACAAACATCATGTAATAAACCTTACTTCGGAAAACAGGGCCGGCCTTAGCCTATACCTGGCGGCCCAATGTTTTTGACGGCGAACCGACAATGTAAAACAAAGGTTACCAGGAGTGCCAAGCAATCCGATAATGCTACCGTTACACTGTTCTATCGATTGGGACAATATCTTCTAACGGTTAAACCAAAAATACCAATGTCGCATTTGATGCAACTCTGTAAACTAAATTCATACTACTACAATATAATCACAGTTCGTTCTCGATCACCGATCTTGGTCTGGTAAAATATTATCACGTAAGAAACAATGCGCGTATTCATACTATCTCTAACAATCCAGATCACTTCTAGTCACGATAAATAGCGAAGTGTTTCTATTTACCAAACTGAGGTTTACTGAGAAAAAACCGAGACTGACATTATAGTCTAAATCTAGCCTTATTGTTAATTGGCACCCCTGGGCACCAATCGACCGCGCCCGACTTACCTAAGGCCGGTACTGTCTAAGAAAGAGACGACAACATTTGTCACGAACAGTCCTTGTAACGCAAAGGAAGCAGTCTCTGGAGGCGGTAGGCAACCCGTTCGGCGGATGCGGCGTAACATGGCTGCAGAAGGGCGGCGTGAGCGCGATGCTGCAGCCGGCACTACGCAGCGCTCTGCCGCCGGACGCGCTGCTGGCAGCGGCCAGGGACTCCGCGCCTGAGCTGGCATCCAGGCTCTCCGCCCATCAGATACATGAAATGGTAAGTATAAACAAAAAATATCGGCAATTTTAAAACCTTCTTCTTTTTCAAATCGCATAAAAACAAAAAAAATACAATTTAAAAATTCGAAAACATTTTAATTGAAAACTTAAATTAACGGTTTATGATATGGACATGCTTTAAGAAAAATGATTAATACTTTAATAATACCGAGATTACAAAGCGTACGGAATAAAACCAGCCAATGTGTACAGTTATTTAATATAAATTATATAGAATACTCAGTACCTACATACATAAAGCCTATTCTCCATTGCCTTCTATTATATACAAAGAGCAATTTTTTACAATTTGAATGCTATGTTACCCATCGTACATACTCCTAAATTTGTGTAAACCAAATTCATTTGAATCTCTAACATACCCGTTGATGCGTAACAAATTTTCAAAGAAGAAAAGACACAATCAAGCCATTTATTCATTATGATGGTTGCCAACATGAATAACCAATACAATTTAATGCGTTATAAGTTCAATGCACCACAGAATCATATTAACATAAACCAATCAAAATATGGGAGACAAATACTCAATAAGCAATGTACAATATTGTGCCAATGTAAATAATAATAATTGAACATACTTACCTACATATAAATAAAGTATATTTTCCAGTTCCTAATTCAAATTTATAAATACCATTGGAGTATTTAAAATTATTTTCCAGGGGCTTTTCACATAGCTAAAAACTCCGCTCGCATCGTGGGGATGACCATCAGACAACTCTAGGGTGGGCACGGGCCATCCGGTCCTGCTTTAAATATGCCTATGATACTAAATAAACAATATACAACATTGTGATAGGATAATTAATAATAATTGGACATAGCTACATACGAGTATAACTTACATGTCCCTGTTCTATTAATAAAAAGTTACCTATGTAATTCGATTGAACGCTTATATATAAACTACCATATATGCTAAAATATATCGAAACTATTAATAAAAAGTTACCAATAGGTGACGGTAGCCAATGAAAGTCACGACGTAAATACAATCCCAGCAAAGTGTACAAGATCTGTGTTTTTTTAATGGGATGTAAAGTGTACGATGTCTTATTTTTATTAATATGTACATACAAACTTTCAATCTCTTTTTCAAGGTCAAGCAAGGTCAACCTGATATATAGCAGTGAAGTTGCTAATCCCCCTTAATAACAATTCCTTCTCCCATCGGTGATCCTTAGTAGAAATAGCAATTATTAATAATGGGATCGACACCTCTGGAAACGATCATGTATCATTTATCATTCCTGGTGAATTCGTTATGATAGTGGCCTAACTGATCTAACTTCATCTATTATCATTTACGGATACTCTATCAGCGTATACCGATAGCGCAAACGGGATCACTATTCCATTTTAATTATATATTAAATCATTGGAGTCAGTTAATTGGCTCGTTCAGGTCTTCCTTTGAGTCCCGTATTACTAAGAATTCTCTCCCCCTCACAAGATATATATTGGTTTCAGCTTCAAGCAGTCCGCGAGGAGTTGTCAGCGGATGACGCGGGTGGTGCAGGCGAAGACAGCGGTGAAGGTCGGGCGTGCGCGCTCACCGCCCTGATGTTGCACTGCTGCGCCGCGGCGCAACTAGCCCAGCAGCGCGCCGAACCGGCGCCCACTTGATACCAATAAATTATTGTTCTTTGTGACCATAGCGTTTTTTTTTTTTATCCTGTCTTCATTCAATGATCTAATTATTATTTTTGTATTCTACGTTTATTCCTATCTCTCCAAAATTTATAAATCTAAACTTCGTAATGAATGGTATAAGTATATTAATTTGAAACTCAGTAATGTGTAAATGTTTTATACTAAAACATAAAATTAAACAACTTTCTCCAAGGACATATTTAAGAAAAAAATGTCATCTTCCGACTACTCGAACCGAGGGGAAATAGCAGTACGTGTATTGAAATCCCATAAAATCAAGCTCTCGAATGCTAAAATTATATAATTTCGTATTCCTAAATATCAAAATAATTTTTATACTTCTCATAAAAAGTTCTACAATTTTCTAATTTCGACTGTTTCCTGAAGTCGTTTGGTTCCTTTCTCTGGGTTTCAATGTGTAATATTCTATGCCGGCCGGCGGCCTATTCTCTGCCGTGTGATCCCGGTATAGAATAAGCCGCCCCTTCCTTTCCCGTAGGTGTCGATATATTTCTTTGATAATGATATCATGATAATACTTTTTTTCCAGTACATCCAATCAATGAACTAAGTCGATTAACTGAAACAGATTGACGCATTTATAACCGCGTGTAACAGCTAACTTACATTTGTTCGTCAAACTTTACTGCTGCTGACTAGTAAATGACTCTATCTAGACAATAATAGATATTACACAAACATTTTAAAATCCAAACAGCGAAAATTCAATGTCCTCTCGTAAACATCTACGATCGCTAAGGATTTGTCTGTTATTTGCGTAGTTTTCTTTAAGGTGTGATTACACAGACAACTGTGCAATCTTGAGTCCTATTTGTTAATTACTCGAAAGATCACTATAACACAAATATCGCTATTGCTTGTAATACAATCAGTGGAGGGAGTTGTTATTAGTAAAAACCTTCATGCGGTACTCCTGGAACTATCGTGTACCATTATTCCTTGTAAATTCTTGATGATGGATCAAAAGACCTAATTTCATCGTCATCTATTATATTATTCTTCACTGGTCACCTGTGCCTTGCCAATGCATGCCAATACAGCAAGGAGAATGGGAACCATTATATTTGTAACCATCGAAAAACAATACATCCACATCAATACAGAACTGTTCGGGTTTAAAAAAATATTAGTCATAAATTTTATTGTGAGGAAATAATTCATTAAATGCAATAGATTACCCATGGCCTTTTAATATCTTATTTTTCCTTATAAATTTCAACGTTGAAAGTGAAACTCAGTACCTGAAAATGTTTGCCAAAATATCATTGAAACAGTATTTTCTCAGTATAAGTAGCTATAAGCAGCAAGGTGGCAATACTCTCATCTAAATAATAACTAAACAAAGAAAAATCTCGTGCGAGAACTCAAACAGCAATATAAACAGGAAATTGCATACGACTTTCGATTTTAATACCGAGAAGAACGGTACATTTTAATGTGCTAAAGTTCAGGGATCAAGAAACGAGGCGTATGCGAATTGCGTCGAAAGTCCGTTCCGAGAGAAACTGGCTCGTGTCCAGATTTTCCTGAAATAGCACAAAGGATCGACCTCAAAGTGAAAAAACTTCTGCGAAATGTCAGCGGTCGTACTCGCGCGCGCACCGTGGAAAATTTGGTGCGTCACATAACGCGTGCGACGTGGCCACGCTGTTTTGTAAATGTGCCGATTACATTTTTATAATCATGTTTGACATTGCGTGTGATTAATGAAACAATAAATCGATAATTTATTGTACGAAAATTGTAAAAAAACTTAATATCACATAACAACCGCGTTTCATAGTTATTTAAAAAAGAAATTCTAATGATTTATAATGACAAATAAGTTTCTAAAATGATTTCATATTTTCAACCGACTTCAAAAAGAATCGATCTTCTTATTCAAAGGTTCTCAATTCGCTTGTATTTTTTTTTATGTTTGTTACCTCATAACTCTGTTACTTATAAAGCGATTTGGAGAATGCCTTTTTGTTTCAAAAGATATACAGATTGGTCTCATAGAAATTTTGTCAAAATCGATTCAATAGTTTATTTTTTAAATCAAAATAACTGATTTTGCCACAATAGAAATCGGTTTTTTTTTTTTTTCAAAACACAATCTTAATTATAAAAGATTGTTTTAAAGTTGGGACTTCTACTTATAACAGTCTGTAAGAGACTTATTCATCAGCGATTGACAATTTAACGGCTGAAATATTGATGACGATAAAGTCTACATAGGAAGAATATTTTCATAAAATTAATGTTATTGCTCTGTAACGTTTCGGATTCGATTCTTATCAGGTAATCATAAATTTTTGAAGATGTTTAGATGTTTGTTACTCAATCATGCTTAAACGGCTGAAAAGATCTGAATAAAACACGAATACATTATATCCTAATTTAACATAAAGGATACTGACTCACACGGGCAAACCCGCGATGTGATAAAATAATTGTGATAAAACATGTTAGTATTAACTAGTTTAAATCATTTTAATATAAATATTTACACTTATTTCCAAATCCTTAATTATTAACCCACCTTTTACATGTATGTAATATAAATAAATTATTTGAGAATATAATGATTTTCTATTTATAATATTTTACGACTTAAAATAACGTTCATAAAACGAGGTCACGAGAACTATCGACACAGACACGAGGTCTCTGTATAAAATTAAGTAATGTTATCACTAATAGACGTTCCACTTTCGAATGACGCTAATAATAAAAAAAAATGTATATTCACAAGATAGAGACAGATAAAATTTACCTATTATATAAAGAAATCTGCCTGATACTAATTGTTATCATAGGCTTTTATTTACCTTGTCCCTTATCCTATACTTACGAGTATTATAACAAAATACCTAAGACATGCCTCTTAAAATTTTTTAAGGGTTTATTTTCAGTTCTAAAGAACTTATACTAATAATATAGAACAATACTTACAATAGTTAATTGTTTTTTTTTATTATTAATTATAGAACTTTAATTTTACAAAAATACTGCACAACTACACCAAGCGCTTGACCAACACTCGTACTGCTCTTATATATTTCTACACGTACTTGACAGTGGGATATCTATTTATTATTTACTTATCGTATATATTTTAAAGTAGCAATAGAACACATATTCGAGGGTCGCAAGGAAAGTTCCGAAACGAGCTGCTTACATAAACAAACGAAGGGTGCTCAGACTTACTTTTATCTTTAACTGCTACCATGATTAGATAGATGACTCTATAAAAGAAGTAAAAAGTGAGTGACCATTTTTATAAACGTAAAAACTAAAGAGAACGGTAGTAAGAAAGATATGTAAAATACAATGCGCACTGGATAAGGCGCGCTCTCTCTATAAGGAATTAGGGTTGAGACGTACAATATCCATCATTTACAAATTTCAAATATTATATTAAAAACAACTCTCTAATACGCTATTTGTTCGACTCGCCACATTTTTATTAGAACTGCGTTTAATTAAATAATCGAAAGAAAACATGGAAAAGTTTGTAAAACGCTCAACATTTAATTTCTTCCTTGTTTATTCCCGTACTAAAATAAATAGATATTAATCGGAGCACAAAACATAGGAATAACTTTGGCAAATTTTCAAGGTTGGGACATATGAAATTCTGCGTCTTAGTTTGGCGAACGCGGGACGGTGCATTGAACGTTGAACGGAACGACATGCGAACGTCAAAGTTTCGTTGACGCAATTACGTGCACGTATTATTAGCCAATAAATATCTAATTCCTGAGACCAATGAACGTACTCATATCATCCATAAATACGTGCGATGTCAACTGAAATGTTCCTGTTTAGGCGTATATGAACCTATCACACAAAACATTATGAAATTATGTAGACAAGAACCACTTTCTGGGCCGATTTCGCTATGAACAAAAACACGAAATTGAGTCCGAAAATACGGAATTTTATTTCATAGTAAACACCCTACACTATTGATTGACTCTGCTTTGAAAAATGAATTTATGGCAATAAAATTGTGAAATTCCTACATACATTGCATAACACAGATGCTGTTTGCTCTGATGTTGCAAGGGTTTATGCGTTACGATGGCCCTACGTTATACTACGTCCATGCGATAACAACTTGGCATAATATTGGGAGAACCGTATTATCGATTGCTATCCTCGTACCTGAAAAAGTTTATCATTTAATCGTATTTTTTTTTTTATTAAACCATGAAATTATTTTACATAAGCTTCCTAGATAAAAATGTTTAGTCTAAGATAAATAAATATCTAAGTTATTTTTTTTTATACTACTTAGAATGGCAAACATGATTCGCATAAAGTTCCTAATCTTATTACCGAAAACGACCTTGAACTTTAGCGTAGATAATTTACTCTGTGTAAGAAACTTGAAACTTTCGCTGGTCACGAAGTTAGAATAAACAGCGACTAACTCAAGGAAAATTATGCAATTTTAAAAGATCATAATTTAAAAATTTTACTAATATGAAATAAACTTGTTTACAAGCACTTTTAAATCATTATTTTTTTTTAAATCTACTGCAAGGTTCAGAAAGTTGTTTTCTGTTATAGCCCGCAAAAAACTCAACAGTTACTCTTTTAAATCTCTGTTAATATACATAATGTATTAAAAGATTTAAATTAAACACCATAAATTAAAGTATGACAACAAATAATAGGCAAGTTGATATGACTCCATAGTGTTATAAGTATCAGATATCTGATAAACTTCCACTATTGTTGTTTATTGTTTACGATAAACAGAGAAAGTTACACATTTTTATTTATGTGCGTTCGTAACGAAAACATTTTTGAATTATCGCAATCGAGTGCGCATCGAGTACGTCCGCAATAAATTGCAATATATGCGTCCACCGTGATAACGCGTTGTGAATTAGGCTGTAAAATTGTATACGGCCCCCAGCCCATCCTTTCACATTGAACTGACCAACAATGATTGATTGAACCGATTTTTATCCATAAACAAAGCGAAAGATAACAATTCAATGCCCTTATTGAAAACGTGACAACACGGTCTAATGAATACGAGATCGGATTTATTGTTTATTTGAAAACGAAACAGCCCTTTGTCACAGGATCTGTCGCTGTTGGCCGCGTCCCCATATTTTCCGCGTTTTCACGACCCCGCGTGCGTCAACTGCGCAGCAGGCAGACAGTGCGAAAGAGACGGGCATTTGTTGTTGTTGCCGTCTCCCTCTGCACCACGCTTCTTTGTTTTGGCAACGATATAAAGGCTGGTCGCGAACGCGGCGCTCGAATTTAACAAAGTGCCACCGTGTACCTAGGCGGTTTGCGTTTCGGAGCGGTGGTAGATGAGCTATTGAAATATACGCGATTCTTTCAAATTGTGAAAGACTTTCATTGTCGTGAAACGACCTTACCGTGACCTCAAGGAGTGTGCAGTGACTGTTGGTGATATTCAAGTGCAGTGATGAGACCCCCGACGGAGTACGATGGAGGCGCACGCCTGCCTGCCGAGGCCGAGGAGCCGGATCCAAGGGCACCAGCCATGATGATATGTGCTAGATTAGCAGGACGCGCGATAATCAGGGTTGTAGGAAGATGCGAAGATGCACAAGAAAACAGTCAACTTGGTACGTAATTTATATTACTTCCGTTAGTTCAATTATTCTGTACTTTGAGGCTTGGTACAGATGACAGGTGATATTTTTAACAGTTTTTCTATAAAAGAACTGTATTGTAATTTTTGAAGTCTAATTAATTCTAATAATCTTCATAAATGCGTTCTTACAATTTACTTTAAAATATTTTATTAATTCCATAAGTTATAAGTTAATTTTTTTTTCTAAGTTTAACGACCTGTCACCGGCTCCTTGCCGCAATATGCGGAATATGAGTTGGGAAAATATCTATTGTGTAACATCTTGACTATAATTTTATGTCACATAACTGTACTATTACCGTATTCATTTTTCAACAAAGAGTATAATGTATTACGGTTAACAAACACACTTACATACTTATTTGGTAAATTCATAACATTTTGTTTTAATAATTAAAAAAAAATCTCATTAGTTAACTTTGCTATTAGTTCTAGTTTCATCCATCAGAATGGAACAAGACAAATAATATCTAACATCATCATCATCATCATCATCATCATATCAATCGTTAACTGTCCACTACTGAACATAGGCCTCCCCCATAAGAGAAGGTTCGCCAGTAGCTGCCATGCTTGGTAAATGGATTGGCAATCGCAATTAACCTTTGGTGATGTTTTAAGAAGGACACTACTGTTCATCCCTCAACCATTAAGTTCTCTTAATCGCCTCTTACGACAATGACAGAAAAAAAAAGGGATGGCCCATTATATGTCAGGACCACACGGCGATATCTATCTACTATAAATATCTAACATACTAAGAAATAAATAATCTTAGACTTTTTTATAATCTCTATTTTCAACTAACAAAAGAAGGTGATTCTCAATTCGGTTATAATTTTTTATATTTATTACCGTCCGTTAAAAACAGATTTGAGAAATTCTTTTTTCTCTGAAGGGATAAGCTTACATAGATCCTATAGCCTCATAGATTTTTTACAGAATGGTTCAGTGTAGTTTTTAAATCAAGAACTGGTTTGGCGACAACTAAAGGCGTTTTTTTTTTCGTTGAATATAAAAGACATTAAGATTGTGTAATGTGAAATATAAAAGTAGTAATAATTACAAACATGCATCAATGACATTAAAAAAATGAATTAATGATCAAAATAAAGAAAACAAATGAATAAAGGTAAATCATACTGATAACCGTATAACAGATACGAGTATTATATTCTGTGCTTACACCAAGTCCTACTAGCCTCGTTCTGGTTATCTAAAAATAATTATTTTAAAAAGTTCAATGCACTCTCAGTACTTTCATCCCAGTAATTATTTTATGTAGAAATAGATAAGAGAGATAAGGAATCGAATCTGTAGGAAAATTGTCGTATAACTTTACCTATTATATATACGACCTCAAATGCATTGTAGAGAGTCAGTAAATGCAGGTAGCTTAGGACCGTTCCTTATTGCAGTCAATGAAGGAAGTCTATGTTCAAACTGATATATATTATTATATTTAGGCATAGAATGATTAATTCGACAATAAAATAGGTATCTAATGTGTAATATTTATGGCGGACTTAACACCATATGGCTCATATAATACTAAGTACATCTTCCGTGTTTCAATGTCGTATTTGTATATAACTACGTAATTAATAACACACAAATAATCTTATCTATTCTTATTTAAAAACATGTGTTTGTTTTGTGCGTCGTTGTTATTTTGTAAACAAAAATGAACAAACAGAAAATATAGTTCAATTTAATGGAATTATTCGTAATGAATTAAAAAAAAAATGTGATCAACTCGAGTATCGTATTTGTCCACTTGTTGTTATAATACAAAGATCAATAAAACAGTAATGAATAAACTCGAAAACTACTCAATACACTTTAAAAAATCGTATAACATTGAACTGCACCTATATTATTTTCAACAATTCTATGTAGTCGTGCGAAGCCGGACCGCATTGCTAGTTTGATTATAAACTAACACTATGCCCATTTATTTAACTCGCTCATATCATCTTTCCTCACATGAAACTCTTGTAGAGTCGACTCTAACCGTCTCTAATTTTTTATGTAGTACATAAAAAAATAAAAATATAACAGACACGTGTTCGATACATGTTTAGATATCTTACTATAAAAACGTGTATAACATGTATTTATGTCCGAAACAAAAGAAAGTCTATATTATTAAAAATAAAAGGTATTTAAAGCAATAAATTTTATAATAAATTTTGATATATGAAATTACAAATAATAATCATTAAACAATAAACTCTTAAACAGAAATTTATTAGACACTGTTTAAATAAACAGTGTTTTAAATATTCTTTGTAGTAAGGCCGTGTGATTTCAAGAAACACAACAGTCTCTTTTATTGTATGTAAACCTCCTAAAACATTCTAAATCAAAATGAAACTGACCGGATTCGGATCGGTCGTACCTAAATGTTGATCAATTGCTATTACGGTTTAGTAAGGTTTAATTATTTATTATAACGCAATAAAGATAAAAATAATGGGCGATTAGATAATAAATTGTATTGATTTCTTATGCAAATTAATAAAAAGATATTAAATATGGTACGTATATGTAGATAATTTACTTATAATGGTATTAGTTATATCAGTGTGTGCGCTGTAATCTTGATAACTACTGAATGAAAATACTCGGTTTTTTTATGATTATTTTAATTATTTATCACGAAACTCAACTCACAGCCATGTTATTGTACTCAATTCAACACTTTATTACTTTATTATCATTTCTTACTAATTAATCTAAACCATCAGTGTTCTTTTAAAGTAACACTCAAATTGTGAAACTCAACATTTTTCCCAAAGTATATTCATTGAGGAACATGTAATAATGTAGAACTTGACCTCCTAAGAGGAGGTGCAAAAAACCAGCTTCAAATTATCTTTTGTTCTAAAGCAAAATTGTCGAACTATTCTTATTCTGCGAATAACTTACATGAATACAATTATTTTTTTTATACATCTATGGTGGCAAACAAGCATATGGCCCGTCTGATGGTAAATGGGTTACCATAGCCTACGGACGCCTGTAACACCACGAACGTCACACACGCATTGCCGACCTTTAAGAAACCTTAATACGAATATTGAATTATGCACCAACTTTGATTTTTCTTATAAATTTAATCTCATTTTCATCCCATACTAATTGTCACAATTTAAATCTATTTTGTCATGAAATAAAATATTTTATATGTATTTTATCATTTAAGTCGATTTATATAAGTGGACGAGTACCTAGGTAAGGTACTATCTATTTCTAACATTGAAGGCGATTCATAAGTAAAAGTGTTTTAACATCCTTGTTCATTCTCGTATTGTTGATTTCGACCTTAATTCATGCTTCGCCGCGATCCCGTAAACATCTCACTCACTCACTGTTAAACAATAATTACACAACATTTTAAACATAATAAATATTTAATTTCTTCACTTTGCAATGATAATTATTAATTATTTTTACAGGCGTATGGGTTAGGTATACAGAAAAAAAATAACTTTTTCTATACTTAAAAATATTGAGGAAGACACAAAAATAATTAAAAATAAATAAATAAGAATATTTACGCAAAAAGATTCTATTTTTTTTTTAATAATAAATTCGCTACTGTCTTAGGATGAAACAGTGTGTTAAACAGCTATACTATCAAGGTCGTTAATTTAATATTATCATTTTTTTTTATAAGTGTAAGATTTCGAGTTATTACCTATTTAAAACCAGTTCGGTTAGTAGTATTATCACAGATCAACATAGATTTTAATAAATAAAGTAAGATACGTAACTGTCTACCGCAGAAGTATGTCACTATGAAAGAAGCTCGAATCATTTCCCAATTACCTATTACTTAAACACGTCGTGAACAGCCCAGTTTCTTGTTCACGGTTATTTTATTGAAACGGATTATAACATATCATTAGTTGCAACAAGCCGGAGTTACGTGAGTTATGATCTCGTGATTTCTTCATATTTCTCTCTGCCACTATTGAAACTTGAATATGACTTGCAATATTAAATCTGTATCTTTAGATGTCCATTTCGTCGATATGATCTGAATTATTATGATTCATATCGATTTCCGAATACAAAATTCTATATCATCCTGCTAATATTATAAATTCGAAAGTAAGAGTTCGAATAGATGTTTAGGCGTGTTAAAATCCATGAAATTTAATTTACAGATAGATCATATGTTACATTAATAGCTGGAAGACTGCTAGCTTGCAATAATTCATAAATGCTAGCAAGCAATTAATAAAATATTCTTGTGTACAACTTATTAGTTGCAATTTGGCAGTAACACATTTGGAGTTTGTTTTCTATTGTTAATAAGATTTTTTTTTATTGTTGGCAATAAATGTTTTCATTCTTTCTTTCTTCAACTAGTTGCCATACCTACACTTCGTATGGCATCTACGATAGCTGCATATTATATCACTCTATTTCTCTTCCATAATAAGTACTTGTACGTTGTTTTCTCATAATTCTAACAATTGCACGTAACAACTTTCTATTGAGGCTTTTTGTCATCGATAACCACCTTGTTACTCCGAGGACATAGTCAGGAAACCACAAGATTACCAAAGTGACTGCTATCATCTGGATTATGAACCTTATGTTAAGTTTATTAAGTTGAATAATATTTTGTCACATATTAGAAGAATAATTACGCGAAATATGCTTGATTTACGCAACTAGTATACTTAAATGAGTGCTCTCTTGCGTTCGCCTTTCGTAAACGAAGATATAGCGTAAAAGTTGTGAAACAAACCGAGGTCGGCTCAACCTGGAAGTGTTTGGCCTTTGTTACGCAGATTAATTTAAACGTACCTTAATTAATTCACTAACAAAATAACCCCGCCCGTTTCATTTCAACATATTTGAGTATTATCATATTCTTATTTATTTTTTATCAATAAACTTTAAGTAGATAAAAACCTTAGATTATAGTAGCAACACAATAGAGTATAAATGTCGAGATCTAAAGATTCGGTAACCTACATCCAACTCCAAAAGAAAGGGGAAAGGGTATGTTAGTAACGGAGACTATTGCCCCATTGCTGCTAATATACTCTGCTAGGACGACCTCCACACGGTTCTCTCTGAAAACCATCTTGATAAAGTTTTAGAGAATTATCATGATTGCACAACTGGCTTTACTTAATTTTTACCTATCTTCACATATTGGTATCCCGCAATTAAAATCACTTTTATAATTCCATTTAAAAAAATCCAGGAGAAGAGAATTGTTTGTAAATAGGTCTGAGAGCTCTATATCTAACAATATCTATGTAGGAAGTGCAATGATAAATCATTATAGACAAAGGATAAATGTAAATTTGGTGTCAACATTCTCTCGTTGGATAAAGAAAACTTTGTTCGCTTTCTTTGCGGCCGAGAAACATGTAAATATAAAAACTTTTTCAACCTTCATTATCCTAACTAAAAATAAAGTCCATTCCCGGAAAATCAGCTGCGCGGCCGCCGAACTGAGTCGCAATTCCTAATATTAGACTCGTGTTTTGAAAGGAAAATCTTTTGCGCAGTTATTGAAACGTGCTCGATTCAAAAGACGATTTCTATTGCATGCCACTCATTTGTTAATTGAAATTCAATAATGTTCATGAAAACAACCTTAGCTATTTGGCCAGTATTTAATATATTTAAACTAAGTACCCATTTCCCATTTAGAGTTGTTACAATTTTTTTTTCATGTTTTATTATTCGTCCCCAAAAAAATTATGACATTTTTCATTTAAGTATTCTTTGCATAAAATTGTTAAGAGAGTACGTAAAATGTCTGCTTAAAAAAATGTTTGATAAGGAAGTTAGTTGCACGTTTTTAAAATAGCGTCACGTAATATAATAATTGTACTATAAGACGGATTTATTATTTGTATTTGTATATATTCTCTTTTTAAATTTTCCTTGATAATCCTTTTAAAGTTCCGGAAGACGAATTACCGAGTAGATACAAGATTGCCATGCGGAAGAAATAAGCTACCAATCTAGTGCGTGCGGCTGACGCTTGTAGATACTGCGCCGTTACGCATAGTCTGTATTGAAGAACCAATTTAGAACATCACGAGGCACGTGCACAATCACAAACTAGCATCGACATATACACACACGTTGACCTTTACAGAACAATTTATTCCTTATGCAGTTGAACCGCCAGACTGAGGTCACTGCTCGCCGTAAATATACTTCCTTACAAAAAACTTAAACCATATGTTTGTGTGTTTAGTAGGATTATGTATATTTAAATCACAGACCAAAAAAACTATGTCCAAAGAATTTCAATTTAATTGCTAAGTAATTAGATAGTTACATAAACTTATGAAAACGAAGGTACTGATTAAATATGAGCATATCAGTTATTAACTTTTTCCATTGTGATGAAGTAACCGTTACACTCAACTTACATGCATTTCGTCAAACATAACAGGTGCTTATTCAAATTTAAGAGAAAACGAGCCTACTACTGTATGTTGAATTAAGTTATGAATAGTATTTTCCGTCACTAGAGAGTTATAATCGATCATTAGGTACTACCATACGCCGTTCTCCTGGAAAATTTGTTATGACTCAAAAACAGGTAATTCCTGACACCCCTCCTTCCCCTTTTACTGAGGTTCCCTGAGTACAATTTTTGACAGTGCCCGGTACCAGGTTGACTAAACCTGATCCTGATAACAGTCATTGAATTCAATTCAATCATTGCATTCAATTCATTCGTATCATTCATTGCATGCAATAGATTTTTTTTATGGATGACAATGGGGCGGTAGCCCCGCTTGCGCTAACGGTGTTCACTAGCAGTAAGGGATGATAGGTGAAAATGAAAAGATAGGTCAGTTAGCCCATCCTGAGGAATACGCTTGGAATCCAACACGATGGTTTCCACGTGATAGTCGACCTGTTAGGGTATGTTGTTATCAATGTAACTGGCAATAGATAATAATGTAGCCCCGCCTGTGCTAATGACATACGCTGGTGAAGCACCAGTGAAGGTTTATAGGTGAGAATGAAAAGGCAGGTCAATTAGCCCATCGTGATGAGTACACCTGGAATTCAGTACGATAGTTTCCACGGGGGACCACGTGGAGGTCGACCTGTCAAAGTATTTTTTTTAATGGGTGATAATGAAATGGTAACCCCGCCCGCGCTGTCGGTATACACCGGCGGGCAACAGTGAAGGATGATAGATGAAGATGAAGTAGGTCAGTTAGCCCATTATGACGAATTCAACAAGAATTGTTCACGATGGTTTCCAGGGCCAACCACGTGGAGGTCGACCTAATAGGGCAAATTGCTGGCAATGGAGCTGTCAAACTCCATTGCTAACAATCCCTTTCCCCTGGCAAGGTATATTGCTAGCAATGGGATTGGTAGTCCACCAGATTATAACAATTGCTTACTGAGGTGGCCTGAGTACATTTCTTAACGGTGTCCGGCTAGGCAGGCCAGAAGGAAGGAAGAAATAAATGATTTGATTTGATTTGATTTGAAAAAAAGGCTAAAACTGATCTTGACAAGTCGCCCATTCCAGTAGATGTAATTTTAGAAATTGCTGAAGATGGAAGACTGTTTTAAAACGTTTACATTAAGGAGTATAGCTGAAAGAATATAAACCAAAAGATTCCGCCTCAAAGATCTGTCAATCGCATACTATAACGTACAGAGAATAATTGAAAAAAAAATATTCAACTGTCGCTGTATGTAAAATCAGTAAGTATTTAGTTAGCTTTATAGACAAAAATAAAAATAGATAAACGAAAGGAAAATATCACATGCTGTCAATAATGTAAAGGAAAATTATCAGTCAACACAACTGACAGATTAGGAATGTCAATCAAGCTATCAGTCAATTCGATTTTGGTATGGGTTGTGTCATCTATTAGTTATTTTTATTTTTTTTAATAATATGAATGTTATTTAAAATGATATTAAAACTAATGTTACCGATTATTAATTACATTCATCATGCTAGACATCTTACATTCTTATAAGATCAAACTTAAATATTAGTCAGTCATTCTTTTTTTATTAAAATCGTTTATAATCTTACATGTAAGTCCTAAGTCCTAAATCTATTTTATAAATAGACTTCGTTGTGCGCAAACTTTCGCATGATTTATAAATAACTAGGATCTTCAACGTGTAGTTTTTAACTTGCGTTAGACCAAGACATACGAATTATGGCTTTAGCCGTGACAAGAGTAGTATTAAGGTGTGAAGAAGCCCAGGAAACTCAAGTGCTGGGTATGAATAATTTATTCCATAGTCTTTTATATATAAGAACCTACTTTTACATCCATCAATGCATTTTCATTTACTAATCTGTAAATAAGATTTATATATAGAGCTTTTTGTGAACATCGTTTCTATCACTACTTACAAAATATGTGTTATATGTGTAGATTACTTTTTATTACGCCTATTTCGTTAATTATTTATCACCTATTTGCAGTTACAATAACGATTAGAAATAATAAATAATAGCTACTAACTAAAAAACTCAAAAACTAGGAATAATATTAAAATTTAATGTACTCTGTGAAATTCATGATGATGTATATGTCTACTTTCTATCAGCTGATTTAATTTCTCAATTTATATAAAAATAATAATACATTTTTTTTAAGAGACCTAGAGTAAAATGTACAATATTATTAAGGTTTTTTTTTTATTCAAGTTAGAATGGCAAACAAGCTGACGGCCCACCTGATGGAACGTGGTAACCGTCGCCTATAGACATGAGCAGTACCATGGACATAATAGAGTATACTGTTTCGTCCATGATACCCCCCATTTGTTGCCATTCCTGAGGACTAAGGTGTTATTCCTCCGTACCCAGTAAATTCACACTATATCCCACTCTTCAAACCGAAACACAGCCATGCAAACACAACTGCTTTACGGTTAAAACATGAATGGGGCAGAGGTACCCAAGCAATTGATTTTTGTACAAAGTCTCCCTCTGGTATTATTAAGGTAATACAATTCTATAAGTTTCTGTAAGTCAGTTTCAATAAAAGTGTTTAATTTCAGGTAACCCTAAAATCAGCCTTTATATACTTTCTACTTTTACCTAATGGTTAGCTGGTACAGAATGTCATATGGCATTAAATTTGCTACTTGTAAAAATTTTTGTTGTGATATAAAGATTAAAAAAATAAAACAGTTTATTTATTTAAGTTTGTATAATTTCCAGACTTGTCGGAATGCCAGCTCATGCAAGTACCTGATGCAGTATACCACCTCATGCGACACACAGAACTCAAAACCTGCGATCTCAGTGGGAATGTTATAACAAAGATACCACCCAAATTCGCTGTCAAATTTAGTTTAATCACAGGTAAATATTCTAAGTTCAAATAATTTTTAGTGTACTTATATATTTAGCCTCTTATTTATAAAAACTAAAATTTCCTATAAACCTGTTTTAAATATTAGAATGCTTTATCACTTTGTTATGTAATAAGAATTTACCTTAAAAGATAATAATGACTTAAATATTTTTTTAGATATTTAATTTTTTAAATGGTTTAAGTATACATGTTTATTATTATGCATAAAATCCCAACAAAAAGTAAACAAACTACTGCTTGCTGGAAAGTTATCATTTACATGCTTTCTCTAAAGTACTTGTATGCAACTATTTTAATAACAAAATGACTTATCAACTCTCAGGATTTTTAAATACAACAGATGTGATATTCTAATTTTTTTAATAAATTGAAAAAAAGAATGAAATCAATATTTGATATCTAATAAAATAAATTGAGGGGCAAACTACTGGTGTATTTTGTATACCCCTTTTATTATTGTAGTTCAAATTTTTTTATAATATTTTATATATAAATACTCCACTAATTTCAGAATTAAACCTGTCAAACAATCAAATGGCCAAGCTACCTGACGAGCTGTGTACCCTGGCTTGCTTACAACGGCTGGATATCTCACACAACACCTTTGTGGCTCTACCAAGCATTGCATCCCAGTGCCCCAGTCTGCATACACTTCTTGCTCATCACAATCAAATTATTGGTACTTAATTTGTTGTTATTTAATATTTTTTACAAGGTAATTTATTAACTTATAAAAATTTTAATATTATTGTTAATCTACAATTAAAATGACAATAGTCTAATCACATAGCCTAAAGAACAGATTGAGAAGAAAATTTTCTAATGGCAATCCTGTACAATCAAATGCAATGTAGGGTAACCTTCCACAAGTTGGGACTATGTCGTCAAATATTGCTCAAATTACTGGGAAATCAAATAGCTCAGGATTACTTCTTATGACATTTTATGGAGGAGTCCGAAATTCTGTAGATAATAAATAGCTAAAATAATGATAATGAAGTCATGAGTGCAGAATTGGCCATAAGACATCTTATTTAATTCTGTTAACAAACAGAAGGGCTGTCAATATATATTTGGATTAGCTAGGGGAAATAAGAACAAATTGAAATTGAACATATATAATTATTATCATCAATGAATACTATGAAATTATGTTCATTGATGATAGTACTCCATATGAATACTAGATATATAAGAATCACAAGAGTTCACACTTGTGAACATATTTAATATTTTTTAGTGGGTTTTTATATTTGTGAAAAAAGTAAACATTCAAGCAAACATGTTTATACAATTGTAATTTTTATTATTTTTACAGAAGTGGATGTCGACAGATTAGCCAGATCTCGAGCCCTTGAATATGTGGATCTCAGTGACAATCCAATCCCTCCACGGACACACGATGAACTGAAGCAGCTGACGCGACCTTCAGTCACTGTCTCAGAGAGAGAGAAAGAGGACTGGGAAGAAGACCTCTTAATTTAGATAATTGTTCTCTATAGACTCATGCATTCGGGCCAGGAATTGGTAATTGGAAAATGCAAGGCCTACTGCTAAAAGGGGATGGTGCAAAGCTAATTGATTACGAAAAGCTGGCCCTAACTCAGCTGTGATTTATCTCTGTGAAAAGGGGACAATATCAACATGATATTTTAGTGAATTTGATGTTTTGTGTATACAAGTCTATGATGATTATTGTCATGGTTGGAGACTTGAGAATGAATTTATTAACAAATGTGCTCAAAATATTTCGCGTACTTAATTAGGATAGGGAAACATTATGCCACATCAAAATAATATGAAATATAATTTTGTGGCATTATTTGTGTATTTAACAATTATTTGACAAAATTCTATGATGATCATTTTGAATATGAATATATTTTTGATATATAAAATGTTTGGATCGGTATTATGTTGATGTATCTCATTGTTTTGAATACTATTATATACTAGTCCATCATTTAATTAAGTGCAATGTTTATTAATAATTCCAAATAGAAAAAAAAAATATTGTTAGTATAATTTTTAATTAAGGTAACATCTGGGCAATACCCTAAGATAATATGTTTTAGCAATATCTGCAATAATGAGATTGCATTTCTGCAAAAATATTTTTAGCTTTTTCTATATTAACTATTTCAGAATTCAGCACATGGTGCTATGTGATGAACTGATTACTACTATTGCCCAAAGACGTAATGACTGATGCTGTAAATCACTTTTACACCAACATGTTTCAAATGTGTATCTAGAAAATAAGTCTTTGTGATGTGTTTTAGAAACTAAAATTTATTTTAGCTAAGTACCTAATTAAAAACATCAAAAAAGTTCTTTGCATTTTGACTCAACCATCAACCCGTCACTCCTTAAATCATAAATCATTATGAACAAGACATATCTAAGCAAAATTTCTGAATATAAAACTATAATTAATCAATAACGAATGTTATGAGATTCTACGCGAACGAAATCGCGAAAACAACTATTAGTATACATTCTTATACATTATACCATAGATTAAGAATGGTAATTACTTCTCTATATATTATACTTACTTGTCTGCCCTTTACACCTTCACTCCAACCTTTTTAATAGTTTAATATACAAGTAAAAATCTGCTTCGATTTCAAAAACACGATAATAATTCCTTTAACTGTCATGTTGAATTTGAAAGGAAACTATGTTTTTTGGATAGTCCATTCAATCTTTATAAATACATGGTACTATGAAATTTATATAATGGCGGGTCACGGAGTAGATGATGATCCTAATCTTAAAGGTCTTAGCCGATATTTTAACAGTCAAACAAATAGAGGACGAGCCAATGTAAGTTTCAATGCTAACCTTCATTGAATTACAAAAATTCTAATTCTAATGAGTTATTTTTTTTTAACATTGCGAGAAATTATACGTTTAATCTCTTAAGTAGAATGGCAGACTACAATTTGTTTTATTACAATGATAATGGAACTGTAACCTGCACTCTCGATACCAGAGGGAAACTTTGTACAAAAGTCGATTGCTTGGGTACCTCTGTCCCATTCGTGTTTCTACCGTGAAGCAGTTGTATTTGCATGGCTATGTTTCGGTTTGAAGGATGGGATATAGCGTGAATTTACAGGGTACAAAGGAATAACACCTGAGTCCTCAGGAATGGTAACGCATAAGGGGTATCATGGGCGAAACAGTATACTCTGTTATGTCCATGGTACTGTTCATATCTATAGACGACGGTTACCATTTTCCATCAGGTGGGTCGTCAGCTTGTTTGCCATTCTAAGTTGTATAAAAAAAAATTCTGGCGGGGTATCGATGAGGGCTAATGGATGAAATTGAAGTCAAGTCAGTTGGCTCATCATAACGAAGTCATCATAAACCACTATGGTTTCTAAGGGAAATGATATGGCAACCCCGCCTGCGCTATCAATATATACTGGGTTTCTAAGGGAAACTGCGCAGAGGTCTAACTAAAAGAATATATTACTCCCGATGAACACTAGCATCCCTAGTACTAACAATCTCTTAAACATAATTAAACACTATTGCCCTTTATAGAAATAAATTCAATGTTACTACGACAAAGTCCTACTTGTTTATTATGTATACGTGATTGTAGCTATAAATATTATTTTTATTTTTTTTTGTAGACAGCTAAAGTAACTGTGGCTCTGGTAGCTACATATTATGTATATTATAAATTTTTCAAATCTGGTAAAAAGAAGACGAAATAATACAAACGGATGTTTTTATGGTATGTAGTAACAAAATTTGTAATAAATGTATGTAGTTACTTTCATACTCTTTTATTGAAACTAAACGCTACTTGACAGTATAATCTAATCTGTGCTTGATAGCTGTCCTTTTACTTTTTTTTTTATCTACGTATTCCTTATGTTGCCAACTTACTCATTTGATAACTTATTAGCACTTTTTCATTTTATATTATCCAACGTATACGGATTCAGCCTTTAATCCTCAGTATACTATTTGTTATTTTAAAAATTATGTCATCAATACAAATCAATAAAAGCTACCATAGTCATCAAAAATAGCAATATTCTCACTCTGTAATAGTTACATACCATAATAATGTTTCAAAAGATTTTTTCGCACTTTTTTGGCAAGAACGTTAATTCAATTTTGCATTTAAATTCATGAAGATGTAGATAAATTAATGTCTATCCATGTAAATATGATATCAATTATGGATGGATATCAATTAATAAATCCTAGTCAGTAATACGTCATAATAAACTACGAGTTTTTTACAAGAGAATTATTACGAGTGAAATACGCAAATACATTCGATTTAAATGAAATATAAAAATCACGTACTGAATTGCGAATAAATCTCGTATAACATATGAAAACTAAAAACTTCTCGTATAAATAACAGAATATCTACTTTCTTTGGTTGAAAATAATTCTTAACTATTAATTAATTTAGCCCCTCTTTTAATTGTTTGGTGTAGCTCAAATACCAAATATAGAGTTGGCAACATAGCTTTTAAAAAGTACTTTGCTGTTCTTTACTCTGGTTTTTGCTGTACTTCATAAATTACATAATAAAATAATTTTTCAGGTAATAGACACAAAATTTTTTAATATTCCTCAAAATTTTAATAACATCTTCAAGTGTACTAAATGGTTTAAATAATTTTACCTTAAATTACATTTCTTTGCTAAAAAAATTTCAGAATGGCCGGAGGAGATTCTGTTGATGAATCCCAGTTCAAGGGACTGTCCAAGTACTTCAACAGCGCCACTAACAGAGGCAGAGCTAACGTAAGTTCAGAAAAATATGCATTAAATAGTAATGTTTATAATAGATATTTAATAAGTTATCTTACTTAGAAGGTTATGTGAAAAATAAAATTACATCACTGTTCTGAGTATTTCTACAGTGCAATAATAACTTTCTTAAGGTTTATAGGTCTTTCAGTATTCAAATATACGTATACTTACTCATAAACCAATATGTAAACATACTTGACATAGGTAGATATTTCCCTATTGATATACAGTTTTTGGATTTACCCATTGAAAAAAGCTATACTTTTGGGTCCCAAGACTGGACACTAAGAAAAAAAGAATATTAACAAAACTATGTAATAAAACACATGTTTAGAAGCCATATTTTTGAGTTCCAAGACTCAAGGCCTTCCCACTGCTTGCCACACTGTATGCTGCATGTGACATGCAAATTGTGAGGTGTGTGTGATACGGGATAATAGATATAAAACCTATGTATGCCTAACAAGACATAAAAAAGCCTAACACTGACTGATTTTATCTAGATGGATGATAAAGCTACATACATCCATGTGTACACGAGAGCTTTAAAATCAAATCTTAATAGTAATAATCATAGTAAAAGGAAATATACTTAATACTTTAAATGGATCATGATAGTTGATATTTTGTTTAATACAATATAGTGCATTGGTAGCTTGTTGTGGTTTTCTAAACTTAGGTGTAATTTTTTAAAATAAGAATATATTATTATTTCTTTTCAGACGGCCAAGGCGACATATGCTTTCTTTGGTGTAGTGATATTATACTTAACATTGAAACCCAAATCTAAGAACTAAATTGAATAATGTTAATATGAACTGTTGTGTTATTTTTATTTTATTCCCATAATTCCTTTCATGCAATGTACATTTAGTGAATATTAAAATCATTTGAAAGTTTTATTATGTTTTAATATTAGTTATAATTTGTTATAAAACAAAAAGTGTCACTTGTTAACAATACATTTTCTAGAAAGGTCACCACTATAAAGAACTTACTAATGATCTATTTCCACCTACAAAATTCACTATAGTGTCAATAAATGGCACATGCACACTAAAGACAAAAAAGAACTAGACAGCAAATCCAGAATACCATTAAAGTTGAATTGATAAATTATCTTCATTTGTCGATAAAACGACCCTGACATCTTTTCAACAAAATAAGTAATTTAGTTATTTTATAGTATTTTTTTTTTCATTGTAAAATAAATATTTTTTTTTATTCTGTGTTCTTAATTTTCTGTGAAACTTTTGTATACCAAATTACCAATATGATTTATTTTTCACACTATTTTCAATGTTTTTTTTTTGTAATCTGACTATTGTTAGCTACAGCAAGTTAGTTACCTTACAGCTTTACTGAACATGGCCAGTAAGCTGCATTTCCACTATCACATGATTTACATAAATATCAATTAAAATGTGATGATTAAAATGTCCTTAATATCAATAGTAAAATATTACCGGTGTAGTATACATTCAATAAAAAAATTTAAAAGGAACCCAATTTATGGTAATTATCACAGAAACAATAAATTGGTTACAAATCAAAACAATCAAATTTGTATTTGTTATATACTATTGCTTATAAGCAGACTCTTATAGTAGAGTCAATTATTTTTTTACATGATTTCCACCCTTATTATTTCACTAGCTTTTTGCCTCCTATGTGTGGATTTTAGAAGAAAGAAAACTAATGAAACACACCGCTTCTTGATGGATGGTGTGTCAAGATAAAATATATAATAGAATCTTCAAGAATATAACTAAACACCCCATTTAATTGCGTGATGTCAGTACAAACACAGTTTTATTAAAATTCCTCATATAATTTTTTTTCAATATTTTGCATTTACAGACATCGACTACTTGCAATTTAGTATTTATAATACTATCGTATCTTACAGGTAAAGATTGAAGTAAAACAAACATATCATTGAAATAAATATTTATTACAATTATGCATGTAGAAAATAAATAATGCTGCAGTAAACAGATCATATATATTAAATAGGTATATATAGTACCTACAAGAGTCAGCTGACACGGACAAAGCGTCAGATACACTAAGTACCATGGAGTGCGATTTCGTACCTTCGGGAGTCGCTATTTTATCCTATCAATTTCAGTCGTATACCATAAACCTAGTCATCTTTCAAATGGTCGTAACCATGACCCTTCATCGGCACTCTGCCAGTTTAAGCTGACCCTAAGATAGTCAGATCATTGATTGATAAGACAAGAGTCTTAAGAAAATAGTTGTTCTTTTCTTAACAAAATTACTCTTTGGTGTAAGAATAGTTTTCATTGGATACGTATCGAATTTTGCGTAAAAAATGGAAGCTAATTTCTTACTATAATTATAGTGAAGCCAAGTTCATAAATATGTATACATGGAATAGTTAGTATCTCTGACCTGTCTAATAGATATTTATGAACTTCACATTAACGAGTATATACGTTGATGTTTACTATATCGTGCTTTAATACTATTTTTCTCGTACAAAATTTATACCTACTAATAGTGAAGCACTAGCACCAAAAAAATTATAAAATTATTAGCAAAGCGAGATCTACCACGTGATATTCAAAAATAATATACATATCGGATGACAAATATGTATTAAAATAATACTGTAATAAAACTTTTAATTTCGAACGTGTAAATATCGATGATAATAATATAAATGAGTCATTGGTCTACTCGCTGTCCATCATATGAGATAGTAATAATAAAATGAAACCACTACAGATGAAGCTGGACTTGACTCAATTAAGCGCGATATTATAGAATTTACCAAATACAATTTTATACTCAAGAATAAATTTTGAGAGCTTTATACTATAATAACCCATTTTCGTACACGGCATAACGTTTATCACCGACGAAAAATGAAAAATGTTTAATTAAAATTCACATATTTTACCTGCCATTTATCATATCGGCAAAATAATATAATCGTCCTATTTAACCACTGTTAAAAAATTAATGCTTTTACCGTCCTTCAGTTTACATTCTATCCTATAGAGATGGTCAAGGATTTAACACAAGCATAGAATTTACAAAATAAATAATTATATATAAATATTGATAAAAACATAAATTTTTAAACTAGTTCTTATCTTTATTTGATAGATAATCTTGGCATGTATTCTCGAAGATATAATTTAAATAAATGACAAATAGATAAATAAAAAATTTAACACAGACTTATTTTTATCCTAATAATTTGTTTATTATATTAGTTATTTCATTAGAAAAACATTAGGATTGTTTACTAAAAACAAATAAAGAACAACCGACTTCATATGAGTCCAACTATAGCAGCTATATTATCGACATCGCAACATCAACTTGACTAGCTTTTCAATGCGTTTTGTAAAATGCACCTTTCACTATAATACCTATCTAAATCTTTACCATTCCGTTCATCAATTTCAATAGATCACAGTTGTTTCAAGCTCCAATCTATTTCGATATCAAATTAAAAATAAAATGACCAGAATTGTTTAAATTATTCATAATATTAATATGTCAAAAATGGAGCCACTATATATTTTTTGTCGCCCCATAGAAATAATTGCAATTACTAATAGTGATCATAAGCAATTCCGCAGCTATCTAGATATACGATTAATCTAAGTCTAAAAGAATTAAATTATGTATAGCAATAAACTACACGGAGTCTTTTTTGGAACATATCAAGTGTCTGCTGGTAACACCAACAATATATACGTAATGTGAATGTAATATTACGTGAATTTTATTTCTACATGTAGCAACACTGTGCTCCTCTTGTGTACTTGTGATTCTTGTGAATACTGAATAAATGTCGACCTATTTTTTTTACCAACAACGCCATAAATACAGTCCAACAAACCTACTTTCTTTTACATACATACTCTGACATAATGACAAAAGTGGCTATAAAAATGAGGCAATTTAAAATACATAACCGTATTTTCTTCAGATAATTAAGATTGTGTAGCACAAAAAAAAACCTACTTCATTTATGGCAACACCAATTATTTTTATTTCGTAACTAAATTACTCAACCTATTTCGATAAAATGTTTATGGGACCAATCTGTAAGTATATCCTTTCAGATAAAAAGAATTTTTTAAACTGGTTTATAACTGACTGAGTAATTAGGTATTAGGTAACAAATATAAAAAAAAAATAATACAAACGAATTGAGAATCATTTTCTTTTTGAAGTCTGTTGAAAATTGAAAGTAATGTTAAAAAATGAAGTTGACGCTAAAATTCAGTTCTTCGAGTAATGAAAGGGGAAAAAATAATATAGAAGAATACTGGTTTACAGATTAGATTAACAGATAGTATTGACGCGAAGTGGCAATGGGCTGGTCACAAAATTCAAAGAACCGACAACTGATGGGGAAGAATGTTATAAGATGGAGTGACAACCTCAAATGCATTGCAGAGAGTCAGTAGATGCAGGACCGTACCTTATGGCAGTTTATGGAGTCTTATGTTCAGCAGTGGATAGATAACGGCTGATATGACGATGATGATAATTGACACGAAAGTATAAAAGAGAAACAATGTTACCACATGTAAATAAAATAATGTTGGGGTTATCAACAGATTCAACATTATACATCACAACATCAATGGAATGTTGGCAGTGTGCCTCGTTGTATTATTTACTTATTAGTCCAAAAACATTATGTATAAAAAGTTAAAACATCCAGCGAAGCTTTCACGCAGTTAACTATCTATGGATGGAATGCTACATTGAAATTCGAGCTGCGAAATGCCTTTATATAACGTCAACTTATATTGCAACAATATAAGAAAGTTATATAGATACTTTGACAAAAGAATCAACAGTATCTCTACAATATTTAATTTTAAACTTTAATATAAATGTGATTACAATTAACAGATATTCATCATGAGTATAGCAATAATAAGAGAGTATTCAAATAACTATTGATATGGATACATAATAATTCTAACAAATTGTCAGTGAAACTGTATAATTATCGAAAAAAAAAAGTAATTTTTATACCTACCATCTTCGCCTTTTAACACGAATTCAATAATACTGTTACCATAAGCCCTACAAAGTTGAGGAACAAACCTCGTCATACTTATTATCCGTCAAAATTAAACACAGAATTGCACTGATCACTTAATGCATACGTGTGGGGAAGTTCCCACCAATTACAAAGAAGAATTATGCCCTACACGGACAAAAGTCCCTCATCTGTACACGCCATTAAACATTATAAAAATGTGTATACATATACGTAATATAATATATAAGGTATAATGTAAGTCTACAACCATGTGGGAGCCCGAGTGAGCGAGTATAGTGGCGGTGTGTGTATGGCGGTCGCGGGGGCGGAAGCGGAAGCGGTCGCGGCAGCGGCAGCGGGGGCGGCGTCGCCCTCCGAATCTGACTCCTCGGAAGACACGCGCTCGGCTGCGCTCAGCGCGACACGCGCGTACTCATCTGTATCTATGCTTTTGCAAAAGTGTATGGCGTACCTAACAATGATAATAAAAATAAATAAATATTAATCTTTAAACAGTCTATAAAATACAAATGTTTTTTTTAAATATTTTACATCTAGTGTTATCTGGCAAAAGTCCATATCACTGGTTATTTGATTAGTATCATTTTGTTTAATTCTGCTGCCTATTCTGTATGTGTGTGACAGCCAATACTCGAATACTGACCATCACTATTACTATTAGAAGTTCCACACCTCCCCCATATTAGCCCTCAATCTCCGACTTTGATTTTCTTCACATTTTAAAATTCTCTATGTTTTAAAATTTATTTAAAAAAAATGTTGGCTGTCACACGCATAATAATGCTAGCAGAATTAAACAAAGTACTCGTAATTCTAATTAAATAATCAGTGGTAATTTTTGTTTAGATACATATATATATTTTTATTTATGGTGCAATAAAGAGTTAAATAAAAAAAAAAATTGCCAAAAGATTGGTTTTACCAATCTTATTCTAATTATAAGGTACAAATATTCGCTTTACAATCTGAGGCATGCAAATTATTAATGGGAAGGTACAAGTTTGTGTTTATATGCGTCAGTATAATGTTAATTATAAGTCCTCAGCAATTGTAATTTTTATTATTATTTTTTTGTAAACAGACTAGCTGACCTTGTTTTGCCTCCGTCGTTACATACCGATCCATATTCTGTTATCGAGTTAAAAACTATCCTATTCTATTATATCTAATTTGGAGCAAGCAAACACTTATAAATATAAAATAAACAGAAAATTTCATCAAAATTGGTTAATCTATTTTATTACTAATATGGTGACACGGAATTATTATATACAAGCTTTCACCCGAGACTTCGTTTGCGTGATCGGGATAAAAAGTAGCCTTCCCCATCCCACATAGTACATTTATACCAAATTTCATAATTGGTTTAGCTGTTAAAATGCTAAGATGTAACAAACAAACAACATACTTTCATATTTGTAATATTAGAAAGGATTAATATATAATTATCATTTTGTGAATGAAACTCAGTAGTATAGTAGTAAACCTTGCATACAGATTATAAAATGCCATCGATAGCCAGTTTCAAAACCATTATTAAGGATATGTTTGCCTCAAAATAATTGTATTATGCTGTCTTATCTTAAATGTTGTATAAAGATATAATTATAATTATTCAAATTTGGACGGACATTGTAAATATTGAATTTATTCGCTTTTATAATTTTTTGTTCTATTTACCTTAGTTTCTCTCGTAAAACAGCTTTGCATGAATATCTCGGCATCTTCAGCAAGAAGAAACATGTGTAACTCTCTGGGAGGAAGTGATCTGGAGGGTGATATTTGTCGAGAACCTGTAAAAGCCATTTCTGTATAATTCAAGTACTTTTAAATACACTTTTAACAAGAAACTGGATCAATTATTTATTGATACCTTGGTATAAGCATACACTGTAACGTGAAATAGCGTAATTCTATAACCACAGATAGGGACTATATTATATTTTATTGTTGTAAAAAAAATATAGTCTGTAGAGCAGATATAATATAGGAACAAAAATTTGGATGTATGAGTAAAATCGAGATTGTGTCTACATGTTACCTTGCAACATCGACCTACAGACGAGCAGTAAAATTTCAAAATTAATGTAATAACTCCTTAAGAAACATTTTCCATTAGTTAAGCATAATAAGATTGTATTACACAAGAAAAAACCGATTTCAATTGTGGCAAAACCAGTTACTTTGATTTAAAAACTAAACTACTGAACCGCTTTTAATGAAATTTCTTTGAAATCAATCTGTCATCCTTTCAAATAAAAAAGCATTTTCCAAATCGGTGAAGTAATAGAGTTATGAGATAACAAACATAAAAAAAACCAAATATACAACTCAATAGAGAACCTCCTTCTTTTTGAAGCTGGTTGAAAATAGTCTGTCTCGTCTTAGTATAACCTTAACCTAAGGGTCCGTTTCGGCACTGACCTGCAGTACAAAGTCCCTCTGCCTAGGGTCCTGCGGCGCTCGCGGGAGCCGCGTCCGTCCCCACACGAAGCGCAGAAACAGTGCTCGCTCGCTGCCCGACAACTCTTCCATCACCTCCCAGAACCATTGGACTAATGGCGCGTTTGGCTCTATGCCTGAATAAGGGAATATATTTTCAAAACTCAATAAAGAACAACATTTGTCGGAAATTTCATGAAGACCGATACCAAACTAAGAAAAACTTGTCTATATACTAAATAAAGTAATTTCTCTCACACAGTAACAACATAATAAAACTTACAGTTATATTGGTTACAAGATAGATAAGATAAATAGATGATAGACAATTTTAAATAGCGTTCATTCAACAGTTGAAATGTCACGTGTCGAGGGTTAGTTCGTTAACATTTGACGTTGTTGGAGTGTGGCAAAGATGAATGACATGGCACCTTTATATGTGGCGGAGGCGCGTAGCGCGTGCACGGGTATGTCGGGCGAGCCGCAGACGAGCGTCTCGAGCTCGGCCGCCAGGAACAGCGCCAGCAGCGGCGCCGGCACCACGCGCGACATGCCGTCACGTACCGCCCGCACCTGCTCGTCGAACTCGTGCAGTCTGCCGCAATATTGTACTTTATTTATGACTTGTCAACTTATTAACCCTTCTTTGCATGATTTTTTTTATTGGTGAAATCAAAGTCATATAATGAAAGTGATATAATTCATGTTTAAAATTAAAGGAAAAATAGTTAAAACAATAAATTTTACAGCTATGTTTTTTTTTCTGCAATGGACATTAAAGAATTATCCAGACACAATCAACTTAAAGTGAACTTGGTCTTTTATATAAGTTTTAGGTATTCAATGTTATGATGGAAATTTCCAGCAGTATGCAAAGAAGGGTTAAACAGCTTACTTACGTCAGCGCCATCAAGAGAGCACGCGGTTCATTTTTATTATTGTATTCATTGTCGGGCTAAACCTATATATAATACGTCTAGTAATTGACATATAAAAGTCTACTCATTGAAAATCCTTACCATATGGTCCATCGAGCCGGATTTGAACTAGTGACTTATGGATGAATTAATTAAAATGTAATTTGTTTTAACTTGAAACTGTAATATTGAAATCCCTTTTAGATAAAGTATACATGTAAAAAACAGCAAAAAATATACCTGTAATGCAGTGCCAACTGCACGTATTCATCCTTATTTTCAGGCGTAACACGTTTATGCCTCGTAGAGAGTGGCACCTCGTGGCCCGCTGCCGATGGAATCGAAAACGGCAATTCCAGATTTTGTAGCTCCTGTAAATTTGTAATACAAATTTTGATATGTTATTTTAGTGACTTGATCTACCCTGTGATGACTTGACGTAAAATTGTCAAATTATTAATGTCGACACAAGTTTTGCTGCATTTTTGTTCGCAAGAGAGAAAAATATATTGATGTATTGTGATAAGTTCTAAAAAATAATTACCTTATTATTAGGCGTCATGTCTCTAATACAGAGTAGAGCTGGCAAGAAGTCCTTGTCAACTTCGGCTAAGTCTTGCGGACGAAGCGGTTGCCCCGCCAACTGCCGCCACACTCCTTCGGCCAATGAGAGTGATAGTGGCGAGCCGGTTCGAATTGCAATTCCCATTAGTACGCCTAGCAAAACATAACCATTGCATTATTAGAAATTTACTGGTAATATTTCTGTACTAAAAGAAAACCAACATCTTTTAATGTAATAAAATTAATATTTTTTAAAGGAACAATATTAGTATCCTTTAAAGGGTCCCGCGATTTACTTTGACCCCATCTGGTAATAATCAGATCAGTGATGGGTCTCACGAGTTAATAAACAGCCTATTTATATTTATCTAAAACACTATGACCTATGAGACTAACACGGAATCAAACCCCATTGATAACAAAAATAATTATCAAAAATCAATACAGGATAAGCGAGGTAATTATGTAACAAACATATAAAATAGACACAATAGCATATTTAGATTTATTATTTTTACTTAGAGATAAATGTACTCTTAAATGGCTTTGCCCAAAGGTAAAAATAGGCATAAGATAATTCTTGAATGGGATCCTAGAATCCATCTTAAATATGCAATTCGAAATTTCATGCCTGTCGGTATTGAAAACCTACCCTTTTTAATCAAAGTCGTTATAAAATGTAATAACACAACATTATTAACCGTATATAGTACACATATATACACACATATATATACATATATAGTACACATATATACATATACATATATATAGTAGTAGTAGTACATATATAGTAAATACGGTTCAGTATCAGTCTCACCGAGGAAACGGAAGCAATTAAGGTGCAACGGTGTATTAGCGGTGGGATTGAGCAAGAAGGCGTCGCGCGATGCGCCCGCGTCGCCGCGACCGTTGGGTGTCGCCATCAGCAGCGGTAAGGACCCATTCTGCAGTTCCTCGCACATCTCCGCTATACTCTCGCTGTATCCACCACCGCAGTCATCCACGCTTTCACCTGTTTATGTCAACAACAAAGAATACAATAGAAATCACTTTCTTTCTTCCACTTACACATTGTATCCTAAAGATTCTATTTTGAAAAAATAACACTTTTAAAAAAGCTAAGTCCTTAGTTGCCGAGAACACGTTTTGTGCATTATTCACGATTACTAACATAGCAGACTTGTTCCGCGCTAGCGGGCTATCACCGCCATTGTCGTCTGTGTAAGACGCTCACTAACAACTTTGTTCTTCCAGTTCGAATGGGTAGCATAAGCGTGGCCTGTATAATCGTGAATAGCTTCTTTTTTATTTATGAATCATCATCGTCAGAAGGTATCTTTCACACACGGCACGATATATGCGAATCCTACACTTAGCAATTAGTTACGCAATCATCTTTTTTTTTATACAACTTAGAATGGCAAACACGCTGACGGCCCATCTGATGGAAAGTGGTAACCGTCGCCTATAGACATATATGGACATAACGACTGTTTCGCCCATGATCGTTGCCATTCCTGAGGACTCAGGTGTTATTCCTCTGTTGTTTCGCATATCCCACCCTTCAAACCGAAACACAGCCATGCAAACACAACTGCTTCACGTTTGAAACACGAATGGGACAGAGGTACCCAAGCAATCGACTTTTGTATGTCATTTAGATTCAGCGAATCGTAGTTTGACTCACTCACCAACAAACTTGACTTTCCAGACTCGATGCGGCAGTGCGAGAGCGTCTTGCGTGAGTGCAGGTAGTCTTGCGACCATCTGCCCGAACACAGAGCGCATGCCGGCCGGGCCTGCAAGCCCTGTGCCTCCCCGCCGCGCCCGTCGAGCCGCCACACGCGACAACTCCACTACAGGCCCGTGCTGCCGCTCGCGGACCATCGTCGCCATTATTGCCTGCCCACAATTAAACAATATAATTTTTTTTATATTATAAAAGTGGCAAACAATCATACAGCCCGTTTGATGGTAAACGGTCACCTATTGACACTAGGGGTATCACGTGCGCGTTGCCGACTCTGAAGAAACCTTAATATACCCTTTTTGAAGAAACCCATACTGTAGTTTGTAGGAAAAACCTCAGCAGGGAACTCATTCCACAGCCTGAGCATACGCAGGAAAAATTCCTGTTGATGATTTCTGAAATGGAGTTACATCGACTAATTGGATCTTGTTATGTCAACATCTTAAGAGTGGGATGTTCTAAATAAATAATTTCTTCTATATTCTGACTGGCTGATTATATTCTCGAACCAGTATGTCTACATTCTTGCATTGTTATTTCAGTCTGAACTTTCTTAGTTATATAGTTTGTCACTTCCTTTCTATTTTATTTTTTTTGCACCTACTATTGGAATATGTTAATGAGAAAACGAAAAAGCTGCTATAATCTAATGCTTTCTCACCTTCCTAAACGCTGCTTCTTTGACGCTATAAAATAGCAAAGTTCTCAGTTGATCTAATGGGCCATCCAAAATCAACAGCGGCAGATTGGGACAAACTAGTTCCGAAAATTGATGGAGTAACACCTGTAACAAAATTTAAATAATACAATAATTGACTAAAGTTACTTTTCAGCGAACATTGTTTTTTAAATTTTGACTTAGACAATGGTTCTAAAGTTTTAATATGGGTGGAACACATTAGATTTTTAAAACGAACTCAAGAGACAGGACAAGCTAGAATAGTTACGTCACATATCAAATATAATTAATTACTAGTAGTTGATGCAAAATAAATATTTTGGAGAGGACAACTAGATAGGTGTATAAATGTAGACTGCAGTACAGCATGGCTGCTGGGTCAAGCCAGGTGCTGTACTCACCAGCCGGTTGCACAGCAGATGCGGCTGCGCAGCCAGATCGCGCAGCAGGTGGCACTCGAGCGGCGGCGCAGGCGGCGGCCGGGGAGCACGCGGCGCCTCCACACACAGCGCCACCGTGTGCGCACTACCGCAAGCCACGCGCGTCACGCGTTTGCCCTGACACGAACGCATTACATAAACCTATTAGTTTGTTAAGCCTAGCGCCATATTAGACCGATTTTTGGTTGCCGATCATCCGCAACGAAACAAATACTTAATGATGTATTGCATACAATTTACTATGCTCGGTTACACTACGCGGAAGATCGTCTATTACGTCGATGCAATGCCACGGAACGCTCGCGTGTAATGACTGTAAGGTGGCATCAGGCGCTGATCTACCGTCGATAGGAGATCGGCAACTCGATGTTGCACTAAATTCATATAACTGAGAGATATTTAAGAGCTAACAATACATCTTAAAATTGTTTATTACACATTTCAAGTAAAAAAAAAATACAGGTCATTGACAACTATAACGATGGTCCGGTCACCTGTAACGCCATAAGCAAGCGGGGCCTCTGCGCGGCGAGCGTGGTGCCGTCCCCGAGCTGCCCCTCGTCGTTGTCGCCCCACGTGTACACCTCGCCGTTGTCTGTGCATGCCACGCAGTGCAAGCTGCCTACATGAAACATTTACTAAAATGTAAAACTACTATTGCTTTTATTACACTTATTAAGAAGAACCTAGCAATTTATCAGAAAAAAAAATAATAGCACTATTGAATATAACTGTAAATATGACATAAAGACCCCCCCTTTTATTTTTTAAAAAATTAAACTATTTTGACTATTACACTGATTTATTAATTTAGCAGAAAAACGGTACAATAGCTAAAATAGGTTTATGAGAGGTTTGACATTTTAGAAGTTATTTTAAAAACAGAAGCAATCTTTGGACTCCATAATATTTATTATAATTTTATGAATATGTAATCCTTGGATGTAATGTACAGAGAAATGAATGGAATAGACAAATTATGTGGCAACCTAAATGTAAACCATACGCGGGTACTATAGAAACCATTATTATCATATTTAGGTAAGGTAATTCAATTAATTTCTTTTGAGTATCCAGTGGTTCAGTGGCAACATTGAATTTATTTTGTTACCTGTAGCAATAGATACAATCATCTTGCCCTGCATTCCGGTAACGCGCATTGGACGTCTAACGTGTTCATAGCTACCATGGCCCAATCTGTGATAATCGCCTTTGCCCCTAAAATAAACCAAACAGTCTATAAGTACTTGCATATTATATTTTAATAAATAAAAAAAAAAAATTACATACCAAGTGTAAACACTTCCACACTGACATAAAGCGACGGAAAATTGTGATCCACACTCAACCTTTATGACTCTTAGTCCTTTTAGACAATCTATGCGCATTGGAACCTTGCAGCCTTCTGATCCACCGCGGCCTAAAATAACATAAAAATATGTTTTTATTCACTATCTTTTTACCCTTTACATGCGTGGATTTCAAAAGTAGGAAAAGTAATAAAAGTAGAACAGTTCTAGATGACCTATAAATAAAACACATCACTTCAAGTTACACCTTCAGAAATGCGACTGTAAAAACAGCATCCAATACTGTACATTAGTTTTTGCGTGATTTTGGAACAAACATACAGGCAAACGTAATTTCTTAAAACTATTGTTTCTTTGCATCTATGAGATTTATTAAGACCCCACATATTCTTTTTCTCAAATAAATATGTTTCATGAAGACATTGTCTAATTACAATTTCATTATATTAGTGAAATGAGAATAACTTTACCAAGTTTCCCGTAGTCACCGTCTCCCCAAGACCAAACATTGTCATCGTCGGTGATACAAAGGGTTTGAGCATCGCCAGAGCCACACGCGACATCTATAACGCGATATAACGCTAACGCTTCCACCTGAAAATTATAAAATATAGATATAATATAGTTCCGAGGACTGTAAAATGCACATACCGTTTTTACCAATTATATTTATATTTGAAAATTTACTTGTTTATTTTCATTTATTATTTGAGTTTTATTTAATTTTCTTTGAGAGATGGTGATGGGCTCACCCTCTACCATATCAGATTCTAGTATATTTGAAAAAGTGATCATAACAATAGAGTTAGAAAATACATAGCAAAATATATATATTTTGTAGTTACAATATCTATATATTGGTCTAATAAACGAATGTATTAAAAATCGGTTATTTAATATTAATATTGAAATTTAGCAAATTACTGCAAATTAATATAGATATCCGACCGGTATAGGCGATATCGAAGTGGATGACGACCCTTTTCCCGCCATCAGTGTCCAGAGAAACCCAATACATAGATATCGAAACAATACCGACATTAACCATCCCTAATAACAAGTACTATTGACAGCCTATTATAGGGCTGCTATATCAGTCTCATATTTTTAGTCAATAAACTTATTCTTTCCTGTTTACTATTTCTTACCAGCTTTGGCACAAGTTGGTCTTCCGAGTCACCGTGACCTAAACGCCCATACCGTCCCTTGCCCCACGTGTAGATACGCCCACGAGCCGTTAGACATGCCGAGTGAGCGCCTCCACACGCTATGGCTACTACCTCCAGGCCAGACAGTGCGGTTATGAGTTTCGGCCGGTCGTAACTCCTGTGTAACAACAAACGATCTAATGCTTCATTTGTTAATTACTGATTAAAATTAGGGTTTTGCCTCTATATCTAAGTTTACTTACAACATGACACAATCACAGTATATTTTTATGATCCATGATCCTTTGCGAATAGATTAAATTATCGATAGATGTAAAAAATATATAAAATTGTAACGGAGGAGTGTTACACAAGGCGCCTCGATTTTGATTGAAATATGGCGACAAATATTTGTATTATTAGCCAAATATTTGTTTCGAGTGTGTACACGGTCTTATACCACACATTTCATGTGTAAGTTGCTACTTTAATTTAGAGCATCAGGTGCACGGTTTAATTTATTGGTTTAACTAAATCAATGCATCAATTGAATAACAATAAAACACTATGAATGATGGAGGAATTATTATGAAGGACCGTCAACCAACGAATAATATTATTTTTACTATTTAAATAAATTTCATTATATACAACAAATGTCTAGATAACTTTTATAGTGGGATCTAGACAGTAAATAAATGAAAAAAAATCCGATCCTTCGAGCCGGATGTAAAAAAAAAAAACTTTTTTCTTGTCTGTTAACAGTTATTAAAACAATCTATAGTATGATTAATTAATATTGCTTAGCGTAAATTATTATTGATGAATACAAGAAAAATTACATTTCAATTAAAAAAAAAAAAAGGAATTACAATATATTTCAAAGCATACTTACACTCTGTTGCCGTGTCCCAATTTCCCGTCTTCGCCTTCACCCCAACTGTACACGTCTCCATCGGACGACAACGCTAAGCAATGTTTACCTCCTGAATTACAAGCAACCTAGAAAAAGAATTACATATAATTACCCTGATATTTGAAAAAACTTCAATTACCTAATACAATCTGTTTTTCTCACAAAATTCCTGATTTGCCTTAAAATAATTATTTTATTAATAATAAACATGTAGCTTTACAAAACAAAACTTTATTTTTTTTATATCTATTCAATTACTATAGTACCTTAGTTATGAAGACGTGCTGAATCGACGCCAATAAAGTAGGCTGAGAGACAGAATCGATACCGCCAATGCCTAGACGACCACCTGCTCCATAACCTGTAAAAAAAAGTAAAATACAATGCAAATAAGTTGATAAAATAGTAACAAAATTATAGATAAAAAGTACTAAAATAAAAATGTATAGAGATCTTTACCGGTGATCAATTCGTATTTTGTGACACACTATTTAAACGATAGTGCAATAAGTCTATTACGAGGATGACTCTGATTCCAATAGTCGCATATTTCTGTCCATAATAGAGCATTGGTGCTTCTGACTTACCGTGTTTTTGTCATCAAGTAGTTATGCTTGCATGACTATGTTTCAATTCCTAATATAATTCACTGCTATATCCCATATTTTTCCAATGGGTGATAATGGAATGCCCAATACTGCCTTACTTGGCAGGCGGGTTGGCAACCGCAATTGGGCTTTTGGTGATGTTTTAAGAGAGACATTGCTACTCATCCCTCCAAAGATCATTAGTCGCCTCTTATGACACCCATGAGAAAGAAAACTATTTCGCCGTGTGGATCCCGGCAAAGACTAGGCCATATCCCACTTATGGCAGTGAAATTACAGAGTACAAAAACGCATAGTGTTGCGTTTTTGTACTCTGTAATTTAATTCCTCAGGAATGGCAACGCATGAAAAATATAATGTACATTATAGTGTATTGTGTTATGTTTATAGGTATTTATAGGCTACCGTTGCCATTTTTCATCAGGTGATCAGTCAGTTTGTTTGCCACTTTATGTAAAAGAAATTGGAACTCACCGGTGGCATAGACCTTGCCGTCGGGCGTGACGGCAAATAGCGTCTGCTCGCCGCCGACCAGCTGCACAGGATTAAGCGCGGCGAGTGCATGGCAGGGCATGGGCGTGCGGACCTTGGCGCCCTCGACGCCGCCCAGCTGCCCGCGGTGGTTGTGACCCCAGCCGTACACCGCGCAGCCCCGCGACCCGCCGCTCCACCACCCGGACCAGTCTTCTGGACGCCTGATCAGAGATGTTATTTAGAAAACACACACCCTCCGGCTACTTTACAAATGAATTTCATAACAAACAATTATTAAAATTGAAACAAGATTCTTTAAGAATTTGAATATATCTAAAACCAGTATTAGAAGACGAAAAATACAGTTAAGAAATCAAATTAACTCGGAAAACGGCAGAGCTCCATGATCCCAGATTTATTGAGTGTTACGATAACAACAGCAACTGGAGAATAATAGTCTTATTATCATTTAATAGTATTATTATAAATACATGTTTCTTCATCTATGTAAAATGTTTATAGAAATGATTATATGGCATTTTATTTCAATAATTTATACTTTTTACCCAAAATTATAATAGTTGTTTTTGTCCAAAAATGTGTCTGAATTATTATGATCGCTACATATCAGCCGTTAATTGTCCACTGCTGAACATAGGCCTCCCTCTATTGGGGAGGTTTTGCCAGTTGTCGCTTGGCAGGTGAGTTGGCAATTTCAGTTAGGCCTTGGAGACGTTTTAAGAGACGCATTATTAGCATTTATTACCATTTATTAATCAACAAACCCTACTTTACCTATTAGTTTTTTTCATCATAAAATTACACTGCAAAAATATCATTTCTTTTTTACTAAATATTAACATCACTAGACCATACTTACTTATTAACCCAATGTAGCAACTGTTCGTCATGCTGCCGAGTGAATTTCGTATTGTCCTCCCAAGGGTACTGTGCGTCTGTGCTGTTCTCTTCTACGTTATAGACGCCGAGGTCCGCGAGACGTTTACGTACATCCGCCAAGAACGGTATAGGCATTGGTACGCGACGTATAAGGGCATCAGCCGTCCGCATACACAGGCAGTAGCGCTTAAACCACGCCCAGCGAGCCGCATCCGGGCCGTTGCACACGCGCGTGTCTATACGTAGACCGCATGCGAGCCACGCCAGTTCCTGTACGATATTATTATTAAACAATGGCACTTTATTCATCATTATCATCATCATTTTAGGCATTATGCGTCCACTTCTGGACATAGGCCTCCCCCATAGACTGCCTTAAGGAACGGTCCACCTGCATCTGACTGGCACTTTATTAACAAGTTTTAATGTTCAGTACGTCTTGTCAATTATCATCCTTTCTTCCTTCTCTCTCTCTTTCTGTTTGTAAATTATATACGATCATTCGAAAAAGAAAGGCATTATTGTCGATATACATTCACATACATGTTACCGTTAAGAGTAGAAAATAAGTTTTCTATACAATTAATCGTATACATGACACATACTGTCTCTATATTCATTCATATATATACATATACCAATTTGTGCTAAAAGTTTTCACAAGTATTGATGAGAACGGCAAACTCCCTCTTATTTGATAGATTGGGGACCTTAATTTTGTCCACTGCCATCCTAAAAACGGGCTTTGTACTCATTCATAAATTCGTACCTTAGATTTAAGAGAACTAATACAAGCCCCAAAACTACAACAACAGATGAGGTCGGAACAGCGACGTTACCTTGAGATAGTGCGTGTGCATGAGATGCGTGCCGGTGCGCAGGGCGGGCTCCTCGTGGTCGTACTGCGCGTGCAGCAGCGCGGGCAGCTGCTGCAGCGCGGGCGGCGCGGCCGTGCCCGCCTCCGCCGCGCCCGCCACCCCCACCACCCCCGCCACCCCCGCCGCGCCGCACACCACGCCGCGCAGCCGTCGCACGCACCACACGCGTCCACGCCACGCTGCGTGCAACACAATAGCTTTTTATAGAACCTGGAAAAGCTAACATGCTGACAGCTCACTGGAAGTAAAGTGATAATTGTTGCCTAGTTATAGAATAGAACATCATAGAATGAACATACTAATAGTTTTTTATGAGATGATAATTGTATGACAATCAACAGATTACTTAACTTATCGTGTTGAATTCACTAGGAATTAAGAAAGTTTCCAGGGCGCACCGCGCAATGGTTGACCGTATACATTACTAAGAATCCTATCCAACCCAAAGTTTACATGAAGTCAATACGGGCTAACTCTTACATTCATCATCATCATCTTAGCCATTATTTTTTTACTGCTGGACATAGGCCTCCCCATAGACTGCAATAAGGTACGGTCCTGAGACGCCTGCATCCACTGACTCCAGCAATGCATTTGAGGTCGTCACTCCATCTAATGGAGGGGGGATCCTACACTGCGTTTGCCCGTACGGGGTCACCACTTAAGAACCTTTCCTGCCCATTGGTTGTCGTTTCTTCGAGCTATGTGACCAGCCTATTGCCATTTCGGTTTGCTTATCCTTCGGGCTATGTCGGTTACTATTACTCGCTGCGTAATTTGAAACTTTTGCATATGGGCAATCATGTAGGACCATATTTCGGTTCCACAAGTCATCACTAACAACCTTCGTCTTAAATATTGCATTAATCATGATTATTTTTTTAAGTATATATACATTAGTAAAACAAAAAGGATAGAGAAGTTTGGTAGAATTTGATACAAATGAATTATTTATTGCGAAAAATATTCTATATAAAAAAAGCTGTATATAGCTGCTTACTGTAAGGGAGACTATATGCTCGATTATCACTCTCGTTGGATAAATTAAATAATATTAACACTCACACAGCGTGGGCATCTGGGCACATATAGCGAGAGCCTGAGCTAGTCGCGGCGCTAATTGATGGTCGTTTGATATAGCTGCCAGTAACGGTCCATCCAACAAACGCCACGCTAGTTCGACTGAAGGACATGACAGCACGTAGCGATCTGAACCGCTATCCTGTAAAAAAAAGACCAATTACAAGATTTAAAGAAAGCCTAAAAAATACTTTCCTAATTAATTCGAATTTTTCTATCTTATTTTTTTTTTTTATTTATTTGATTGAGTGGAATACATTGAAAAAAATATTTTCAGTTCCTTTTTCAAATTATTCATATATTTTTATAGACATTTGCTTCGTGCATTTGGTATACTTCATATATACAAAAGGTAGAACTCACAGCTACAGAATGGGATAGTAAAACAGGATGCGCTGTGAATCTCCAACCCCAGCCGTTGACGGAGCTATCACTTGTAAATCTCCATCGTAGTTCATCACCTATAAAATAAGAGTGTTTATTCATTAATTACTTTTACAACAATAATAATATTTAGACAAGCATTCGAAAACTGTAGGTTTAAAGTAGGTCAAAATAATGAAAAACATAGAATAATAACTAGTAATTATATAGCAGATTACCGATTCAAATAAAAAAATAATACACGAATAATGTACCTACGAAACTGTTCATGTAATTGAAGAAATAAACATTGTTAAAATATTCTTAGTAAATTACACTAGAAAAAAACTGGATTGAAAGTACATGAAATGAAACTCATTACATTAAAGACACTCACAATCTCCCTTTGTTTTTTTAATACTTTTATTCAGTAGTTTACTACTTTTATTTTGATAAAATTCTAATATATATATATATATATATATATATATATATATATATATATATATATATACTGCTAAACTAAACTACTCGGATAAAAAATAACAATTCTCCAAATTGAGAACAAATCCAAAACCAAATTGAGAACTCCTCCTTTTTTGAAGTCGGTTGAAAAAACGAGTAGTAATTGATGATACCTTGTACGATAATTTCCTGCGCCCAATCGGCAGGCTCGCGTCCTGACCGCGTGGCTAGCACGCGGCCCGTACTGTCCGATATGGTGAGAGGGTCGTTGCGACGCTCTGTTGAGCAGCCCTGCTCGAACGTCACACGAAGTGACGACGCGCCGGGAATTTTCACAACCCCTACAATGTGAAATTATTTTATGATATCAATTAGGATAATTACAGGCTAATTGCAATAATTACAAAATACATTTAAAAAAATCACAACTTATCACGTGATCAAACTGTACTTTGTCGAAATATTGCAATTACAAATTACAGAAGACAATTCAAATTCATATAAATTATTTGTCATTGTGAATAATATTACATTTAATTTGTATTACGAATTTTTGCAACCAGATTGTAAAATATCAAAGAATACATATATAAGAATACATTTTTTTTTATGCAACTTAGAATGGCAAACAAGCTGAGGGCCCACCTGATGGAAAGTGGTAACCGTCGTCTATAGACATGAGCAAGTACCATGGACATAACAGAGTATACTGTTTCGCCCGTGATACCCACCATGCGTTGCCATTCCTGAGGACTCAGGTGTTATTCCTCTGTACCCAGTAAATTCACGCCATATCCCACCCTTCAAACCGAAACACAGCCATGCAAACACAACTGCTTCACGGTTGAATCATGAATGGGCAGAGGTACCCAAGCAATCGACTTTTGTACAAAGTCTCTCTCTGGTAAATGTAAATTGTGTACTTGACACTATATGACGTTATCTACCAGTCGGCCGTAGACAGGCCTAACAGAATATGTAATTGACGGTGCAAAGTGGTGAGCAAACAAACAGAAAGAAAACAATATTAATATATAAATAACATGTATACAATACTCACATCAGCTACGTTTATACATACATTTATATTATATGTATGTAAATATAAATATAGAATATATTTTTTATCAACAAAACTCTTTTCTAGACGATTTAAAATCCTACCTGATATATCAGTATCGTCAGCATACGGGTGCGGGCTGTCCACAGTGACGGGTTGTGGGGGAGCGCGACCTCCCCCCGCCGCGGCCTCCTCCAGCTCACAGACGCATACCTCCACTACCATATCCGCCACGGCTGGTTTACTTGCGCATAACGCTGGGTCAAAATACAGTTGCTCTTAGTATGGATTCTTATCTATACAAACATATTATGCAACAAATAAACTTTTATTATTATTATATCAGCCGTTAACTGTCGACTGATGAACATAGGTCTCCCTCTACTGGGAGGTTTTGTCAGTAGTTGCCACGCTTGGCAGGTGGGTTGGCAATCGCATTTAGGCTTTGGTGATGTTTTAAAATTGATGCTGCTGTCCTATCTTTGACCATTAAGTATCCTAAACCGCCTTTTACGATACCCACGGGAAGAATAGGGGTGGCCCACTCTATGCCAGAACCACACGGCAAATAAAAAATACTATTTTTACTGTTATAAAATTTAGTCTATACAATTACGAATTAAAATAATAGCCCTGATTGATATTACAAGATTTTGTGAATAATCTCATAAGCAGCGCAGGGTTCGAAAATAGAAAAATTTAAAATGAAAAAGTTCATAATCTGGTTTTTATCATAATAATAATAATAAATATTCAAATGTACGCGAGCAAAGTTGCAAAATATAGCCTTTGGCGAACAAGCAAACAGGAAACAGGTGTTTTCTTATCTATCTATTGAAGAAAAAAAAATACTGACTTAATGAGTATTAATGGCATACCCATCAACACGTCGGTGATAATCTTCACAGCATTATTTGCATCTGGTATCCGTCCAGCTGCGGCTAATTTAAGTAAATCCACCAATGCTCTCGCATCTGACTCGCCTAGTTGAGACGTAAAATCATCCAAGGCCATCTGCCGAAAAAAATTAAAAAATGAACTAAGGTTACGCATTGCTTTACAGTAACAAAAATTCACGAAAAAAATATTTAAGTTACAAAAAAACAATCTATCTAGGAACCTATTTTAACTATTATATGTACTTATCAAGAATTTGCAGTGTACTGACGCAACTTGGTTTTGCTAATTATTAAATATTTTGTAACCTGCTTAGTTGTAGTTGGTTAAATTACATAGTTATAAAAGTTATTTTAACATTAAGAGAATATAGTGTAGTAATAATTATGTAGTGTGTTGTGGTATGCACCATGTTAGTGGTGGTTAAAAATATTTCGAAAGAGAAATTCTCCAAAATATTTATTTATCCCAGAAATATTTTGTAAAGTAATAATATTACTCATAAAAGAATAAATGAAGAAGAAGAAGAACTAAAGTCTCTAGAAAAAGAAAGTAAGAACGGATTCTTATTTGGAAGATGATTCCGATGGTTTCATGTCAGAAGGAGCAAGAAATTAAAGCAATTTCCATAGCACTCATATGCTGTCATCTAAAATATAAAAAAAAAATATTTAATACTGAGCGATTCAAGGAGCGATCTCTATAACTTGGCTTGGTGTGTCTCGGGTACCCGAGTTATGCCGATAACCTATGAGGTCCTAAAGCTGGTATGTATCTTATAAGGAAATATAACCGTAAAACTTCAATGGATACTATCACATATAAGAGTATCAAGGAATGAAACAGTAGATAAAACAGTCAAATTAAGGACGGAACAGGTATGGTATGTAAACTTTATGTAAATTAACCTATTTGTAAAATTAAAGGTTATTGTGTCACGAAATGAAGAAACCATTTTAAAAACTGTTTAAAAACAAAGGGGATATGGTATAAAACTACACAGCCTTTATTAGTCCTCTGGTTTCAAATAACATGTCTCTCGAGATCCTCTTTAGTTTTATTTAGGATATCTGGCGATCTGGCCATGGCCACTCAACAAATTTTATCATCTTAGGGAAGTTAAGTAGTTACCCAATTGTATATATTGCAATAAAATAGAAGACTTTTTACATTTGTTGGTGGAATATGGTCAGAATTGCAACCTGAGGCAACGAATTCTGGGCGGTATGCCTTTATATAATATTTAGTCAACCTGGCAGTTACAACGCCTATATCTGTGGGTAAAGACTGCATCTGACGTGTTGATACCACAAACCTATAATAACATTCAGATATTCCCTATGAAGCTAGAAATTATAATAAAAAAGAAAACTATTATTTTATCTACCATATATTTCAAAATTTTATGCGAAATAAAAAGACAACACACTTAAAAAAAAGCTACAATAGATTTATGATGTTTTTGTTTTTATGAATAAGGGGTCCTCCTTATTCCGAAATAATATCGTGTTTATGAGGGCTCACTTTAGGTGCCTCCGCTTGTTGCACGGTCATGGTAGCGGCCGCCACGGACACCGCGCTCGACGACATCACTGCCGAGTGCCGCGACGATACTGAACCGCTGAGAGGACTGCTCGCACCACTCTGTATACATTTCTTTAATAGACTGGCCATCTCTTTTACCTTGTCTTTTTTATTATACTTAATATAAAATCCTGATGTAGAACAAGGCATCAAAAAGCTCATAATTATAATAATAAATAAAACAAAAAATCATTATGGAAAATGGAAATGAAATATTTAATTGTCCTTGTGGACACAGTATTCCAAGTAGTTCAATCAACAAATAGACTGAACAAATTATTTATTTTTTATTAAAACTCTTTTGAGTGAATTTTTATGTTCGACTCAATTTCGTTTTTCGTCAAATTAGTATCTCAACATTACTTTTCACTTGAATCAAACTATTAATTAATCTCTATGAAGAGATGCTTTGTTCTGAATGATTACCGGCAACGTGGCTCTATCAGCGGGTGCCTCGCCGCCCCCGGTACGAGCGTCGGCCTCGGCGTCTTCGTCCTCAGTGTCCACGCCCACAGACACCGGCGCCGTGCTCGAGCACGCTTCGTGTGCTCGCAATGCTTCCACTAGCAGGCTGCGAGCCTGTCAGACGCACGCACATATCATAATCATAATAGCACATTAAGTCTTGCTATCGGTCACGGTTAATTCTCTGTAATATGACATTAGCATTCTTTTAATTAGTCAATTTGTGTGTACTCTTAATTGCGAATCGGCAATAGGCAAGGATTTCTTAGTGCTCTAATAAGAGCACTAAGGAATCCTTGTTTCAATATCACACGGAAGTTGTAATAAAAAATACAGACGCATAATCCAGTACAATTAAAAACAATTAAGTACATATGTTCCTTCTTGGCTAAGTCCAATTTTAACTCGCATAATATTCTCCTTATGAGTAATATGTAAATTAAGTTAGAAACTTATTAAAAGAAGACTAAAAACTAGTCTCGTTGATTATTTGAAAAGAGTGATTTATGGCACTGAAATTATTAGATACGATGAATAGCAACATTATATTAACTACTAAGAAACAAAGTGTAATCTTATATTTTTTTTATTATTATTATTTCCACTAACCTGAGTGATGTGTAATGCTAGTAATATAAGTGACAACGCATGCTGCACAGCCACCGGAGGTTCCAGTGCTAGAGCAGCAGCCGCTAAAGATGGTCGTGGCCCTTGAGGCTCTTCTACCACCGTTTCTTCAGAATACAACCCTATAAAAAAATTGTGGGTTTGTTAAATGACTTGGCAAATAGATTTAATTGCACAAAAAAAAGCCACTGAATTGAAACTGAAAACAGCCGCCATCGTGGCGATACAGTTACGAGTATTTTGATTTAAAAACTAAACTGCTGAATCGATTTTAATACACGTACAACGACCTAAATGAAGGATTAAGTACGGAAATAGAAGTCCGATTTATCTGATCAATCTGAAAGTATTTCTATTCAGACAAAAAAAAATTCGAAATCTATTTATATACGACGCAGTTCGGATGTAACAAACATAAAAAATATAATTGAATTGAGAAGCTCCTACATTTTTATGTAAGTGGAAAAAAGTAAATAGTTGTATTTTTTTTACAACACAGGGGGCAAACGAGCATGCGGCTCAGCTGATGGTAAGTGACTGCCGCTGCCCATGATCACCCACAACATCAGCGGCATTGCAGGTGTGCTGTCGGCCTTTTAAATTTTGGTGAATTTGCCGGATTTTTGGTGAATCACAACATTTTGAACACCGATCACATATTAATATAAAAACAAATCATTTAATGAACTTGGTCAAATCTACTTTAGCAATATTTTGCAAGACTGTATATGTAACAACTTGATTTATTGTTTCCAGTACGTTAACTTAATTATTGACCAACAAATGTTATGTAACATTACATAACATTTTTTTAGCAATAGTATGAACATGTGACAGCTAAAAATTAAGATTGAAAAACAAATGAAGAAATGTGAGAAGAATGCATATCCTACTACCCATATGCAATCCGTGTACAATGCACTGAACCGCAGCTATCAAGCGCCACCTGTTGCACGTTTGGACGTTATGTTACCGTTACCTTCTTTTACAGGCTGCTCGCTATTGAGGTTTGTTATATCCTCCACTCTAAGTGTAATTCTCGCTAGATATATACTAGTCGTGTTGTTACCTTGTTTTAACTCACCTAAACTTTGAGCTCCTAGTGGATCCTTGAGCGTGGGGAATGCCAATGGCGCTATGTGAGGTGCCTGTGTATCAGCTTGTAAGGCACCGGGCCGCAGCGACCAGGCGGCTGAATGCGATGACCCGGCGGCCGCACGCTGTACGCCTTCCACACCGGCTACGAGTGCCGGCCGTCGGTTCACACACGTGGTGCCGTTGCCTTGCTGCCCGTGATCATTGTCGCCCCATGCCCACACCTAACAATTAAGCGTTTTATTTTCCAATTTTTTATTAATTAATTTCAGTTAATTCTATATTTTAATTTGTCTATCTATATATAACATAAACATAAAAAAATTAAAAAGGACGAAACCTTTTGTCTTAATTAAATAGTAGTCTAACAATAGTATTAATAGCTATATTTAGCACTATCTACAAATATCAGCCATTAATTGTCCACTGCTGAACACAGGCCTCTCCCTTGAGAGATTTTACAAATAGTCGCCACTTGAAAGGAGAGTCGATAATAGTAGTTAGACTTTAGTGATATTTTAAGAGGGATACTGCTGCCCATTCTTCGACCATTAAATTTCCTCAGTCACCCTTACGACACCTATGGAAAGGAAGGGGTGGTAAAGTTTAGCATTTTTTATGAATCACCACCTATCTTAAAAAAATACTTATATAAATATTTATATACTAGCTTTTACCCGCGACTTCGCTCGTATGACCGAGATATACATATTTACAAACCGGGATATAAAGTAAGCTACTTTTTTCTAACCTAATATACTTCTTCATCCCAATTAATACATGTATACCAAGTTTCATAACCAATTATGATGATGTTAGAAGGTAATAAACAAACTCACCTACACATTTATAATATTATTAATAAGGAGTCTATACCTTGAATGCATAATATGAAATAAAGCTCAGTAACCTGTTTTGAGAATTCACGTTAAATTGTCTTAATAGTCTTAGGGTACGTTTTGGACAGTAAATTTAAAAAAAGCTTTGCTTGTTGCAGTGTACCTGGTGATCAGCAGTAACGGCAAGGCAGTGCAGGGCTCCAACAGCCACATGCACGACGCGACGGCCTCGCAATGCCTCCACCAAAGTAGGCCGTCGCACGTGGGCATCGCACCCATGCCCCAACCGGAAATAATCGCCTTTACCCCATGTCCATACCTATTATCAGCGACGTACAAGTTAATATAGTGGCTCCGAGATTCCTCTAAATAAATAACTTCAAACAGACAATATTTAAATTTGAGAAAACCCGTCATAAATATTATTAAAGTATTGCATTGAAAATACTAACAATTTATTTATTAGTATTTTCAATTATATTTCAACTTTTACCAAAATATTCTTACTTTATAAAATATTTCACACGTCAATTAAAGAGTTTAAATAAAATATACACTATAAGTCGACTACTTCAAAAATTCAATAAATCTAGAAATTAAGTTAAAAAATAACGATCTTAAATATTTAACAAAAATATTATACAGAAATATACTCACCTCGCCGTCCCTAGTTAAAGCTAAACTGAATTGAGCGCCGCACTCAACTTGGACTACTCCAAGCGTATTGAGTCTTTCAATGTTCATTGGAACTGCACAACCATCTGAACCACCGCGACCTACATAACACATTAACTCATATTAAGTAATGACCAACGTATTGTATATATTAAAATACAATAATGCCTCTTGTGCATGTTTTACCTAATTTACCAAAATCGCCATCTCCCCATGAGAAGACCTTGCCACAGGCAGTCAACGCTAAGGTTTGGGCATCGCGCGACCCGCACGCCACTTGTACTACGCGGAAACTGGCCAGTGCTTCCACCTAAAAGTGTATATAAAATTATAGTCGGTGAGCTATTTTTTCTCTATATTCAAAAACCATATTCCACATTAGTATGTAGTACCTAATCATAGTTTATTAGGTATGAATAAAGTAACTCTTTGCATGCAGACTCATTTTATTTTTCTTGTAAAATATACTATTAAATGTAGAATGATATATAAATTAATTATTGTATTATATATAAGAGGTACATTTTGAATAAAAGTTGTTTGCCTGTATAGATATCAAGAGTTTGTTTCATTGTTCCTGCCTACCCTAATGGAAAACAGGCGTAATAGATAGACATATATATATATATATGTATGTATGTATAGAGTATAGAGGTATACATTATTTCTGAAGAATGGACGCATGAAGATCTTTATAATGGCATTGGGTCTTTTTTTTTTCTTATACAACTTAAAATGGCACATAAGCTGATGGCCCACCTGATGGAAAGTGGTAACCGTCGCCTATAGACATGAGCAGTACCATGGACATACCAGAGTATACTGTTTCACTTATGATAAGTTTACTGTTCAACCCCATGCGTTGCCATTCCTGAGGACTCAGGTGTTATTCCTCTGTACTCTGTAAATTTACGCCATATCCCACCCTTCAAACCGAAACAGAGCCATGCAAACACAACTATTTTACGGTCTTCTGATCGTTTATTTTAATTTATATAAAAAATGTAGTGAAGTAAAGATGAAAAGAAATATATGACAAGAAAATGTTTTCCTTACCATTTTGGGTACCAGCTGCGTCATATCGTCACCATGGCCGAGTCTTCCGTACTCGCCCATGCCCCACGTATACAGGTGGCCGCGGGCGGTGACGCAAGCGCTGTGAGCGGAGCCACAGGCGATGCCGACCACACGCTCTCCAGACAACGTTTCGATGAGCCGCGGCACTTCCAGTGTGATACGGTTGCCGTGACCCAACTTACCATCTTCACCTTCACCCCAGGAATAAACCTTTTAAAACAAAAAAAGGTCACATTTCATTAAAGCTACTTCATCAATTTATAGTAACAATAGTATTGAACTTCTTCGTAACATTGAATAATAGATATTTTTTAAACCATAGTTAAAAATTTTATTAAATAAGAAATGCAATTCATAAAGTATGCATTAAAAAGGTAGATAATAAAGTGTATAGATAGTTCATACCTTTCCATCGGCAGTGAGTGCGAGCGCGTGTTTCCCCCCCGAGTGAACGGCGACGCGACGCACTAGTACGTGCGACAGGTACGGGTTCGCTCGAGGTGTCGACACGTTGTTACTGTGCCCCAGTCCCAGGCGGCCATTCGTGCCTTCTCCACAAGCGTACAACTATAAAAACAAGCGATTAACAAGCTCTAGTCACACACATGTAACAACAGAAAACATAAAAACAGAAAAAAATATGTCTGTGTGAGTCGCCGTATTAAAACAAAAAGGCCATAACTCAGTATAGTAGTGCCCTGCTGGAGAAAACACTAGTTTTCTGCTATGATGCTATTACTAGATCATCATTAATTTGATCTAGTATTGCTTTTATTGTATAGATTGGGGTTAGCGTAGTGTATCATACTTTAGTTCACTTATTTATGTATATTATTTTTATTTATTAAGTATACAATCTTGATAAGACTATACAGCAGTCGTATTTGTTTTAAATATACCTGGGAATAGAACTTTATGTACTATTTAATAATTTATATACAAATATATTTTAGTATTTAAAGTAATTATATCTTACCTTTCCATCATGAGATACAATGAAGAGAGTTTTTGAACCACCAGCAATGTGGACCGGCCGTAACGCGCTTAGACTGGGTGAAAATACTGGCACTTTCACTTTGGAACCTTTCACCCCACCGAGTTGATCTTTATCGTTCAAGCCCCACACAAATACCTGCAATAAAATATATTTTATTTATCCTACCAATACTAGTAAAGATTTTGATTGTATGTTAATACTTAAATGGCTAAACGCATCTTACTACATGGGTACTTTGCGGAAAACAGCCAGTATCAACACAGAAAAAATCGATAATATGAACATCACATTATCAAATTTTTCTTTTTTTTTTTTTAACAGCTTAATATCTGCCCCCAAATTATTATTTATTTTACCTTCGGACATTCGCTCGGTAGAGAAGGTGGATTGTTATCAGCCGATACGGCGCCTGTTGAATTGTCCTTTTCCATCCAATCTTCGGCAACAAAATTCATACCCTGCAACAAGATTATTCATTCAATAACATGAAAATATATATCATAAATATGTTTTGATATAAATGAATAGAACTTACCAATAAAACGTCATTATATAGAGGGTTAGGCCTGAAACCCGTTATGTATAGGCCGTGCACGCGACAATCAGCGTTGACGCTACGATTCTGCTTAATGCCGATTTCTATGCATGGATAGAACTGTAAGAGAAAATTATACAAAAATTAAAATAAAAAATTGTTATATATATGACACATATTGTACATTTTATGTCCTATACACGTGTGAGTTGATAGTTTCCGTTATATATTTACGAAAACATCGACATACGTATTACGTAGTTAACGTTATATGAATAACGTTGTAAGTCGTATATAGAATGAGTTACAACCTAGTCGACGCCTACGTTGACTAGATTGCGGGGGAGGTTTTTATTATTAAGAACTAAAATATTCACATACTTGTATAATTAGTTTTCATAGTTTGAATACAACTGATCTAACAATAAGAGAGTCTGCGGTAAGGAGGTTGCGTTAGCATGATGGCGTGCAGCATCGTCGGATGCAGTGAACCCCATTGGTTTGCTTACAATTCGCAAGCAACTATACCTACGCTACCTACCGTTATATGTGATAACGATGGTGGCGTTCACACTTTGGAAGACGATCACTGGAGCGTCACTGACCTGCTTACAATCAGCGAGCAGCTGTATCTGGGCGAGGTGTGCGGGGGGGCGGTCGCGCGAAGTGGTCGCGGGCGGCGGCGGCGGCGGCGGCGTGCACGGCACGGCGGCCAGCGGCGCGAGCGCAGCGTCGTCGAACGAGCCGCCCGCCCGCACCGCCAGCGCAGCCGCGCCGTGACCGCCACCCGCCACGCCCAGCCCCAGCCGCCGGATTCGCACGCCGTACCGCATTTCCACGCGAATCCAGTGCTGTACCATAAACATTTACTCTATGTAGATCAACAACATCTAGATAGAGTAATTTTTCAAAGTTAATAACAACTTTAAAATTTTATCAATAACATTTAGTTGGAGTTACTCTACAAATTCAATTCAATAACATTGAGATAAGTAAGTGATGATAAAAATGGTATGGTTTGACAATTGTTTTAAAATTTACGTGCGTTAGCGTGTATTGATCTAACTGTTATATTTACCTTTAAATTTTATCAATTTGAATGCCTGTCTCATAAATACTTTATTATAAAGAAAATCTACTAAGCATTTCCTAATTAATATACGTTGCACGCTTTTGGCATTCGATGTAATAACTAAACATATTTTTAAAATATTTAATTCTGAACTATGTAAGAATTAATCATTTTTATAGACTTATCTACCTAAACCGAGACCAACATACAACATATATAAAACTTACTATTTGACCTTCAACTGAACTTTGATAAAAGTTCTCTCCAGATTGAAGTTTGTAATATAACAATTTTCATATAACTCACCTGTCCATTACCGCTAGAACTTTGCCAGTAGGTATGTGGTTGAGAGTCTAATAGTCGCCTCGCTCCAGCCCCCGGGCGGCAGGACGACACGCGGACAGCACGCACCGCTCCCCGCCATCCAACAGTCGTGCCACCAGCGCTCTCTCCCCATTCCGCTGCAATATAATAAATACCATTGGACATATCACACAGCGCCATCTAGTCACAAACTAAGCAAAGGTAGTACTATGAGTAATAAACAATTGGTAGATATAGTTAAATATGTAATTTTACATATTGAATGAATGAATGAAAATCTTATACTCGTATGGTTCCCTTAAAAGAATGATACAGATTAAAAAGATTAACAATATGTACACAAAAAAAATTAACACTTAATTAAGTAAAAACAATATAAAGAGGTAACAATAGGCGGCCTTATTGCTAAATAGCGATCTCTTCCAGGCGACCTTATGATACATAGTAATTATTAGGACAAATAAATAGATTCTCATTGATACAAATGTTTCTATTGTGCGGAGATTGATCTCATAACAATCAGAATATGAGGCCAATATGTTTAACTGCTACTTACATTAACACACTTCTTAAATGAATCAATACTAACATTGATCTGTCACTAGCTCCATTTCGTTGACTTGTCCAGTCCAGCCTGGTTGTTGTGGAAAGTCGACTGTTAAATCACGACCATTTGCAGATATACCTAAAAAAAGCAAATGTTACAAAATTATTTATAATTGTAGAATTACTATAATTGTGATAATTGAATAATGATACTGACGTGATGACAATTGCAATCTCGCTTTAATGATTGAGGGTAGTCAAATAAAAATTGGTACATTCGATTTAAAAAAAAAACTAAATTTTAATAAACCCTTCTATTGATTTAAAATAATTACAAATAGAAAACACGACTGTTCGCGTCGGTAATTCAATTCTTTTTTCTGTTAATTATATAATGAAGAAATGTATTGACGTCGACGGTGTTGACCATAACGTAGGGTGTACTTGTAAGTAGTTTTATTATTTATATTACTTAATGCATTTCACAATAAAACAACAACAAATAAAATCTGAAAAATGGAAAAATAAGAAAAGTAAAATATGATTTGAACTATCGTTAGATAAGATGGGCCTATTATTTTTTATTTAACTGTACATTATTGATAGCATTAAAAAAATTAACTGTGTCTTCTTCATCCAAAATGTCGAAATATATGTTTAATATTGAGCCTCTTTTAAAACGTTTATTAGATTTATTATCAGTGAGGGAAAATACTAAGAAAAATTTATTTACATTATTCAAATGCTCATTAAATAATACTGAGAATGAGCTTAAACCTATTGTTTATAATTTTTATGATACAAATGCATTGCAGTATATCGTTTATTTTTTCGAACAAAAATTCTGCCCTATCTAAATTAGATTGTATGTGACTTATATCTATGCAAGTAATAACATTCCAATCATTATTCATGAACGCTTATTTTTATAAAAATATATTCCCAGAATTCCTACGACAGGTGTGACATACTAACACCTACTTGGCAAGAACGCTGATTTGCAATAAAATATGAACCTATGTCTATAAACCTATAAGGTATGGTCTGCTGCAAGTTTGATTTTATCGTAATGATGGCGTACGTGTTTACGTCCTACAAGTAACATGTCTATATGATTTCCGTTTATTTTAATAACCTTCAATGGACCTTACCACACTAGCGATAAGGCATTATTTTGCTTAAGATGGCATCGAACATATACCATGTCGCTAGTGTTGTATGTGATAGGCTTGATACGTGAAGGTTTTGATTTATTTTTGAATGACTGAATATTTTTACAGATCTTTTGGCGGTTAAAATATGTCTATATTATATTATATCTGGTAATTTAGTGCTCAACCTTATCTCCCAAAGAGTTCTTTGAGAGATGAGGTTAAGTTAATTTTGGTGAAAAATATTTTTATTTGATTTAGAACTAAGCAAATCTTGCATGAAGCCTAAAGACAAATATAAATATTTCCTCAAAAGATGAAATTCTTTACGGATTCGCAATCCGACTACCATGTTTAAATTACTATTAAATTACTATGAAACTCGTTATTATATTCGCACAATACTCAGTAGGGAATTAATGACGGTACCGAAGACGACGATGACTCATATGAATTATGATGCGTTGCTTGATTATAATGAATTTTATATCTTTCGTTATTGAGTTTTCTTTTACGGCAGTCTGAAATACAATGCCCCTAGTTTTCGAATATTTGTAATAAGTTTGGGAACTGTTGTGGTTGCGATGTCGAAGCTTGAAATTCGAGACGGTTTGTACGATACTGGATAAATGGACATTTAAATGAATATTCTGATTCGGAATATCCCGTTTTATTGCATAGACTACATTTGATTTTAACTACTGTTTTATATATAAAAAAAAAAATCTCTTACTCTAATTGCGTCAGTGAGGAATTTAGGATTTCAGCAGCTTTGTTTTTGTTAAGTCTAAATATATGAAGATCCAAGGCCTCCATCATTGCAATGCGACCTGGTAGGTCCCTTTTTAGAGGATTTGCAGTTACAAGTTAATAAGGGCTGCAAGTCGGTTAATCAGCTTTCGATTTTTAACGAAAATTGACCATTGTAGTAATAAAAAGTAAGAATGTTCGATTTTGCTTTCCGTGTTTATTTGCTTTAAAATTTACCCACCTACTAATCTAGCGCCGGTCTAACCAAGACTTAAAACTATTATTTACAGCTTATAGCTATGTACTTTCGCTACTGTACTCTCATATGAGATAGTTCTACTTATCTGTACTAGAAACGATAAAAGTAAAAGATAAATGTGCAGAGGAGAATGTCAAGTGCATGTGTACTAAACATACCAGTAACAGTACCGACACTGGAGTGGTCGATACAGCCCCACTTGTACCGCGGCTGTGTAACGGCGGCGCGCACACGCACCCTGTCCCCGGGCGCGAATGGCGGCCCGCCCGATACTACTTCCGCGTGTACTGCGCGCACACCGAATACACGACCCAAGCCGCGCCATTCCACCTAAATAATAACACATTCGAAGTGTTAGGTACCGTTTTGATATATTATAGTCCAATGTCCATTATTGAACTCATGCTGTAGAGTCTATTTTATTATTTTTATTTTTAATTAACTATTATTTTTTATCCCCAATGATTTACAATTTCTATCAAACATTCAAAGATTGGCTGGACGAAATCCCTTTTATGGGGTATGTCAGCTATTATACTCATTCTTAAGAACTCTGTATCCTATAATTTATGACTTTACTGCACAAACAAACAAGTATTATTTAAAAAAATACATATGTAAACAAGTAAATTAATGGATCAATGTAATATTTTTTTCTTACATGAAGAAAGACGTTTTGTTTTATATCTCGTTCCACTTTTTGCACTTGACCCACATCACCTAATGCCACCTGAAAATTAGTAAAAGTTATCAATAATATTTAAATTAATAAGATTTGGCCCCCAAGACTGTGAGCGATCACATGGAAATAAATAAGACACTGGATGTCGCCATCTCATTTTATCTCGTTATATATATATATGGTTAGCGATAACGATTATATTAATAGATTTGTTTACAAATTGTGTAGAGGCTCTTCGATATGGAAGAAATTTCTATAGGAAAGCATTGCAGTTATTTAGATAGCTAAAATTTATGTGAAGCAATGATTTATTGAATTTAAAAACTATACCTATGTTAAATACCTCAAGAGTAAGTATTATATTATTGTTTATTTGTTAATTAGCATGCTGTGTTCCTCTTAAAATTATTGTACACTATGTATAAATAGACAGTAATCTTAATTAAAAATCTTATCAGTGTAATAATTGCTGGGAGACAAAATAAAGATAAAATGAAATAAACAATAAGTTTAATTCATCCTGACTTTTTTGCGCTTTAAAATTGGCTTATGGTTCAGTTAATAAATAAGAATAAAAACAGGGACTTACACTTTCGAACGCCTTGCAACATCGTACAGTCATCCCTGGCGTGATAACGTCCGATACATACTGAGCGTACTCATCTTCCGAGGCAAAACAACTACGCCAGCGGTACGGCGTTTGCTTCTTCTCGACTTTGGACGTGTGAGGCTTCACTTCAAATACTGTATCGTCCATGCCTTGCTGGGGAAGCTCCAGTAAATATGCAACTAGTGATTCTACTGAAGGCAAACTAGTGCCACCTAAAAAAAAAACATATTTTTATTAGCGAAAATTAATATAGAATAAAAATATTCGTAGTTTATGCTTTGGAGAGTTCAATCTCTGTCTAATATAGAATATTCTGTTTCGTTACATATAGGTATAAGCAAAAAAGGTAATATTTTATAAATTGGAAGTGATTCCAAAATCTGATATATAATATTCACTGGCAAATACATAAGGCAAATCACTTTATTTCTATATACGATTCTTCTTGCTAGCAAAGTAAAATTAAGATTATTTTGTAAAAGTTAAATTTTGTTATGTCAACAATGATGACCCTAATGCTGTCTCATTCTTTCCATTGATTGCAGTAGGGTGAATGTATTTAAAAATGGAAAAAATTATCACTTATCTAGGCCCTCCCGGACAGCCAGCCTCTTATATAGAAAATATGGGAATTTGAAAATAGCTAATGCTTCTTAAGCTAAAGCTTCCTGCTTTCTGCTGCTTTCTTTCAACTTTGGGTACTTCTCAAATAACAAGCCATCTCATCCATCACCCATATAGATTAAATTTAGTCTTAACTTCTATGCTATATCTACATAAGTAAACTATGTATTTTCTCATGTAAATGAGTGTTTCCTTTGAAAAAAAAACCTAAACCATTACTTTTATTACTTATTTAAAATATTAACTATTAATTGAAAACACTATTTAGATCAATATAAGAATAAAAAAAAAATGCTAATATGCATTTTGTATACGAACAATTGTTACCTAAGGCTTGAATCGCTGCGTATACCGCGTGTCGGGAGAATCCCATTTCAATAACTTGTTGTACTTGCGACGAGTTCGCCCAGGTATTGAGATCTTTACGAGCTGCAATATGTTATAAGAACATGATACTGATATAAAATTTTGTCTGTCTTAAATATATTTATTATTTTCTTATATATATATATATATATATATATATATATATATATATATATATATTTTTTTTTTTGATAATTAAGTGGTATAGCAATACTGTAACTATGGATCCAATAAAACTGAAGTACTGCAAATTACATAAGCATGTTTTTATAACGAACATTAAGGAGTATTTTTTACTATATTATATTAGCTATTAACTGTCCACTGCTGGACATAGGCCTCTATTGTAAGGGAGATTTTGACAGTAGTTGCCACGCTTGGCATGCTAGTTGGTAAACGCAGTTAGGCTTTGACGATGTTTTAAGAGGGACGCTGCTTCTCATCCCTCAGTTATTAAGTTCCCTTAGTCGCCACTTACGACACCTACGGGAAAGGAAGGGGTGGCTTATTCTATATCGGGGCCACACGGCACTAAAGAGTATACAAGTTTTTTTTTTTTTATACAACTTAGAATGGCAAACAAGCTGACAGCCCACCTGATGGAAAGTGGTAACCGTCGCCTATAGACATGAGCAGTACCATGGACATACATGGACAAGTATATAAATTGCATAATTTTTCTACTTACACAACGACGCAGTACTAGTGGAAGGGCCCATTGATAACTGCATAACATTACTCTTATCTATGATGGGCAAATCAGGCGGGGACTCATGGTCTTTCTCCTCACCTAAAATATTTAGTATTGTGTGAATGTTAGCTAAACTTGAAAAATATCTTTAAACAGATTAGTTTAATCCGAAAACGCATGCTTATTTCTTTATCAACTCTCTCTAAACTATTCAACAGATCTTGATACGTGTTTAACTGTCATTTAAAGATTTTTACAGAAGCTTGTATGAACAATTTTTTATAAATTTCACTCGTATAAATATAAGCCGGGGCGGGTTACTTGTAATAATAATCCTTACATAATTATAAATGTAACAGTGAGTTTGTTTGTTCGTTTGTTTGTTATCTTATAATGCCCTAACGGCTTAACCGATTACTATGAAATTTTGTATATACGTACTATATTTGATGGAGAAGGATATAGGCTACTTTTTAACCCGGTCAGTAAACGTATCCCGGTCACGTGGACGAATTTGTGAGTAAAAGCTAGTATAGTATATAACATTTTTTTAGCAAAAAAATACTATTAAAAAATCTTACATACCATTAACATGCGCTGCCAGCTGTTGTACTATAGTTAATGCAGCGGCTGTGAGCTCTCGCGGCGTGTGTGAAGCGGCTAACGGACTCGGCCGCGTCGCTAGTGCTAGTAAGCGCTTCAATAAAGTGCCCTCAGTCCCTAGACTGGTGCCTCTTTCTAAGGTACCTGCAATATTATTTTGAAGCATACAGGTTTTCATACGGAAAGGATCGAGTTCGAATCTGGTCTGTGTGTGTGAAGTTTAAATACTTCCAATTACCTCCCCAATGGTGGAAAACATTAAAAAACTCTGTAAACTCTAAACTAAGATGGGCCCTGTCTAAAATATGCTAGGCGAAATGTAGGCATGCTAATTATTATGTTCGCCACAAAGGTAAGACTTAACAAATGCCTAACTATCCTATTAGGGGTTTCAGTTTCATACTTTGTTATTCAAATTTTATTTAAAATGTCGCAGTAATTTACTACTATCTTCAAAGATATATTCATACAACGTAAAAAGTAGCTTTCACCGCTCTTTGGATTTCTACCCTTGTCTATGGTAATGACCGATTGGCGTTTTCGTACCTAAAAGAAAGAAGATAGGAACTAAGATATTTTCATATTTAAATTAGTTAGGATTTAGTCCAAAAACGTGCAAGACCAATATAAGAATAAAAATATGGTTAATGGTAAATATGGTTAGGATGTACAACTCGAAAAAGAAGAACAAGACGAAAGATTTCCTATCTAATATGCAGGCTTCATTACCTGTGGTTTTGTATTTTTTTTTTTTTATATAACTTAGAATGGCTTCTTGAGGACTCAGGTGTCATTCCTCTGTACCCTGTAAATTCATGTCATATCCCACCCTTCAAACCGAAACACAGCCATGCAAACATAACTGCTTTACGGTTGAAACACGAATGGTACAGAGGTACCCAAGCAAACGACTTTTGTACAAATTCTCCCTTTGGTATAAGTTGCTTAATGCTGAAAACTGTATGTGAAAGATACAACTAATATTTTCATAATCACAATTTCACCACTGTTAGGGCACAGTGGCGAAATTATGATACACTACACTAATACATAAACATGTTTTACGACATTTCTTCTTCTTATAATGTAATGTTGATTTAGACTTGAAAAGAAATGTTTATACGTTATGAATTGTCGTAATTACTTACTAGCATTATCAGGAGGTTGCATCAATACTTTCCGAAGTCGTGTGCGTGTAGTCAACAGTCCACGCACAGCACACAGAGTCAGTAATTCCATTTGCTGTTTTCTAAGGCCGTACACGTCTATTTCGGCTAAAATTGAAATAATAAATAAATATTTTTTATATTTATTTCTATTTTAAATAACTTACTGATCCCGAGTAATAGGAAAAGGCGAGGTCGAAAAAAGATTTTAAATAAGATACTAAAATTGTGACTATACAATACAAGTAATGACCAAAATAAAAAAAAAAACATTTAATTTATTTTAGAACTAGCGGCCCGTCCCGGCTTCGCACGGGTGGGCATTTTTACATTTTAAAAGGTGGCCATTAAGGCTGCACACGCGACGGAAGCTTAAAAATGGAGTAACTTCTCCCGTTTTCCCAACATTTCCCTTCACTGCTCATGCTCCTATTGATCGTAGCGTGATGAAAAGTAAATAATTGTACCAAGTTTAGTTAAAATTCGTCGAGTAGTTTTTGATTCTATAACGAACATACAGACAGACAGACAAAAATTTTACTGATTGCATTTTTGGCATCAATATCGATTACTAATCATCCCCTGATAATTATTTTGGAAATATATTTCATGTGCAGAATTGACCTCTCTACAGATTTATTATAAGTATAGATTTAAAATATTAAACGAATTATTATCTTTACTTAGATTATTTGTATAAGCATACATATAATATAGTATAACATATACACGTCACTATGGTATTAACGTACAAAAAGATTAAAAATTATACATAATAAATTATGCATTTGCGATTTAAAATATACCAGGTAAGTGATGTGGATGCATTGGCGAAGCCTGTGGGCCAGCGCCGAGCAGCGACGCACACACACGCAACGCACTCTCTCCTCCGCCCAGCGGTTGGCTTAACCGCTCTGGCTCGGCACTTTGTATTCCACTTAATTCAGTCTACAAATATAAAACATTACTATATCCTGTTGTTAGCTTTAAAAAAAAAAAGAACCTACTGTCCAACTACTTATAAAACTGTCTATGATATTGTCGTTTTTGCTTTGTACTGAACTCCAGTGAAACAAATTATAATTGGAAAGAAATATCATCATATCAGACGTTATCCGTCCACTGGCGAACATAGGCTACCATAAGAACAGTCCTGAGTCATCTGCATCCTGACTAAATACAACGTATTTGAGCTAATCACTTGATCTAGTCGAAGGCTTGTCCTGTACTGCGCTTGCCTGTACGAGGTCGCCACACAAGAACCTTTCTTTCCTATTAAATAATACAAACACATTGGTAATATAAATGGGGGAAAGAAGAGGCGATATTGTGATGTGTACATAGTGTTAAAATTTAAATGATCGTACATAAACATAATGCAAACTTTAAGTAATGAGGCGGAAAATATAATCATAGACTTATATAATACAATAATAAAACGTTATGTTCTGAGCAATTATTATTTCAATAATAAATACCTTAGTAGCGGTGTTATCGTCGTGCACCAGCGTGATCTTTGCTCTAGGCGACAGCTGTGTGACGATAGCGCACCGTGGCGGCGAGCCTGCGGTCACTCGCTGACCGAGCCTTATACGCCACTCTACGCCACCGACCACTCCCAATACCCCCGCTGAAAATAAATCAAACTACCATGCTACATCTTGATCACATCTTAGCGCCGCATGAAGGGTGATGTCTATGGAGATATTCATGTTTATAAGCGATTGTTTTCACTTGCAAGGTATACCGTCAGTATGTTTGTCATTTAAAGTTAGATAATAAAGTCAATGAATTGAAACAGACGCTGCAAATACATTTACGAGTATTTTTTCGCCCTAAAGGTGGCCTGCGAAGACAATATATATGTAAATAATATTTTCCTTTATATAAGCCGTGTAATTGAACAATTCGTGTGCACTGAAGGAAGTAAAATTTGGTGTTTTATTTTAACCAGACCCAAATTTACTTACTTAAAACTTAAAAGAACTACTTAAGACTTTAAAGCTGAGAAAAACAAAGCAAACTAAGCAAATTTTATCTATGGAAAAATGTCCTTTGTGTGTAGACCATGAGAAATTACTTGCATGTCGATAAAATGTCAACTTGAGATTCTTACACGTTTCTACTTTATCAATAAGTCATTTTTGACGTTTGTTTACGTCAAAAATGACTTATTGATAAAAAAAAAGCATAGCAGTTGGTATTTTTATAAGAGTTTAATACCAGAGGGGATTTTCTATGAAATGGTAGCTTTTTCAATATCACAATAAGTGAAAAAATTTATAATGTTAATGTTAATTGAAGCTACTTATGCAGAAAACAGCCACCTCTTATGGACATCGTAGGTAGGTAATGTGCCTGTTTTCTACACAAGTAGCTCCAACTGAGGTAATTGTGGCATTTATCAGTTTAGATCTGAGACTTAACATACTTGATCTTATAATATTAATCAAATTCAAGTTGGCATACCAATCAAACATGTGTCGAGCGTGGGCGGTGCAGGTTTGATGGTTGATGTCAAATCTTGACTGGCGTGTGGCCACCAATGCCAATCACTTGTTACCTATCAAACAAAATAAATCTGATAATTAAGAGCATTTATACCCTTATTCATAGGTTTATACAGAAGTATACGAAATAATTTATTATTTTTTAAAAACAATGGAACAATTTTCAATATTTTTTGATTGATTATTAAAAGGTATACTGACAGCAAAAATAGGTTTGATACAAATCACATATCTTAAGTGTATCAACAGTGATAAAATATACAAAAAATATATACAGGCTCAAATCACTGGTGTCCTTTTAAGGGAATATTCTACTAACGAAGCCAAAAACCCCTAAAGTTCCTATATCAACACGGCAACACGGCGCGTTCAGATGCTGACTTAGTAAGAAATACTCAAAATTATTTGTCAATAATATTTGATGCATGAAATGTCTGTCTTAACATGTACACTCTATTGTATGGGTATATATTTAATTTTGTAAAATTAAAAATATAGCCAACAACATCGATTTCACCTGTATAATCATTACGAAGAACTATGAAAGCATGACCTAAGGTCCAATGATAAGCTTATTACAACACAAACAGTGAATTCTATTTTTATAACAAATTATTATTTTAAGGTTCATAGTAATTATCTATTTGGTTTTGTTACATATTATTAGTACTGGCACGTCTTTAGCCTCACACACCATTTGTGCCGCCAAATGCAGTTTGTCAAGTAGCAGCGCAGTAAGCGGAGTGTGCCACTGCGGCGCTGCGTGCAGCTGTCGCACTAAATGCACCAGCGCTGCGCACGTCGAGCCCGTGTAGCTGGCGGTCGCGGGCGCACGCCATCTGTTGTCTGTAAGGAAAATTAATACACCGTACAGTACGCATGAAAAAAAATCATGGTATGTAGGACCAAAATAAATTTGAAGTATAAATTATGTAAAATAAATTATTAAATATTGTATATGTAGGATGAACTCCATTAGACCAAATGATCTTAATTAATATTTTGCAAAGAGTCAGTGAATTTAGGTCAATATGGTCAAAAAATGCCTCATTAGTTGTCCTCGAAACAAAGAAGAATACTTCGTGGCTCCAACTTGCACATCTCACTTATATTAATAAAAATTATAAACTGTATATTATAAACCAAACAAAACAATACACCGTCCTAACGTTCATTTCATTCAGGTCTATGTCCAGTAGCAAACAAAAGCTGAAAAAAAATTATAATATAACATACCGATTTCTTCCTCATCAGCGCCAGCAGCGACAGCGTTATGATTAGGCCGCAACGCCGGGTCAGATGCGTGCGTCTCTAACCACAGTCGTCCGATTAATGCTAGTAATTGCGCCCCTACTGTGCGCCGCCATTCATTAGGCCCATTATGTTCCACTAATACTCGTCGAAGTAACCATAGTGACTGAATCTGAAAGTATTATATCCTGAATTTGAATAAGAACAATTAGTAGATAATGAACAAAGAAATACATCCTCCTAATGAAATTAAATCTTATATCATTAGCGTAAGACTCAATTTGATTAGGTTTTTCAATCTGTCAAACTCAAGTTAGCATAGATAATTCAACATAAGAAGTGTAATTATACGCTATCATAGCATTAATTCTCTGATAAGGTAAAATACGAATCTATCAGGATAATCGAAACTAATTTCTTTTACTTAATGTCCACAAAAAGTAACAAGTGTTGAATATATCAAAACCTCAATCTCTACAAATCCAAATAATATGGCTGGGATATTCATTAAAAACCATTAAACTCACTTGTAGATATATTAAATCCTGTGAAATAGGTTTGTCTGTGGCCGAAATAATACTGTAGCACAGTTCAAACCACGAGTCAGTGCACAACGATATTCTCATCTCTGGACTCTGGGCACTTGCTGAAATAGAATAATAATGATAAATTAGTAAAGCAAATAGGATGATAATTTATTTCAATAAATAGATTTTGTAAATTTATATTACTGAAATGATGTATTTGCAATGAATATTTAATAATTGGGAACTTATGTCAAACGAGTGTGTTACCATTCCCAGTGGACGTCGACGTCTTCTTTATCATAGATAAATTACAATATATCTGTTTCGTATGACATTCCATAGTAGACCCAGAAACATAAGAGCCTATATCTTTATAATTTACTACTTGACTTGGCAAAGGTTGTTTTACCCCCTACCGTTTAGCGGTTTCCAATATTCGCGGAAACGAATATTTTTATATATTAAGATAACAACGGATTATTGTTATTTTTTTTTCTAAAGGCGTTGCGCTGTAAAGATTAGGCATTTATAATCTTTATATCACATTTGTATGTTCAAGTTCTTTGTTAATATCGATACCTCTAACTAAGGCGAGCGCAGTGTGGTGCTGCGCGGCGAATGCCGTCGGCGGGGGTGCAGCGTGCGCATGCGCAAGCGTGAGTAGCCGCCGCTGCAGCGCAGCGACGTTGCGACGCGCCACCGCAGCCGCGCCTCCCACCGCGCCCGCGCCCACGCACAGCGCGCGTACTGCACACGTACATGCCGCGCGCACTTCGCTCACTGGCCACCACTCGATACTGTTGTCCACTGCAATGCGATTGGGAGTGTAAGGAGCCATATCTATTGTGATGTGACCATATCGCATTTAGGTACTTGACACGGTTATAATAAATGCATACATTAAAATTAGCTCAAAAGTACGTTACAAAAGAAAACTACAAACATAAGAGGTAAAATTTATTTAGTTTTTACCCGCGAATTCGTGTGACCAGGGCATTATTATACTATTACTATTATTGAATTAATGCTTTATATTAAGATGTGTAAGAGATTGCTATTAACGATAAAACGGACTTCTGTGATTGCGATTTTGTATCAATATTTTATGTATAAATATTTTTATATGGAGTAAAAAGTTTGTTACGTTATATATGAATGGCGGAGATAAAAAAAAGTAGCCTAAATTTCCATCCCAAATACCAATTTTCATTACGATTAGTTCTTAAAACAACAAAAGACAAGAAACAAACTGACTTTCGCGTTTACAGCGATAGTAAGGATTTAAGCCCTAGTTAAGACTTGATTAAGTTAAAGTTATTTTGAATTATATTTTATAAGTAATTTTGAAGATATCAGTATAGTATGAGTACAAAGTAGTTTTACATAATAAATATACAAAATTACCATCAACAAACTCACCAGTTCCATGCACAGTCTCGTCTACCGACGGCGGTGGGGACGGTGAACGAGCGAGTTTCAGGTCGTACTTGCCCTCCTTGCCCATACGATACGAGTTCGTTCCGCCAGCGTCCCACGCTACCCGCACCCACCCGTCTTCGCCGAGTTCTCCAATCACACGACCTTCTCCGCCCGGCACTCCGTCCTTTATAATAATAAGAAGTACTTTTTAATCATTGATAGAGAATATTAATCCAAAGGTATAGAAAATTACCGGGAACTATTATATGCATAATATGCCTGCCTTGTGGTCCCGGCATAGAATGGAACATCCCTTCCTTTCCTGTGGGTGTCGTAAGAGGTGACTAAGGGAACTTAATGGTCGAGAGATGGGCAGCAGCGTCCCTCTTAAGACATTACTAAAGTCTATCTGCCGGTGCCACCCGCATGACACACGTGGCAACTATTGGGAAAACCTCTCTTTATAGGGGAACGCGTATGTTCAGCAGTGGGCAAATAAGGGCTGATATTATGATGAGGATGATGATGATGATGATTATATGCGTAAAGGATATAATCGTCATTATTGTACAATGTCACTTATCTTCTTTAGCAGTAGTAGGTAGTCTTTAGGTAGATAGACAGATAGACAGATAGAAGTAAAATAATTAAAAAGCAACTAGAATAATATTTATTATTTCACAATATATATATATATATATATATATATATATATATATATATATATATATATATATATATATATATATATATATATATATATATATATATATATATATATATATATATATATTATGAAAAGTATTTCCTGTAAATACATTTTCTCTTTTATGTAAAGTTAGAACAATTTCATAACAATCATAAAAGACTTAATTGTCTTTTTCATTATTCATCACATTTCTTACCGAAATACAAAATACTTACTTGATCACCCCATTTCCAGTCTTTGCCACGAACCACACGTGTTCCAATTTTCATTAATGATGCAAGTTCAGGCCCTGAGAGGGAAGCGCCTCGGGCCCGTGCACCCAAACGTTCATCTTCATAGATAATTATACAATCCGCTGAAAAATAAATAATTAAAACTGACCTCTAATTCTGATACATAAGATTCAAATTAATTAAGTAAATTTTACTTACATTTTGATTTAAGCCCATTACAAATTAAAGATGCATGTTGTGATGTATCACCACCAATTTGTTTTAATAATGTCAAACATGAGCTTAGGGCTCCGCCGTTTATGAGCTGTTCCAGTTCTGGTCCTTGACACCCTTCAATGAGTAACGATAACAGCGTTATTAGGAATCTAAAAGAAGAATGACACTCATAACTATGAACTTCAAAGAAATACGGTTACATCAACAATTTAATATATTTATGGATATACAACTGACCGCGCCCTAGAAGGTCGATTTAACAAGGCATGTGCCCCATAATTAGCACTCATCTTTAGTGGTAGCGGCTGCGTCTGTTCGCCTTCCAATACTCTCGCTTTTAATTCTATGAGAATAAAGTCCATTAATTTCGATCTTTCCAAAAGTACCATGTACTTAGAATATGGTATCACTGATTCAATGCCTGTAAGTGGCGGCGTCAACGATATAGTAGGTTTGAGAGGTATTTGAGGAACTGAATCTGCAAATGATGCTCCGAGTAAACCAGCTAGAGCAGCATACTTCACACTCTCAGACATGGTCTGTGATGAATGTAAAATAGCATTTATCATATTGTATCCATTTCTTCTCATCTCTGCTCTTTGCACCTGAAAATCAACAATGATATAAATATAATAATAATATTGTAAAATGTACTGCTGATTTTGACGGCAGTACAAAATTACCTGACAATATAAAGCCCTTCTAAGAATATCAATGTCGCACGGGTTTTCAGTCATAACAAAGTCGATAACGGCGGTAGTCAGACTTTGCTGCTCTGGAGTCACTTCTTCGAGCATCCAATATAAATCTGTAAAACAACATATGAGTAGTAGTTTCACAATATAACAAGAACATCAGAATTGTATCATCAAGGTTAAAATTTACCTTTTTCTTCACAAGCGAGTCTAGAGACCCAAGCATTAACAAACTTATTTCTCTCAGAATTATCATCATCTTTTTCTTCATTAGCCATAATGAGATCATTTTTGAGATCATCAGCGAGCAACATTACTTGTTTCTCGCTTTCCATAGATTCTTTCAGAACCGAATTATCAGTCATGTCATTTATCGAACTCATTGACATTTCATTTGTGGGCGTTTTATCATCATTGTCTTTATCTAATACATCGTCTTTCTCAGCAAGTTTATAATCGCTGCGTCCTTCATTGCGCATGTCGTCGTAATTTGATGCATTTTTCATGTCCTTTTCAAGAAGTTTGTCTTTTATTTTAAATTTTGATTTAGTTTGTTGATTCGATAATTCCTTAACATCTCCCGTACTTTCTATCAAGTGACCTTTCGATGTTTCGACTATAATACTTGGAGTGACCTCCTCTGGAGTTTTGGTTGATGCATTAGCAATAGAGGACTTTATCAACAAAGCATCGCCTTGTAATAGACTACCTGTCGCTTTCAACATGCTTTTGCTTAAACTGTTTTGTCTATTTCTTAAATCTTTGGTAGTTTCAAAACTGTAAAGAAATTCAACATTATATTTATAGACATTATTTTTGTATAAGATCCTACTATATAGATAAACTACATCAATTGTGGAAGTAGATATTTTTTTTTTATTTTCAAAAATGGAATGGCAACTCTGCGTTATTGGTATACGCTAGCATGACACCAGTGTACGACGATAAGTGAGGATGGAAGCAGGCCAGTTGCTCATCGCGATGAATTCATCATGAATTAACAAAAATTATTTCCAGCGGGAACCATGAGGAAATCACCTAATAGAGTATACTGCTAGTAATGGGGGCTTTTAAATCCCATTACTAACATTGCCCCCCCCCCCTTCCGTGGAAGTGGCTTTAGACCAGCAAACTTAGGCTTCCAAAAGGCTAGAAAATGGCCTAGTTAATTCTTTGAAAAGGAAACCAATACCCAACTTGGTCGTCTATGCTCCAACATTTCATTAGTGACCTTACCATTTATTAAAACTTGGTGTCTTCGCAGCACGCATGACCTTCTGGAAGATTTTTTTAGCAGTGGGAGGTCTGTGCGAAGGTGGACGTTTCCTCAGCGCAGCGACTGCGGGTGAAACAGCTGCGCGAACTTCATGCAGAAGAAACCGCGCGCGCTCTAGCGGTGCAGCACAGACCTAGCAGCCAAATATCAAATACTCATTTAAAGACGGATTTAATCTAACGATTGAAGTGATAAATCTTATTATTATAATAAAATTGTAACTAGAAAATGGTTGTACATGGAAAATATTTAAGAAAAATAATATGAGGACTCTTAATAAGACCAACAGAGGCCAAAAATATGAATTATTTTATATTCGTCTGTATGCCTATCTATATGTTTGTTACAGAATCACACAACTATTATAAATTGCGGTTACCCCATTTGTGTTCTTGAAGGGCTAATTTAAAATCTGATGTATTATTTATTTTGATACATCATCTAGTACTGGAACTGTACCTCATTAGAAATCTTCTAAAACCATATGTACAAAATAACTGGCAAAAAGTTATTTATAAATAAAAAAAAGAGCATTCTTTGCTTTGATACATGCATTGACAAATTAATAATTGGAGATTGTGAATAAACATTTTCTTACATCTTATTTCAAATGAATAAAACAAAGTTACTAAAAGTAAAATAAATTTAATTAAATTATCAAATTTGTTACTTAGGAAATGGACTACAAAAAGTTAAATAAATAAATATTAAACATTTTGTAAGACTATTTTAATGAAAATAACACAAAAGTCTTACCTCCTTATATCCACGTGATAACTGTTGCCTTGTCCTCATAAGAGTCCATTTGCTTTGCTGTACTGCCTTCACGATCTCCGACATGGCTGGCGACAATTTAACTTCTCCCTTTTCCATTTCTGCATTTATAAAAATAAAACAAAATTTATATAATACTTGGGCTTTAAGTACTTTAAATTCTATACTTTGAATTTCTCAAAACTATGGACATTGATATAAATATCGGTGCAATAGAGATGTAGTCAACGACTGCATCAGTAGATACATTTTCGACAACTGACGTATTAGAAAGAATAAGACGCCGAACATTATCGTCTCGTTTTATCTTGTGCATATCATATCCAGTTGCTATTTTGTCAAGGAAGGCTTTTTCCCTTTACTTTTGCACAGATGGTACTTTCGCCAAATATTTTTTAATTCTATATCAAATTTTATAGGTACAAAAGACAGACATACCCGCGGTAGCAGTGGCCAAAGCGTGCTCTTTTAACCCGGCGTGGAACAATAAAGCAGCAAGCATAGCTCGCCTCAACTCTTCTAATGGATGTTCTGGGGGAAAATGGGGGGCGCAGCCTTCGCGTCTCTCACATGCCCACCATAGGTGTAATGCTAAAGGGTCCTGTAAATAAAAGAAATAATTTCGCACTTTACAATATATGACAAAATATTGATAATTTTATTATATTAAACGATACCTCTATTAAAATATTATATTAAGTGGTTAGATAAAAGTATTTTTTTTAATATGTAAAGATTAATACAAAATATTTATAAACATGGTAGCTTAATAGATATTACTAAGATAAAATATGTAAGCTCAAATTCTGTGCAAAAAATCATAGTGTTTTTCGTAATAATGATAATTTTACTGTATTAAAAAAAAAAAAAAAAACAACATCTGTAATCGCGAGATAAGATTTGTGGAATCCAAATCATTTTTGTTTTCATTTAATTTATATGTAGAGTACATTAAATTAACTCAGGTTATAATCATCATACCTCTTTACATTATATTAACATATTTTTTTCAATTAAATCACATGACGTTCGTCTTACGTGTAGTTTCGGTTCCGCGAGCGCGTACAGCAACGCATCTGCGCGTGCATGTGTAGTAGTAACGCTGAATTTAGGCGGCGGACGCGTATTCCGCATGGGTGGCGCGTCACTTGCAGGACTATTCCCACCCGTGGACGAACCACTACGAGCTTCTGCTTTCTCCTCCTCGAACGGATTCGCTAGTTGTGACACCTATTGTGAAATATTGTAAATTATAGATACTTTTAAATCTACTAATGCCTTCGTTTGTTGTGATTATGTATATATATGCATTGGGTAAATAAATAAATTTAATTTCATTATAGTCTGGTCCGTCATTTATTATTTAGCATGATTGAGTAATCAGTATCCAAACAAATAGAAGAGTTTAAGAAAGCCTGACACAAAAATTTTAAAATAAATGAATCTGTAAGGCTATAGTACTCATGTAATAAAACATTAAAGGTGATTAAACGACTTTAGAGCGGCAAGCACTTCTGCCTTACATTATATTATTTTATTTTATTACTAAAATTAAATTATATTATATAATCTCTTTAACTATTTCTAAAACCAAAAAGGTAGTCCTCTCTTCTACTTGCTGTGCCCAATAGGGTCCATAAGTAGTGTTAATATCTACCAACCACATTGTAGAATGTATTGCAGAAATAGATTAATAATTACTTGTAAACCGCCCCTGAGAAATACGGCAGCAGCGTAAGGTGATGCGTCTCGCTCCGCTTGTTGCACAGGCAGCGAGCGAGCTAGTCTCGATCCGCACTGAGTCAGACCCACCGCCAAGTTGAATGCACTCGATGACAGTATGTGGTAAGCACGGAGACTCGATGTACTCTCCTAAAACAAAAAATATGTACGTAACAACATATTTGAACAATTAGAAACACAATATTTAGTAAACATATTATTATGTGTAGTAGTATAAGTGGAAATAGAATAAATAGATACAATCATCATCATCATATCAGCCGTTATCTGTCCACTGCTGGACATAAGCCTCCCCCATAGACGGCCATAAGGAACGGTCCTGAGCCATCTACAACCACTGACTTCCTACAAAGTATTTGAGGTCGCCATTTCATCTAGTGGGGGGTGGTTGCCTACACTGCGTTTGCCAATACGAGGACGCCACTCAGGAACTTTTTCTATATAATAGGTACAACATATTGCAGAAAATTGTTAAAATACTGTTTGTCTAATAAATAAGATTTGTTAAAAACTTCAGCAGTATTGAAAAAATTGATCCATGGCCTATACTGATAGTGGAAAGGCTGGCTGATATAATAATAATAACAAATTCTCTCCCTAGTGTTAAATAATAATAATTAGCCCACATTTTAATAACAGTCAGAACTGACATGATTGTAAATCTAGATAGTGCGTAAAACAACGCCAACCTCTTGCCCTATTATATAAAATTCGGCTATTAGCATCATCCATTCAAACCGGTATACTAGACCAAGTGTTTTTTTTTTAATATTAACTCACTGGCATATAAGATGGCATAGTATGATTGACCTAATTGAATGCATTAATAACAAACACATTACTGTAAGTAAAGGAGTCTATAAATAAATCATATATAACTAAGATGAAACAATTACTATAATATACTCACATGACATTTATGCGTGTAGATTTGATCAGCATACAAGCCGACGCATTTATCTGTGAGCCGCGAGAGGTAAGCGGCGTGCGGCTCCACACTGAGCGCTGCGGTCGCGTCGCAGCCGCGCATCTTGCGTACCACTTCCACGGTACTAGCGCTTTCACATTCAAAGTTCTCCACGTCGTACACGTATCCGCTCACTACGATCCAAGAACCGCCCTCTTTTGTGTGATTTTGGAGATCGCATCTATAAATATTGCATTTATTATTATAAAAGCGATTTTTGTCTATTTTTTCTAAATTATTTCAGGAAAGTTACAAAGTTGTGTTTTTATAAGAATTTTATTTATAAAGAGGCATGGTATTAATGGTCCTATGGTCCCGGTGTAGAATAGGCCACCCTTTCTTTTCCCGTGGATGTAGAAAGAGGGAACTTAATGGTCGAGGGATGAGCAGCAGCATCCCTCTTAAAACATTAGCATGCCTAGTCACTAACCCACATGCCAAGCATAGCAACTACTGGCAAAACTGCCCCCAGTAGACAGAGCCTATGTTCAGCTGTGAACATTTAACGGCTAATACGATGATGTCGTAAAGCATATATGTATATATGAGCCCACAGGAATAAATGTAACTAGCAATCTGACTTTTGAAAATATTTTATAATATATAAAATAATACTCACTTGCGTATAACACTACTATTCAACTGATGTCTCTTTGATACCAGCCCAGGCCATCCTAACAAATCAGCATCTAATTTGGCAGCGGAAGGAAGACATCGCGCGGCTTCGTCACAAGCACGGGCCATTTTCACTAGAGAACTAGTAGAATCTGCCAACGCGCCGGGCGAACGACTAGCACAAGCATTAACCCAGGCGTTTAACTCGCTGATTACTCGCCCTAAAAAAAGATGTAGATGTCACATAATAACATAAATTATTTAGTTCTGGAACTAGAATTCCAAGTCTTCTAGATAAATGACCAACAAACCTATTGATTGATTTGTTATTATTAGTGAGTCCATTAAATAGAATAAGATGGTGCCGTCCAGAGACTTGTTGTTTCTTATGCGAGCGCTAATCAAAAAGATTCTACCGATAGATTTGCTATTTGTCGAGAATAAAACGTTTGTGCAATACGTAGTTGGCGAGTAGCGCCAATTGCTACATGATGGAAGTCCCCATGTAGTATGATTTCTCTTCATAAAAAGTAACTTATGATCATACTCACCAACAATATCAGCAGCTATGAGGTCACACAGCGCTGTTAGCTGCTCATTGTTCGCTCTGTGTACTGCTCGTGTGAAGCACGCAAGGGTGGAGTGCACGTGATCCGCGAGCAACGCCGTGTACTGAGTGATGAGTGCCCGCACGCCTCCGCGAGTACTCCGACCACCGCGGTACCACATCGCCTCACAAAAAAGCAACCTACCACAAGAGCAAATAAAGTTCAAAATAACATTAATCAATTACTTATGAACGTTTTATCTCTATTATCATATCTTTAATTTATAAAGAGTTTTAAATAAATTAATTTATTAATACACGAATATTTCACAACCACGGTAGAATACGACTTCATATACATTACAAATTTATAAGAAATAAATATATATTTTATAACATGACACACACCATCTCGCCACCAAGCAATTGTGGCTACATGGGACTTGGGACATGGTAATGAAATCCCCGAAAATTGCAACTCGGAAAGAACACCATAGAAAACATAAAGTATGCTGTAATGATCATGGTGCGCTGTTCATGACAGTTATTATTTATCATCAAATAGGTTGTCGTTTCAAATTATATCAAAAAAGACTAAATGTTTCATGTAATAAGAAATTAAAAAATTACAAAAATAAATTGCTGTAACATTTTAAGTATATTCATTTCAACTGTAACTCATAAGAGACCCAGAGAGAGAGATTACCTTTGGAAGCGAATAAGAAGATCGCAGCTAGGGCTGACAGTGTCGTGTCCTTTTGGATCGTCGGTCTTGCTTGTATCACCGTTTATTATACAACTTATGTGCATTTGAGTCTGGCAACTAGTATTTCGAATCAAATGTTTAACCTAAGAAAAAAAAAGTATAATTATTTCACTAACAATGAGATACTATTTATGCTATTTTAGATACATTCTTTTTAAATTTTCCAACACTCACTACCTGTTCAAATTATATTATACTATCAAAAAAAGTTACCTGATTTATCTATCCTTATTTTTAAAGATTTAATATCACCCATAATATGACTTACCAGATGCATAAGAGGAACAGATGCTCCCTTATCTGAAGTTGTAGCATTATTAATTTGATACTCTTCTGTGCATCCTGAAATAAAAAGAATTATATTTTTATTTTAAAACAAATATTGGGTTTTCATGTATTTAAATATAGGTATGAGTCATACTATTGCCCGTAATACAATTTCTGCATAGTTTGCGACTAGATGACTCTGTGTAATATGACAACGGTACAAACAAACATTATGAAAAAAAAAACTGGGTAATTTTCATACCTGGTACAGTCTCCCCGTTTTCACCAGTTGACATTGTTTGAGGAACACATTGACCAGTTACTATATCCACCTGATCATAGTTTCTATAAACAAAAACAATAAGGAATATATTTTTAAAACATCAAAAATGTAGTTAAAGACAGTTCATGAATGAAAGTTTTTTATTTTAAATGACTTTTCAATTTGATAAAAATAAAGAAGGTAATAACTCACACGTCAAGCTGCAAATGATTGTAGGCATCAGAGGAGTTAACTTGCAGAGCATTTTTTAGAGCATCTCTTAGCCCACCGCCTCCAAGTAACGACCACACTAATAATTCGGTCATAAATCTAGCTCCTGCACTGGCTGGCGATGAACCTGTAAGAAAATGTTACGCGAAGTTAATGTATGAAGATTGCATCGCTAAACGATTTCAAGAGTTGCACAGTCAATAAATGAAGCTATTGATGTCATTCACTGTTGTATGAGAATGAGTAAAATTTCCATAATAATTTTATATTTTTATTATTATCTTATGAAATTTAAATGGTGTTGTTTTTAAATATTAAATAGTGGTGACAGCTTATTTGGCTCGGAGCCGGGATGTTTGACTGTGATCAGTGTCTCAAGAATTAATCCCAGTTTAAAGTACAAAATTTTACAATTGGATATACAAAAGTTCTTATCAGTTTCTTCATGTTTTGGAATGCACATTAAGTTATTGTCCAAGAAGCCATGTCACAGGCAATGTGCAACAAAGTTGGATCTAGAAATTCTTGACAACAACGGGCGCCTTCCTCACGTGATTAATAGCAGCATTAATAACTGTAACTTAAATTTTCTTTTGTTTTTTTCGATTGTAGAATTTATAATATACTCACCCTGCGGCAACAGAGCTATGAGATGTTGTGCCCGCACGTGCGGCGTGGGCAGCAGTATGGGCCAGGCGGCGGCGAGAGCGCGACGAGCGGCGGCGGCGGCTGCGGGCCCCGCGCGGCCTTCCACCAGCGACACGAGGGCCGCGTGCACGCCCCCGCACCACGAGCTCACCTCCGCCTCGTCCACCGATACGTTCCCGCGTGAACACTGCCACGCGTGCACCTACGGATATATAATATAAGTGCCACCTAAAGAACGCCCTATAATTGCATAACAAGCCAGACGCTAGATGTAGCAAATGATGGTTCGAGATGCGCGGGACAAGAAGGGTGCGCCTTAAATTATTATACATTCGCTAGGGACGCGGTAAACGCCTAGCCCTTCGGCGTGTTTCACATTCATTATTCCTTTGATGGCGTCCATTATTACTTGTTTTTTTTATTTGTGCCCGTTATCCTCATGTACGTGAAGTGTTCCACCCGCGTAAGATTTAATGAGACCACTTTCTACCTTAAGTGAAATTTACTTTTGAGATGTTAAATATTTAAATTTATTTCATAAGTATTTATTTCAATTATGAAAAGCCGCTATAAGTTGCACTGATTAAATTCTCCATAAAACCCTCTGAATACCCCATTACAGATTACAATCGAGGGCATATACATATTTTTCTACTGTACATATTTTAAAATAGTGAGAGGTAGTAAAATTCCTATTATAGCAGTGAAAACTAGAAAGGTTAGTTTTTAAAATTGTATTTACATTAACTAAAAGTGACGAAACTAAATAACACTAATTCACTATGTAAATATTGAACTTCAACAATGTTAAAAAAATAACAACTTAATGAATTAAATACAAAAAAACTTATTTACCTGAAGCCTCAGCAAATTTAAACTTGATATAGCTAGACATTCATTCTCTTTTATGGAAGCCGAGTTGCTTTGTTCCACAACTATCCTTAAAAGTCTTTCTAATAACCTGAAAAATATAAATTTTATAAGTCACAAATTTTAATAAATAAAAAATATAACTGCATAGTATTAATACGAGATTCACTTACTTAAAAGTACTATCTGATATATCTATAACAAATGGCATGGAAGATGGTAAATCCCTAGGACTCTCTTGACTCCAAACAATGACTTGTGTCGGCCCACTTGAGACACCTAGAACATATTTTTTTTATCTAAACCATATATTTACTAACATATTGCTTCACATAATGATTTCTTCATTCAATAATAATACAAAAAAAATGTAATAAAAAATAATCAAATTACCGTTCGCTTTAAATGAAGGATTAAGCACTTGTAGTAATTGTGGCACTGGACGGGATATTTGAGCACGTTCGTGCGTGCCCCACGCGAATAGCGCTCCCTCTGACGACAACGCTATACCATGCGACGCACCCAGCGATAGATCCACTATCCGAATATCTACAATATTATTTTGAATCTTATTAATATTGTGTTATGTCACAAATTTCAATACTTAAATTAGTAGTTGTTAAAGACTATAGTTACCTTGAAGAGTCTCCAACAATTTAGGCACTTTAATCGTTTCTAAATTCCCATGACCAAGTCTATAGCCATCGCCTTTGCCCCATGTATACACTTGACCACTGTAACAGAAATTATATATTATTTCGTTTATACAGAGAGAAATCTAAATTATAAACATTTTTTATAAGAGAATGTTGTAACAGTGAAAGTGAACATTTTTTATTTGATACCAGAGAAACCTTGGTCGTTATACAGCAAGGTTTTAGCCTCTCATATTAACATGGTACTTACAGTTATCAAGTTAATATTCCATTAATTATAACCCATAAATATTTGGAAGTATTAATTTTTATCCTTAAAAGATAAAAATTTTGATACAAGAAAAGAAAATTTATTGTAAATCATCAATTCATCCACAAGTGGAGTCTCATTGTGTATCTAAGACAATTAAAAAATGAACGTTGGACTCAAACCTCGATAAAGGGGATGTTCTGCGAACCTTGTCTGTTTGAATGTTATAATACGTAACTCACCCATCAGTGAGTACAGCGTGCCAATGCTCGCCAGTGTAGACGCGCGTGACCCTCAGTACAGAGAGGGAGGTGAGAGCACGCGGTGCCCCTGCCTCGCTGTCCCCGAATACGTGCACTGCTCCCTCCAACGTGCAACAAAGCGTTTGTCCTTCTCCCCACCCTGTACGAGTTCAAATAGTAATTATATAATATAACATAGAGTTTTGCCAGTAGTTGCCACACTTGGCAGTTGGTAACAGCAGTTAGGTTTTAGAGATGTTTTAAGAGGGACGCTGCTGCCCATCCCTCGCCTTCCCTTAGTCGTCTCTTACGACATTCACGGAAAAGAAAGGGATGGGCTATTCTAAGTCAGGACCACACGGTAAGAATGCTAAAAAAGAATAATTAGAAGTTCTAGTTTAATATTAATTATAATTTATTAGCGTCGAGTACCTAGCGCGACGTCGACGACCCGCTCGATGTTGTGCGCGCTGAACGAGACCGGCTGCGGCGTGAGGCAGCTCTCGAGCGTGCCGTGCCCGAGCCGGCCCTGCGCGCCCCGCCCCCACGTGTACAGAGCGCCGCGGGACGTTAGTACGGCGCTGGAAAAGCATATTCTGTTACTAGCTTTCACTGAATACTTTACTCGCTAAGTGCGATGAAATGTGTATGTATTAGGATAGAATATATCCTATATTTGAATCGACGATATTTACGCATTTGTGAACAAAATGTAATGCTAATCCATTCATATGTATAAACATGACTGTATAACAAACGCCCAAATATCTTAATAAAGTCTTGAGTTTGTAATATTAATAAGATAAAACTCTTTTATTTAGATATTGGGATATAAACTATATTGACGACTACATACTGTTGGATAGGTGTAAGTATATGTAGGTACATTATGAATTAGATGTAAGGTGTCTCTAAAATCAATAAGCGGTATCTTATTTTTATAACTATCTGCACCATTTCTTACTACGCAAGATGGCAGTAGAAGCTAGGATGCGATGTGCCCATATCCAAGACGAAGGCCTCGTATTGCCATCTTACCACCAACAATGTACCAGGGGCAAACGTTACATGTGTGTCGGAGTGACGATTCGCGAGCACTGACCTGCAGGCGGGCCCGGCGGCGACACGCACGACCTCGTGGTGCGCGAGGTGGTGCAGGGGCGCGGGCGCGTCGCGGGGCGCGGTGTCCCCGTGCCCGAGGCGGCCGTCCTCGCCCGCGCCCCACGACCACGCCGCCCCACACGACGAGCAGCACAGGTAATGCCGCCCCGTTGAGTGGCACGACACTTGGGTTATCGTTTTACTTTCCAAACCTATCATATAATAACTTGTTAAATAGTTTGTTTACATTTAGTTGAGTGCAGCTACGAGATCAATATATAAATGGTCACGCTGTTAAGTTATAAAAACCAGTGTGAAGTTAACAGAATAGAAGCCCAGTATATTTTGGTTGTTTAGTAACCCTCTCTTCATAGTACTGCAGCTTAGCTTTACTAACTATAATCTTTTTTTTTTTTTGATTAGATCTCATTTTCTACTTACAACTACAACATAAAAAACCTGATAATTAACCATTTCATACCTGTACTTAATACTCAGCAAAGTGTAAACAGGTCACAAGTGCCAACTATACATTTGGTGTACATTTTATACATGTAAATGAACAAATGACAAAACATAAACACCTATATACCTATTTAATAATACTACTTGAATAAATATTTTATTCATTACTTTCATCTTTGTTACCTGGAATAAGTTGTGGTGTCATGGTATCATACGGTAGGGTGTACACCGCACCATCGTGTGTCAATAATAATGCTAATTTTTCAGCACAAGCAATCTGCTGAATTCTTAAAGTTCCTAATTGTAACGGTCCTGAGGCTACCGAGACCACATCTTGTGCTGATTCTGTGCACTAAAATATATAAAAAAAAATATATTTCTAATAAGCTAAAAACGGTAGGTAAACCATGAGACCAGAACACATAATCCGAATTAAATGATTTATTTATGCCGACTCTAAAAACTAGTGAATATAAATACAATAAACTATAACTGTGAAACTTTAAAACTAATTAGGGAGTAATTTTTAAATATGCTTGTGGAAATCGAGTATCATGTTCAATACATCTATAACAACAAACAAAATTTAAAATTAATTGTATTAATTATTATCTTATTTTTTTTAATAGATGACAATGAAATGGTAACTTCACCTGTGCTAACGGTATATGCTGGCAGGGCACCATTGAGGGATGTTAGGTGAGGATGAAGCAGTTCAGTTGGCCTATTGTCACAAATTCCACAAGAATTAACCACGATAGTTTCCAGGGGGAACCGTCTGGAGGTCAACCTAATAGGATGTATTGCTAGTAATGAGAAAATTAGACCCCATTTCTAATAATCTTATCCCCTCATTATTACCTCATGAGATATGTAGGATCCCATATATAATTTTATTATAAATTAAATACCTGACTTTAAAAATATATATATTTTTTTTATATTGTTTATTGATATGTGCAATATACTTAAGTACTTACAGTGACAAATCCCTTTAACGGTGGCAACAGCGGAGCTCCTAGCCTATCTAAATGGCATAATAAGGCAATGCCAGCTTTTTTAACTTCCATCAATCCATCGCCACTTGGCAGATTTAGTTCTCTGTAAAATATTTATTAAATATTAACAATATAAAGGGTATACATAGTATTAGTTATTGTCAAAATTTAAGATAGTGGTTTTATTCCTGTATAAAATACATATATTATTTCTTATACAAGAAATACAATACATATATACTTAGAATTGACATTGCGAAATGCAAATATGACACCTTACAAAGGTGACACAAGAGACATAAATTAAAGAGCAAATTTTTCAAGTATATCTGTGCATGGCTCAATCTAAAACTATAAAAAGTAGCGAAGGGTTAGTATTTTTGCTTATTTTCACTTTTAACTAGTTTGATTCCCCATCTCAGTAGAAAAAAAAAAATAACTTACTTTAGGTATATCTCTGTGGGATTAACTTCAGTTGTTGGTTCGCTGTTTAAAATTGGATTAGGCGCTACCACTTTAGCCATCCGTCTTAGGAATGGTCCTAATGGTGCTGTACATTCTTCCAGTGTTATTCTATAAAAATATAATTACTTGATATAGACATATTATAAAATAGTTGTAATATAAAAATGCAATCTCAGACTTTTCAATTAATAATCTTGGTAAGTGCGTTTTATTTATCATTAGTTTTCATGAATTGAGGTAAGACCAAGAGCTAATAAAAAAAAATTAAAAAAAATACACAAACATTAACATTTACCTGTGGTCTGGTTGCCGTTTCTGTCGCGGCGGCAAAGTGACTAGAACATCAGCTGCTTTGAGTAGCGCTGGCAGTTCCGCGCGGCGAGCACACAGCTCCACCCATACACACAACGACGTCCGCCAGTCGCCCAACGGAACATTACATCCCACCTCCCTGTTTATTTTTGGAATTAATTTTATAATATTTATTCATTTTTAAATTTGGAATATATAAGAGCAGTGACATAAGGCAGCTCAACAAAGCAATGAGAGCTCAATTGGACAACATTTGACTATAGCTAAAAGATCGAACTCTAGCTTAAATTTCTAAATTTTTCAAATTCATGTATGGATCATTTAAAAATAATTATCGCTGGTGTCGTATTCCAGAAGACACGTAAAGCCGTCGTCATCCAGTAAACCACGTTAGAGACCTTCATATACAATGAAAGCGGTCTAGAAGCACGTGATATCAGAACGCAACAGACCTCACACAATTAGTAGTAGTGAGATAGATAGTGATCCCTTATTGGTTAAATACAGTATAAAGCAACATCTTACACATATACGAATATCGTGATGACAATGATTGAAATAATGGTAAATATGACACATAGTTTTGCATTCATTTAAATTTTCATGATCATTATTTTAGTACTTAATTGTTCACATCTGAACATAGGCCACCCCTAGAGACAGTCCAATGACCTGACAATGATACCCAGCAATACTATAACTTTAATCACAATGAGTAGTCAACTGTTATAGAATATATAAGAATAGGCCAATTAGGAATACTAACCCAACTACGACTTGATGTAGGAATTTGGCGGCACTATCAACAACTTCCGCCCATATTTTCTGTGAACGAGGCGCTTGTTGCACCGCTCCAGTGCCAGCAAACAGAGCGGCGTCGGGTAGCGCTCGTACTGCATCTAAAGCATCTCGCAGCAGTGCAGAACATACGTCGGCGTCCTCGCCGCAGCGCCATGCGCGCCGCACTAGGGACAAAGCGAGCCGGAGAGCTGCGCGGGCGCCAACTCGAGCGAGACCGAATGCACTGAATCAATAATGTATAATCATTCTTTCTAATATTATAAATGTGATAGTAAGTTTAATTGTTGCCTTCTTAGCCCCTTAAATGCTTAACCAATCACTATGATATTTAATATACATATAATAAATGGGATGGAGAAGGATATAGACTATGTTTTATCCCGGTCAATCAAAATATCCTGGTCACGCGGACGAAATCGCAGGTAAAAATTAATAACATATAATTATAATAATAGTGTATTAATATGTCCTTTTTCATAATTGCCAATGTTTCAATAAATTATTAAGGCATTCGTTAGTACTTCTGTTCATTGATATAATACCACATTAATTCAAGTATTATTTTATCAAGTATTTGCTTGGTCCCATTCGTGTTTCAACCGTAAAGCAATTGTATTTGCATGGCTGTGTTTCGGTTTTATGGGTGGGATATGGCAGTGAATTTACAAGGTACAGAGGAATAATATCTGAGTCCTCAGGAATGGCAACGGATGGGGGGTATCATGGGCGAAAGAGTATACTCTGTTATATTCATGGTACTGCTCATGTCTACAGGTGACGGTTACCACTTTCCATCAGGTGGGCCGTCAGCTTGTTTGCTATTCTAAGTTGTATAAAAAAAAGTATTTTGTGTGATTAAAATAATGCATTAATTTTTGGATATTTAATTTGGCGTTCCATTGTTTCTGCCTACTCTAATGGGAGACAGGCATGATAGATATGTATATATTTATATTCACATAACATAAATTTATTGCTAATTAAAAATAATAGTTACTCTATTATAAATTAATGTAAAAAAACTTACTTTTCTGAATCATCTATTTGTTCTTCTGCATCTTCTTGACTCTCAGTACTTAGTTCAACAGACTTGTTCAGTGTACTAACAACATTGCTTAGAGCTCTATTACTAACACCATGTGGAGGCTTTTTGTCTAATTTGTTTTTTTTAACATCTTTATGATGATTTTGATCCCTAGAAATAGTGGTACAATAATATCAATTATAATACTTCATACATTAATATAAGTTTTAATATCAATGTATCTTACTAATTGGTATGAAGGGTCTTGATAAGAGTAATAGAAACCAAAACAACAATTTTTAGATTTTTTTTATTTCTGTCTGTATGTTTGTTCCAGCATCACACAAAAAATATTGCACCAAACTGGATGCGGTTTTCACTTTTGTGTTTTTGAAAGTCTAACTTAACTGATATTTTATTTTACTATGCAATGTAAATGTGGTTGATTTAATAAGTTTACTTATTTTTGAAATCCATGCATACAAAGTAGCAGGCAAAAAGCTGTATATAATTGTATGTATAAATAATTGTTATTCTTAAAGCATTTTAAAATCAATATATTTACATAATTATTTAAATAAAAAGTAGCTAATTTCTGTTTTTATAATAAGATGTTTTGATACTCATAGGTTAATAAAAAAGTTTATTGTCAATTGAAAATTAAATTATTAAATTCCATTTAGGAAACTTTATTTCATAAAAAATCATATAAATATTTCAAGTTAAAAGAACCTTGGAATGTTTTAAGTGCCAAAAAAAAAAATATCAATCTATTCCTAATACTAAAATATGATTAATAAGAAGCCTTATGATAGTATGATACCTAATAACAGCTACAAGATGTCTATAGCACAGCACTATCAAGCGTCGAATCTGTGAAATGTATGGACAACTGACAGCTGTGTTGATGGCACGCACACGCTGCTCCCAAATCAGTGATTCCATAAGACTTTGCAAGCATTCTGGACCTGTTTTTAATATAAAAAACTGATTAATTTTCAATTTAATATCACAATTTATTGGCATCATACAATACATAATAAAATGTCCTCAATAATTTCTAATCAATTTTATAAGTAATAATAATAATTTTTTTATCTTAATAATTTACAACTGACTATTGATTGGTGTCATTCTTGCGAGTGTAATGCTTGTTAATGTTCTAATATGAATATATTTTCATATTATTATTGTATATTGTATAAAAAAGAAAATTCATGGCAATTAAGCTGATGGTCCACTAGGAGTATTAGTGATAACTGTCATTTACAGATATAACATTATGGACATTACAATATATAGTAAACCACATCATGGTAAACCCACATGTATAATAATTTAATAAAGAGGAGAAATCAAATTGTTTCTTTGTAGTGGATAAGCTCAAAAACTACTCAACCGATTTTAAAAATTCTTTCAAATATAAAAAGCTACATTGTCAGCAAGTAACAAAGATTATATATTATTTTCAAAAATTCTATCTACCTATGCAAAGTCAGACCATAATTATTGTATATTGTTATTGAAACAATAGTTTGTAACAAATAAAAGAATAATAGTATTTGTACAGAAGCAGATACAAAATACCTCAATGTACTCATTTTTCCCCACAATCATGGTTAGCTTGCATGTTTGGGTACTGTAATTCTAGATCTTACTTAAATATTGAATGCTCTCACTAGTGTTGCAAGTGCTAGTGTACCCATGTAATTATTTACCATCAGGTATAACATCATAGACAGGTAAATAAAAATTCTTTATTCCTCCAAAAGATTATCATAATAATTACGCTTAGTTGCCAAAAACAATTCTTTTTTGCCTATTAACTTAATATAGTAGCACCTGGATCTTGTTTCCACTTAAGATCATCTATAACTTGGACAGAGGCAGTTGGTACAGTAATTTTCAAATATAAAGCTTTACGAAGTTCTTCCTCTGCAGATAGTGCACTGCAGGGTGCACACGCACAGCCAGAATGCGGGCCACAAAGACCATCACAGCAAGTGCATGTTAATATCTATAACATTAAAATTTGTTAACTCAGTATTACCTTACTAGTATCAGAAAGTTTATAAAGATGTTTGGAATGAAAGCAGAATAGATTTGAATAAAAATTGGTACACAGAATTTCATAGAAAACACTTTATTTTAAAGCACATAAATCACTAGTTGCAGCTAGTAGAAATGTTTGTGTGTCTTTCTAAAATCTTGAGTTTAAAACCAGAGAATTTTTGACAAATTCAGTTTTGATATGAAATATTATTATTACTAACTAATCATGACATAGCTTTCTGTTAGCTGCCTTTCATTAATAAAGCTAGTTATGAGAAACCATAAAACTATATTTATATACGGTATTGTCCAATTTTGAAATATATTTATATATTGTACCAGGAACCTACAATAAATAAAATAAAGGACGTCACCTTGTTTGCATTTGTACTGTAGATAACATTAAATATTAAAACATGGTAAAACAGCTTTTGTCTAGTTACCATTTGATAAAAATTATAACATACAATAATTAATTGATATGCCTCACCCTCAATCCACAATAATATTTGCCACTATCCCCTAGTTTAGCTGTAATTCCAGCATTATTTACTAGGCCATTTCCGGCGTCAAAATATATTTCTCTGTCTTGCAAAAGGCCATTAAACAGAGTACATAGTGCTTCTGGATTAATTAAAGCATCTTGTAAGTCAGGATTCAGCCACTTAGCATCCAAATGGTGCTGAGGACGAAATATGAAATCGTCCTGTTCATCAGGGCCAGACATTTTCGCAACCGGTACTTTCTAAACACATCAGATCATTATATGAACATATTTAGGACTAATACAATCTTTCTAAAAAAATAAAAAATATGTCTCGCCAATTATTCATTATTATTAATACGAAAATAATTAAAATCTGTATTGGAATTAAGTATTGTGTTTAAGTCAATCAATTTCCATTGACAAGCAACCCCAAGACCCGAGCCAACAAACCCAACCCCTGAACAAGTGTTTACTGTCAAATTAGACCAGTGTTAGATTGATTAAATCCAGTCGTGATTGCTTGCTCTGTGGATAATGCCAGTGAAATTAAAAAAATTTAGAGGTACTATTACTTAATGTATGTAAAAGAATTAATGAAAAGAAAACAGACGACTAATTATACTGAGGATTAATAGGATTAACACTTATAGGTAGATAGTAGATATCTATCTTTGGCGTATGTGGTACAGATGAATCCGATTGACATATTGTTTCAACTTTTGACAGTTAATTTGACATTTAAGGACAACGCGATTGTTTTGGTGCATGGTTTCGGTGTCTCTTATTCTAAATCTAAATAAATAAATTAAAAAAAAAACAACTATTATTAATTTTTAAATGGATTTGTCATAATTATTCCGATGGATACGGATATTTTACTTGACAACAAAGACTGTTTGTACGGTAAATATAATGTACTAAAACAAAGTTATTCTCGCTACTTTATTCCGGTGACTGAAAACAATGCTTACATGTGCAAGGCCAGAGGAGAATCTTTTCTATTACCTTATATTTTATGATAGATTAAATAAACTCTTCCGATTAATAACATTTAATAATAATAATAAAATTATCAAATAGATAAAAAAAAATGCAATATAAACTGTTTCGATGAAATTGTACTTTAATAATTTATCTTATCATTTTTCGTCTAACTTGCACATACTATCTTTTCAGTTTCTGTCGTAAATTAGTATTTTTAATTAATTCTAATAATGGTTATTAAAATATTTAAATACTATTTCCATTTTATAATCTTAATCTTGCAATCCTCTCTCCGCCTAACAATTAATCAATGTTATATTTGGAGTTTGCATTCTTTTTTATAATATAAAAAATAATTAGAAAAATAATAAAATGACGACAAATATAATGAAATGGTGGTAACACAGTGGTAAACATGTTACTTGATGTAAATGAGGTCTCAAAGTTGGTTTTTGATTGGGAATTTAGGAAACAAACTTTTATATTAGTCTGCGTGTTTTGGAATGTGCTCTTAGCTGTTATTTGTCTGGTATCTTATAACACAAGGTTTCTTAATTTGAAAACCAGACAACTATTGTAATTGCATGATAGCTACTATAAAAAAATGTATATGCTGTTTTAATTTTTTTGTAGATGATTTTGTAGAAGAATTAAATGATTACCATTGGTCGTCACTGTTAGATGCAGCTGATGCATCACCTAGTGAAATACTAGCTGATGCAGCACCTGTTTTAGTATCATTGACATCACCAGCCCCTAGCATCAAGTCCTCTCCTGCTGAGAGCAGTACTTCAGATTCTGGAAGTGAAGATGATTCCAAAAAGTAAGTAATATGTAAATAAATTTAGAATAAAACTATCTGTGATAATTCTGGCATGACATCTTTCATCACAGATTAATAATCTGAGTAAAACACTACATCAAACCGTCTATTAATGTAGTAATAATAGATAAAATTCCTTCTCTTATAAAAAAAGATTGGGGGCCAAAAATCTTACAATTTTACAATAGGATTTGTTTTGTGTCACCTATCAATGTAATGTAAAAATTAAATAAGGCTTTATTTAGAATTACATTATTAAAATTTTATTAGTGTTAACAATATAAGTTACAATATCTTCCATTTCTATCTAAGAGCAATCCTGGTATATAGCTTATCAATCATTCTCTCCAAGTACTCCATCTTTTGTTCTGTTATCATTTCCTATTTCTTAGTTGTCAAATCTAAATGTTATGTACTCAGGTTGAGACACCTATTAAACTATGAGTTATACAAAGTAAACTTATATAAGTATGCCTAAGGTGGGGTTTTAATAAATAAATAATGAAGAGACTGTTAGTTACAGGGATTTAAACTGTTGGTGTAACTAATTTGACTTCATCCTCACATATCATTTCTTAGTGGTACCTCATCAGAATAAGTCAACATTGCTTGCAAGCATACCATTTCATTTATTATATATATATTTATATATTTTAAAATTTATGTTACAGTGGTTCCATTTCACCATCTGCACGTCAGTCATCACAATCACCATACGATTGGATGTCCAGTTTTGATGAAGAGCCTCCAAATCATTTAAAATTAGAAGATGTTGAATTATTTCTTCAGAAAACAGGTAATTGCAAGTTTATTTTTTTGTTTTTAAGGTATTGTAATATTAAACTAGAATTCAAGTTTTAATATTTTGTGTTTGCCGGCAGATACCCCATATGATAGATTGCCTAAAGGTACTATACTTAAGTCTTCTCCTGTAGAGAGAGATGGACCTTTTATGGCAATTGAAAATGGAGTCATCAAGGTATTGTTAAAGTATTAGAAATAGGCAAATTTATATATTTATTCTAGGGATTCTTTTAATACTTTGCAAAACATTCTTTAGAATAATGGATAAAAAATTAAAACAATCTAATCTACAACTCCTCAGCTTTCTTTCTCATAATAATATCAAACTATAACTATCACTAATACTACCATCCTTACCATTTTTTTTAATATCCCTTCTTGTTTCCTGTTTACTGACATAATGTACAAAACAAGCCCTTTGCTAATATTAAAAATAAATTACTATATAAACACCTCTGAGTTGTCATTAATGGTGAAGTAATTTCATGTCTCTTTGTTTATCTATTATTGACAATATTTCAGATCTAGTTTTGCAGTATAATCGTAAATAAAATAATATAGTATTAAATATTTAGAGCTGTGTTATATTATATCGTTAATCTTCCTGGAATAAAATAAATACATAATTTACAGGGCGTTAAACAGGAAAATGATAATTTTGATGTACCATTAAATATCCCAGATATAAAATCAACTAGTTCTGTACCTTTGGTAAATGGTAAGTATCTACAACTTATATTAACCCCGGCTTCGTTTAATGACTCCATTGTGATGTTAAATAGCTTTGAACCTTTCCCAAAAAAAGAGCATTTAAATAAAAAAAATAATTTTTGAATCTGACTAATTACACACTTCTGCTTTATGTTCCTAGTATAGATTTTAATATTTGTGAGCTTATTTTGTTTTTTCAGGAAATAATTATCTTCAAAATGCTTACTTCAATGTAGTCAATGAAAACTCTTCAAATAATATAGTAAAGGGTAACCAACAAGTAATGTTACTAAATGAACAAATAAAATTGGTTGTGGACCCAAAAGAAGTATTTGGTATGGTTAAGAAACCAAATATACTAATGAAAAAATCATCTGTTGTGATACCGACTGAGATTACAAATGGAGGGAAAATTGCCATATCACCACTATCTCAGAACAAATTAAACAGTCCCAGTTACCAAATTCAGGTTAGTATTTATTAATACATTGCCTGTTTATTTACATTTAGGCCAAAAAAAAAAAAGAATTAGAAACTCAAGTCTAAAGTGTTATGTCTTCATACCAAAAAGCAGCGATGTAAGCACAGCTCCTTGATTAGTTCCTAGTGGAACAGAAGTACTCAAAACTTTTGTACAAATTTTTCTATACACATACAATAAAGCCATTTATTATTTATGTTAAAGGTGTCACCGCCTAGAAGTAATGTTGTGATAAGTCCAAAACCAGTAGTAATTAAACAAGAAATATCTCCTACAGCAACAGTACAAAATGGGTTACCATCACTATCTGATACTAATAAACTTAATATAGACATGTCAAAGCTAACTGAAGCTGAAATAAGAGCTGTGAAGAAACAACAAAGAATGATTAAAAATCGGTAAGTTTTAAATAAAATTATAGCCTTAAATGTATAATATTTTTCTGTAATAAAGTTTACAAATTGCATAAATAAAATCGCTAAGGAACAGAGTAAATTTAATATATTTTAAAAGGGAGGCAGCGAGCCAGTCACGTCAGAAGAAAAAAGAATATGTGACAGCACTGGAACATCAATTGACACTCGCACAGCAAGAGATTTTACGGCTCCGAATGGAAAACGAACAACTGAGGGACCAACTAGAAATGAATAACAAGACTCGAAAAGTAAGTTATCTTTATACCTAGAATTACAGTTCTCAAGATCAATAAATGATGAGGGGTTAATGTCTGTAGTAGTCTGTAGAGGGCAGTAACTAATAATTATTTTTTTAATGGCCTTTTGAAATGATCAGCAATAAAGCCTATGCAGAGCAGATTATAAGTAGATACGCGGAGATACATACGTAACGTGGTAACGATTTGCTATTGTTAAATATTAAATATGTATGCTATTCGCACGTAACCGTATACTGCGCTCGTAAATAGAATAGGAGCTCCTATTAAACTCGAAACTAGTCAAGTATCCCCGAATTTAATACGTGAATAAAGCCAATAAATAACATAATTATAATACGATAATGCACATCAAAAGATATTTACTCACAGCCATAATGTTTAAATCTAAACAAATGCAACAATTTGATTTTTGGTCGTTTGTAATGCTATAAAAGCGCTTTGCTGTGCGTGTTAAACGTAGAGAGTTAGTCTGAGTGTTTACCTCAGACACGCTTCGTTTACGTCTCTGTAATACGACTCCGCTTTCCTGCTAGTAACTATATATATATATCATTGTTTTGCGCAACATTATGCACACGCAACAACAACGCAATGCAACAAAACAACTATAAATACATACAATTCTTCCCAAGTACAGTTCCTGCAACTACTAATGACTAATTAAAATATTTTTCACAGATACCGAGAATCGACGCGCCCATATTATTGCCAAAGAAAAATATAGCTCTTATATTTGCTATGGTTTTCATGATTTCATTAAATTGGAACTTTCTTGGGTATGTTTAGAATAATTAGTTATGTATTGTGAATTTTAACTTATTATCTATCAAGTATATTTAAATAAAAAAATATTCTTATTCTATTCTATTAAATTTCTTTCTTACTTATTTGTTAAATTTAAAATAGCGGTTATTAGATCTTTATTAATTTAAATTATTATAGGTGGAATTCAAAACCAATTATTGGTCCGACTAGTCCAGAGAGAAGTACGCGGCATTTGCTATGGTCGGTGGATAATTCAAATGATGTTTCTTCAGGTATGTAAATGTAATTAGTTTTTTATCATAAATATACAGGGATTTAAGAATAAGATTATATGTTCCACTGAGGTAGAAATCCGATATATTACAAAACATATTATACATCATATTTGCTGTTATCCATCCACTGCTGAACATAGGCCCTCCCTGGGAGGTTTGGCCAGTAGTTGCCACGCTTGCCAGGTGCATTGGCAACCGCAGTCAGGCTTTGGTGATTTAAAGAGGGACGCTGCTGTACATCCACGATCGTTAAGCTCCCTTAATAGCCTCTTGCGTCAGCCACGTTACAGTAACGGGTGGCCTAATATATGCTGGCCACACGACTATAGTACATTGACATATTTAAGATTTTCCAGTGTGGGTTTGGCCCCATAAGAAAGGCATGTATGTATTAAAGTATATACATGTTTTTTTTTTCAAACATTCCTTTGTGAAACTTCGCTTGGAGTGGCCTCCTTTCCCTCCTCCCTTCCCCTTAGATACTTACCTAAGTTGTTAATTTACAACTTTTGCTGACTATTATAATATAAATTTGCTTGCAGACAACGACAATATTTTAAACGGTACTTATGGGACAGATTGTCAAAACGTAACGAATTTAAATGATGTTAGTATTAATCAAACTGAAAGCATTAGGATAGCTAGAGAACTAAACCGTTGGATAAAAGGAGGCAAAACACTGAATTGGACATTTAATGCGCCGAGGAAAAAAAGGGAAGCATATATGAATGAAAAAAGCAATGGTAAGTAACTCTACCTACATTATAAGAGTTAACACTGATGTTTAGACAGCACACAGTTTAAATCGTTGTTATACATATTTTACACAGTTCTTTATGTAATCAAACATACCAAAGAACAAGAAATGATAAATCGAAATCATTACGATAATAAGTATAATTGCATTGTTTACACACATTTTTTTTATACAACTTAGAATGGCAAAAAAATGTATTAGAAAATAATACAGATAAACCTATAATAAAGATTAAGAACAAAGAAAATTTAGAGAAAATAAATAAAAAAAGGACAACATTAATAATGTTTTAATATACAGATCCGCAAAGATTGTTTATTGACATTGTTTTCAGATGGATTCCTGGAAACATATAAGATGTTTCATAAATTAAACATAGACGGCACGTTTGTTGATTTCACAAATAGGAATCAAGCTAGGAATGTAAGAGAGAAATCACGTCTACGTCGATTGAGAAGAATTAGGGATATTGATTTCCCTGACGATTCTGTCATGGATTACAGTAGATTGTATCACAAAGCGATAAGGAAGTCTGTTGATGCCTTCAATATGGACGACCTGAGTGAGTGGAATGCATTTTTAGAAGCTTTACAAAGAAGGGACGACACATTTTATGTTGTAGGGGTTGGGAAAGGAGAACATTTATTATTGCCAGCCGTGTCACACAATACTACAAGGCCGCCTAAAATGGCGTTAATATTACCTGCAAGGAGTGGGAATGGTGAGTGTATTATAGACATAAATATTCGTTTTAAACGAGTAGTAATCTAACAAGTAGTTTTGAACATAATTTGGTCTAATTGACTAACTAACTAAGGCTGAAGAGTACATTGTGATTATGTGTGTAAAAAAAAATAGTCATCCAGGCCGGCAAACAATATACAGTGGTGGTCGAATAATTAAAAACACTACCAACAGTCCTTGACATTATGTAAGATACTTCACCGCAATCATTTTTATTTTGAAATTAAATAATATATAGAACAACAATATGTTCAACGATTTATCATTTATTAGAAAAACAATATAAATCCCACTACACAAATGCAGTTTTAATATTACGTTATGGATAAATATTTAAATCAGTTTTAAGGTATGAATAATAATCGTCAACTAATTAGAAACAATAAAAAAGTATAAAAAACAATATTTTTTAAGTATTAGTAATTAGTATTATAATTTACTAAATAGCTACTATCCACAGTCTACTAATAGTTAAAATTAATATTTAGTGGCGTATCCTTTATTTTCAATAACAGCACTGCAAGACGTGGTATTGATTGAATCAATTTCATACATTTTTCTAGGGGAATTCCTAGAATAGGGAAATTTGTAATTGCCGCCAAAATAATAGAAAAAGCCAAGAAAGAAATTTTATTCATCAATTTCAAAAAAAGAACGAGCTATGGATGCTTTTTTCAAATGTTTCTTATTAGGCGTACAAGCGGTCAGTAACAGAAAATAAACTCCTACTTGTGTAAGACTCATTTTGTAATTAAAAGTAAGATATGTTTTATATTTTACGCATTTAATGAGTTTTCTATTTGAATGGCTATATTATTGCATGATTATTAGTTATTGAATGTGTGTATTTTTTACGAACATTTGTATGTTTAAGTTATAGTTTATTTATAAGAAGTGTTTCTAATTATATGACCACCACTGTATATGAGGATAGGAGCAAATGGTATCTATACTATTTTAATATCACTTCATATTATAAAACAAAATCCCCCGCCGTGTCTCTCTGTTCGTATATTCGCGATGCTTTGAAAAAACTACTGAATAAAAATAATGCCTAATCTGTTTGATATATAACAAATATGTATAATGTATGGCGGGATCTTTTCTCTTTTATAAGTCTACGAAAAAATTCGCGATGCGATATTTTTTTAGAATAGCTCCTTAGCTATCGTTAAAACTAGCTTGTTGCGTAAGGACGCAAGTGTAAAAGATGTAAGCGTATATGCTACTATAGCATATATGCTTACATCTTTTACACCGCCCGCCCGTCTCGGCTTCGCACGGGTAGTAAATAGCACTACTATCCGTGCGAAGCCGAGGCGGGCCGCTACTTAACACAGAGTATAAAAGAGATACAACATATTTTTTTTTTCAGATTCTCTGACTAAAGACCATGTGACGCTAATGCAAATTGAATGTTCTGTCGTAAACACCTCTTTAATGAAGCTGAAGTCGGACGCATTACCCGAAAGCATTAGAAAGAAATCTAACAAAGAAGTTAAATCACCTATGAACGTATCATTGTCAGAGAATAAGAGTAATAATATTATTAGGAGAACCACCAAAGATTCCGTCGACGCCAGCCTCTCTAGCATATCGTATAATTCGAGCAATAATATTTCAAACTATTCAATTAATTTGGACAAACGAAAAAACGATGACAATATAGATTCACGTAAAGATGATTTATTTGTTCACTACTTATTTTCAAAGTATGAGGAATCGAAAAATTCCATGAAGTATACTAAGGGGAAATTAAGAAATACAGCAAATTAACATTCAAATCAAAGTTAGGTTATCAAGTAGATATAAATTAAAATCAATCGATTGATCCTGTTTTTCTGGGCTATCTAATAATATATAATGTTTATTTACCTAGTCCAGCCATAAATTCTCTTACAAATGAAAATTAAGTTTTTTTATGAAGTAATGTAATATTACTAAAATACATATGTATAGTATTACATACATATTACCTACATATTTATTAAAGTCTTAACAAAAAAATAAAAATATTCTATTCTAAATGGCCACCTTTGGCTTTTGTACAGACCTTTAATCTGTCTGGCAAGGGATCTATGGATTTACGCACTGTTTTCAAGAGAAATTTCGGCACTGCTTGCTTTGAAGATTTTTTTAAGAGACTACTCTAAAACTAACCATAATTTGAAGTTTAATGGGTTGAGGTCTGGGCTAGAGGGCCAGTCTTCAGCTCTTACAAAGTCCGGAACGTTGGTTTTAAAGCGCAAGTTTCAGGTGCAGAGTCTTACTGGAAAGTTTACAGTATATTTTTAAAAAGTGTATTGCTGTGAGGTTTCACAACACAATCCAAAACTGTATCTTGATACACTTTGGCTGAAGTTTTCACTCCTTTTTCACAAAAATGTAGTTTTGTGACTCCTTGATAAGACACGCTCCACCAAAACATCACTGACGCAGGATGGTGACCATGTTGTACCTTTCCGACCACTTGAGCAGCTTCTTTAGAACTGTGAGCGTACACTTTATCATTTTGCTTATTGTAGTGTTCTTCAATCGTGAAAATGTTTTCATCGGTAAAGAAGATATTTCTGTTCCTTTCACCTGCGTATCGGGACAGGAGTTTTGATTGATCCACAATGTATGTATGCAAAAACTACAAGTTACTCAGCGGGTTATGAATAGGGATATGCTCGCAGTGTCTTTGCGTGATAGAATTCGAAACGAGAATATCCGCAAAAGGACCATAATTACCGACATAGCCGAAGGATAAATAAGCTGAAATGGTAATGGGCTGGTCATATAGCTCGAAGAACCGACAACCGATAGGGAAGATGAGTGGTTACCACGTACGTGTAAACGCAGTCTTGATAAGTGACAACGACGCCCACTAGATGGAGTGACGACCTGAAATGCGTTGCAGAGAGTCGTAGTGGCAGTCTATGGGGGAGGCTTATGTCCAGCAATGGGCGTATAATGGCTGAAATGATGATGTTGATGATTTATGGCCAGACTAGTTATAACAAAAAAAAAAGCAATTTGCAGTTATATTTACTAAAATGTAATTTAGCATATTAACAGATCTCAATAGAATATTTCAATAGGTATAGGCTCTAATTTGACATTTAAGCATATTTTTTAACATAAGTTAACAAAACATAAGCATTCCTTATATACATTTTGTATGTATATCTATAAAACCGTATTTAAAGATTGTGATGGATTATTAATGCTTCCGTTATGGAATATCTAAAAGGCCATTCTACTACACTGATGTATTTATTTTATTTTCTGTTATTAATGATTTAACACTATCTACTTTTAATTAGTAGAAAAAGAATCTATGGATGGACAAGTTTTTGTTACCGTATGCATGTAAAAATAAATAGGATGTTGGACATAGCTGTCTTGTTTTGTCTCTTGCTTTCGATATTGACAACATATCTGTCGATAAATTTGTTTTTCGTTTGTTTCCCTGAACAAGTGATAAACAAATTTACTAATCATTAGAGGCAGAAATAAATTTTATTGTAAAGAAATGACTAGATGGAAATTACCCAAGAAAAGCAAAGGTTTCTTTCTGCTATGAGTTTTCCAGTGTGTGATATTTATATAATAATGTTGTAAATGCTTAAATATTTTTATATTATTTGTTATTTTTTCACAAAAAATAATGTTAATTTATGTGTATTATTTTAAATATTACCTATAAGTAGAGCTATTATTTAATATAAACTTTGTGTTAAACATTTTGTTGTAATAAATATGACAATAGAAAATGTTTTTGTTATAAACATCTCTGGATAGAATCTATATAAAAATACTGTGCTTAGCTCAAGTATAGTCTGTTTACGGAGCTTATACAAAGAATTTGTTATTTGTTTCATACACGTATATATATTTATAACATAGCTGGTGACAAAATGTTACCGGTACAGGCCTGGATAACATACACAACACAAAATTAGAAAGTAAGGACAGTAACTGCACTTCTCACATAATTCTTTTTATTTTTATATTTTTTTTATAATGTAACTTAGTTGCCATTCTACGTGGACGGCCCACCTGATGGAGAAAGGTAACTTTCGCATATAGACATGAGCAGTACCATGGACATAACAGAGTATACTGTTTCGCTTATGATACCCCCCGTGCGTTGCCATTTCTGATGACTGGGGTGTTATTCCTCTGTATCCTGTAAATTAATTGCCATATCCCACAGAAACTTCAAACAGAAACACAACCATGCAAACACAACTGTTCACGGTAGAAACACGAATGGGACAGAGGTGCCGAAGCAAACGACTTTTGTACAGTCTCCCTCTGGTTTTTATACAGTACCAGCTCTTTCCGTTAAGCCACATTCAAAGTTGAGCGGCTCGAATAATTGATGTTTAGCGCCTTACTATTCGACTCGACCCACTGAAACTGCGTAGAGATGTTACATCTCTGTACATCTTTTACCGAAGTTATCATAGGAAGTGCCCTGAGTGATTGTTCGGATTGATACCAGCTCCTGATTTTCACCACTGTACAACCCACTATAAACTAAAATTTCATCCCAAACATCTGGATAAATGCTGGTTTTTCACCATGCGTTTTTCAAGGCACTTTCTTCCACGCACAACCATTCTTTGGAATTTACTTCCAGCAGCAGTATTTCCGAACCGATACGACAACATAACCTTCAAGAAAAGAGTATATTCCTTTTTAAAAGGTCGGCAGCACCTGCAATGCCGCTGGTGTTTTGGATGATCATGGACGGCGGTAGTCACTTACCATCAGGTGAGCCACAAGCTTGTTTGCCCCTTGTGTTGTAAAAAAAAAATACGCCTATGGATAAGGAGAACTTTTTCATATTACTATGGATGACTGGGAGAGAATGCTTTTAGCATTAAGTCCGCCATGTACACATATAAATAAATAAATAAATAATGAATGAATAAATAAAATAAATGAATAAATATTATAAAAGAACAGCAGCAAAAGTATCCAGCTGTAATCTGTAAAATAACAGTTTCAAATTGGCATAGAATGGCGCTAGAGAAGCATCTAGAATGCAACAAGATTAATACATAATTAAAAGCTTAATTTTTATGTTTAAAAGTTTACTTTTATTTAACACTAATTGATGCCCACGACTTTGTCCGCGTGGTATTTGTTATTCCTTCGATTAACATTTTTAACTTCCTTATTGTTGTGAACTATGTCTGGGAATACTAGATTAAAATTAATAAATGATGTGTCGTTCTCACTTTTTGCCTTAGGTCAAACTGACTTTACTTAAGTAGGTTGTGTACGAAGCTGTATAAGTTACTATAGTTTATATACAGTTTCGTACTATCCCACGGGAACTCTTTAATTTTCCGTGATTAAAAGTATCAAAAATGTTGACAGGGGATGTAAGGTCCAATAGTTTCGGATATTAGCCCGTACAAACAGACATAGAAACAAAAATTAAATAATAATATGGATATGTTCTATTCCACTTCTAACATCTCCCTGACTCGGTTTTTAGTGTTTCTTTTTTCTATGTACAGACATTCTATCTCTACAATTTTATTATATGTATAGACAGAATGTGTTTTGTAAACCATTTTTAATATTTAAATCCCATACATGACGACTTAACTGACGTAATCAGATGGCGAGGATATATGTATAGACAACATTACACATTCATAATATACATTACGTTGTTTTTTTTTATTTTTCTTTTGAAAAATACGCTAAAAAAAAAGAAAGCTTTGCTATTTTTGCTTACTTACTACGTACTTTTAAAAATTATCCACCTAGCGCCACCCTAATTTAACGCCTTTTGATGGTCAATTTTTCATATACACAGGTGGTTCTCCTTATCTACCTCTACCCTCCATAAACTTTTTTTTTAATAGATGATAATGGAATGGTAATCCCGCCTGCGCTATCGCTATACACTGGCGGGGCACCAGTGAGGGATGATAGGTAAAGATGAAGCAGGTCAGTTACTCCACCGTGACGAATCTAACAATAAATCAATCACGATGGTTTTTAGGGGGAACCACGAGGAGGTCGACCTGTCAGGATATATTGCTAGTAATGGGGGTACTAATCACCATTACTAACAATTCCTTCTTCTCCCCCCTCCCTTTCATAGACTTGGAGCTTTGAACCTAACAAACTGTAACAGCTCAGTTCAACTGTCTTCAAAATTCCCAGACAAATTATCATACTGAAGACTAGGCAGCATGGTTTCCGACCTTAGCCTGTTCCATAACAGAACAAACGTACTAAAAAATCAACTGTCGGCTGTCATCTGTCGAATTTAGAATAAAAAAAAATATATTACATACCTTTTAAAATAACCTAGAAATATAAACAAATGTTCTTTAGGGCATTATTTTATTTTAATCCATCTATATTTATTCAAGAAAATAACTAAACATATTGAATTATTGTTTACAAAGTCTTGAAAGATGAATTGTATGCGGTTGTTTAAGTCAATATATCACTGGCCATATCGAGTACCAATCGCAAAATATATTGGACAACATCCTTTTAAATTCTTAGAAACACAAGACAAGTGGAGGGAATCTGATGGTGTATCTAAACGATGGCACTTAATATATAAAGCACCTATGGAAAAGGCCCTCAACTATTTAACTGTATATCTAACATTTTCTACAAGTACTGTTGCCTGTGGAGGTTTATATTACGCCGCATTTGAGTTCGATTTACAAAATTTGAATAATCCAGTTATACTAGGCGAAGATGTGGTCATTGCAGATAGTCCTATAGAGTGTCTAGTTTATGTTGGAGCATTTGTCTTATTTCATGCAGCTGTGAAAATGCTTTTAGCTAAGTATGTAGTGAGAATGTATCAAGATGGGGATAATTACTTAGCTGTTTTTAGAGGAAATTTTTTCAACTCTGTTAAAAAACATCAATTCCATCTAAATGATTTCAAGAAATTGAATCCTACAATAGTAGTATCATGGGGTGATGCAAGATTTGATATTGGAAATAAACATGCAATAATTTTGGAAAATTATTTTAAAACACCAGAACACTTCAACTATTTATTAAACAAAAAAGGTGTTTATAATCCTAAGGATAACGATTAGAAGAAACATATTGTTACACTATTTAATATTTAGTCAATAAAACATAGTTAATTTGAAATTGTGTTTAACTTGGAAACAATTCTCAACATAAATTGTCTATTAAATACATGTTTAAATTGCTGATTTTTTGTAGATTTCACATTTTAAAAGTATAGTATTAAATATAAAAGATATGATTTCTAGTATATTGTATTTTCATGTTTTGAAAAAAATTGTGGAAGTCTTAACTTTAAAATTTCAATGATTTGTATTGGAAAATTATTACAACTAAATATTAAGGCATATTTATATAACAATAAGATGAAGTATAATGCTGCCTCTCTTTCTTTCACATGAATGTTATAAGAAGTGACTAAGGGAACTTAATGGTTGACAAATGGGCAGCAGCATCTCTTTTAAAAAATCTAACTACTAAAACCTTCCAAAGGTAAAGGCCTATATTCAGCAGTGGACAGTAAATAGCTGATATTAATGAAGGTATAATAACAGAAATATTTGTAACTTGAATTTTAATATGTCTAATATTTTAAACACCATTCATGATCAAATGAAAAGATGAATAATAAACATAATTTATTCTATCAACTATTATTGTTTTACATAAATTAAAATCCTCCAGTATATCCATCTACCCATTTTTGCCTGGAGTCCCTCTTAATGGTAGTGGAGTCCATTTTCCTAATATCATTATCAAATTTATCTAATGCTTCTATTTGACTGTTTTGTGGTTCAAGTTTCTTGGTAACAACACATTGTCCATTTTCCTTTAATACTGTATAATTAATGTCTGCTTCAGTTGGTTCTCCATAAGGAAATGTAATAGGTGTTACTTTGATTAGGTGTTTCACTTTCCATAGCCTCATATTATTTTCAGGAATATTCTTTACAATTGCTACACCGGTCTGGAAAAAAGGTTAAGCAGATTTAAAATTTATATTTAGGTAATTTATTGTCAAGACATTTAATGACAGATATACAAGGGATTCGTTTATTAAACTTAATTGGCTACTGTTAAAAATTTGACTTTTTTTGTTATACAAACACTGAGTGGTTAAAATCTGTCCTGTACTAATTAAAATTATGCCATTAATCAAACAGTAGTGGTCCTGGTATAGAATAGGCTATCTACCTTACTTTCCCATAGGTGTATTAAGAAACATCTAAGGGAATTTAAAGCTAAAGACATGGGCAGCAGTATTCCTCTTGAAACATTAGCAAAGCCTAATTGCAGTTGCCAACCTGCCCACTATGCGTGGCAACTTTTGCCAAACCTCTTAAGGGGAGGTCTATGTTCAACAAAGGACAATTAACAGCTGATATGAATCAAAGACTTATTACCCCTTCAAGAATCTTCAGTTCTTCCAGGATCTTCTTGTCCCAGTGCGGAAAATTTTTTGCAGACTTAATTCTTTCAACTCTGAATAACTTTGATGGAGTAATTTCAGGATCCTTGTAAGTTTCTGGATTCCTGAAATTGAATGATAGGTTAAGATACTAATTTGGAATATATGAAATATAATATAATTTATTTTTATAAGGAGTCTGGCCTGAAGATATGAATGACATATGCGACGAACAGTACCTGGGATAATAAACTATACCACCAGGATATCGGATCCCACCAGGGGCTTTGTAACCTTTAAAACGACAATATGAGAGTAATGGATTAAAAGTCTGCAGTAATTGTTTATTCATTTTTAAAAATAAAAGCAAATCTTGTATTGGTGATTATGATAGAAAATAAATAATGTTTATATTCAAATAAATCAAAAACATTTATCTAATATCGCCTGAAGACGGGAATAAGCAGGGTTGCCAGATATAATTATTATGATTTCCTTAATTTTATTACCCAATCATAAACTTTTATTATATTATCTTATCTTATATTCGCATATGGGGTCAGCTAAGCCGTTTATTTTATTAACGAATTTCAATACATTTTTTTTTATAATCACTAACCGTACGACTAAAGAAAAAAATTTTTAACACCTGAATTTTTCATGGCGGTACCTATATTGGTATACTGTATTTTTTACTTAAAATTACGCAAAACATATTTTAGTTGGTAACGATGGCAATAAAAAAAAATGTTTAAAGTGTATGTACGTAGAAAGAGGAAAGTAAGCAAAATATATCAATACTATAGAAAGAGTTGCTATCCTTAATGTATGATAGATGGGTTTTTTCCCCTATATATCTCACTCTAAGATTTATATTAATATTTTAAACAGGAAGGTGATTCTCGTATATAGCTTATTATTATCTATGCAAAGCCGGGGTGAATCGCAAATACTGATAATGTTTATCGAAATTTATATATTTTCTTTTACAAATTTTTCAATATCTTGCTTAATCTATGATATAGTCGTATGTCTATGGAAACCAAAATGGGAACGACTATCAAATGTCAGTATGACATTTCATTCAAAATTAAAAAGTTTGTTAAAGTTTGAATGTTTGGTTTCATATTTTGTATCGTATTTATATAATATAATTGAAACTAAAGTGTTTTTGTTGTTGTTTTTGAGATACTGGATATATTACTTGATATTGGTATATGGTATAGAGAATAGTTAATAGTAAATGTAATATATACCATGTCCATACAAGATTAATTAGGCTTGTTAATATGTGACCAGACAGTTTCATTACCTAATTATTGAAAAGATAAATAATAAGAAAAAATAACTTCTTCATGAAGAAAGTACGCTTTGAAAGTCCTGTAAAAATCTTTGGAAACACAACCATGAATGAATCTGAATGCCATTCTCCACGCCCGTTTATTGAAAAACGTACAAACGTTACAACTGTTGGTTTTTATAATTATCCAAAATTATTACCTTATAGTCTGGACCCATTGGAAAGGTTTGAAAATAGTAATAGTATGCCCTATCCTCATATACAGAAGACTCCTGTAGAAAACTATAAAATCTGTGAGGGACAGTGGTCGTTACCTTCAAATGATTTGGAATTGAGTATGCTTGATGCTTCTAATCATGAGCCTAGGAAGCCATGCCAATATGTACCTATTGCTACTAATAATAATGACAAGAGGCAAAGTATTTTACCAGAAAACATGTTAAAAGTTTTATCATCTGTAGAAAATACTAATATGAAAACTTCTTCGAACATAATTAATGAGGACAACAGTTTTTTTATAAAACGTGGCAATGTGGCTAAAATAAATCATACAAATTCTTTGCAAAAGCAATTCAACAGGTTAAGTTTAGATAAAGAAAATAATCCTATAGCTAGAAAAATGGAATTAATAAAGCCTAGTCTTTTTAATCAAATTCCATTTAAGGATCATGTAAATAATGTATGTATGAAATCTTTTGTTGATACTACTACTACTGCTAATACTGATGTGGGTCATGATTGTAGTTGTCATCATTGTATTAAAATTTCAAAAAATAATATGTGCTCTATGCAACAACAGTCTCACAAGATCATAACCAACCAATGTCAAACAATGAGACATTCAAAAACACCCCAGCTTTGTGCTTGTATAGTTCAATCTTATTCTCCTACTAGATGTACTCATTGCAGTCATTATGTTCCTTTGAATCAACAAGTAACATACAGTTGTAATAGTCAAGAAAATTCAAGACATACTCCTCTAAATATGGTTAATAAAAAAACCTGGGCTATAGAAAAGTATGAATGTGACAATAATGCTAAGAGTATGGAGGTAGAGAAACCTGTTAATTTGAAAGAAAAGAGAGAGCCAACTGTATCAGATTTGTTCAAAATAATTAAACTACAGAATGAGCAATTACAGCTGCTTCAAGAGAAAGTTGACAGGTTTATTTCTATGAACAAAACACCAAATTCTCCAATTGAAAGTTGTTCATCTGAACATATTGCTCTTGAAACTGTTGATTGTGAACAACATAAAATATCAATTGGAGTTATGACAAGTTTTGAAATGGTGAGAACTTCCACTGTAATCAATAAAGAGGTTGTGAAACAAAAAAGTGAAAATGCCCAAATACAATGCAATAGGTCACAGATAAGTGTTAAAGAAGTAATTTCAAAATCACAACCTGTGAATCAAAACTTTTTAGAGGGCATAGCTCCCATTTCCAAGACAGTACAGGTTGAAAGAGATGATTTGCAGTATAAAAATGCATTAAATGGGCTCTCTGAACAAGGTGTAGAGGAAAAAACATTGAATGATTTAAGTTTGCACAATATCCATGTTGATAATGAAATCACCCCTCTCATGTCTCCTGAACAATCTTTATATTTGGATATAAGGGATTATAGCGAGTGAGTTTATTATCTTATTACATATTTAACTTTTATCATATTATTAGATTCTGAAATGTTTATCAAATTATTATAAAAAAAATTTAACAATTGTAAATTTTTTTACAGTTCTGATTGTGGCAGCAATGACCAATCCAATGTAGGATGGACATATTATAATAAAGTAATGGTAAATATAAGAATATTTTGTCAGAAATATATCTCTATATAGTCTATGCACATATAGAGGAGAATATTCATAAAAAATAAAATACAAGTGTTTAACTAGTTAAAAAAAAGGAAAATGTATTTTTATATTTTTATGTATATACGATTCTTTCAGAAAGGCCTTTTGCATAAAATTAAACATTTCAGACTTTGCCATGTTAATTTTGTAACTAATATTAATATCAGTTGTATAAATGAACTTGCAGTGTTTTGGTTTGAAGGAATGGAATATGCCAGTGAAATGACAAGATATGGAGGTATAAAATATCAGTTCTCAGGAATGGCAACACCTGAGGGAAACCTAGGAGTTACAGTGTATTCTGTGATTTTCATAGTCCTGTTCATATCTATAGATGATGATTAGTACTTTTCTTTAAGTGGACTGTCATCTAGTTTGCAATTAAAAGTTGCACAAAAAAAAAAAATAAGCTATTCTACTAATCTATATAAACTATATTCCATTCTTTAACACACACATGTAAATGGAATGTTGCAAGTTTCGAACATGCCCTCTTCTGCAATGTGTAGAAATAATTTGCAATTCTAAATTACACAAAAAAAGCAATAAGCTACTCTACTAATCTATCTTCCATTCTTTAACAGACACATGTAAATGGAATGTTGCAAGATTCAGACATGCCATCTTCTGCTAGTGCAATGTATAGAAACACAAGACAACAATGTGTACAGATGCAAATTGACAAAACGAATGTTAGTGTGACAAAGAGGTAAAGTTATATATTTATATATTATTTGATATTTATATTTTAATCTGAAATTGTTACTAATTTTATAAATGTGAAATTAAATTTATTTGTTACCTCTTGACTTTACTAGTTTTATTATTTAATATATAAATAATTTTGTCAAATTTAGAGTGAAATTTGGCGATGATCCACTTGTTATACATCAACCACATATTTATGCTACCTCTACTGATACAAGTTTGAAGATGAACCAGCTTGCAGCTAAGTACCTGAAAGGTAGAGCCCAACCATTGGCATCTCAACAGCCTATTCCAGTGGCTAAATCTACTGTACCAATTGACATGTCTTTTGCTACAAGGAATTATATGGAGAGACATAAATTATTGCAAGGTATTCATTTATTTTATTTCATTTATATTTATTCAAGGTATACATTTGTCATGTATTATTTTATACTATAGTATACAACTACTAGTTGCAAAAGTACTTAGATAGTTGAATGAATTCCAACCAAGGTTTCTTCTAGAGATTGTATGAAGTTCACCAAGAAGACATGTTAATGTTTCAATTACCCAGTTAATTTAGTAGAGAATAAACACCAAATTTTCAGTTTTATCATGCTCGTATCACACTCCCCTTCCCTTTCACACTTTTAGAAAATTTTTAATTCTCCCTCCCCAACACCCAAGCGACCATTTTTACCTGAAAGTCAAGAAACAGTAATGAATAATGACAATGAAAATAAAATTAAAAAGACATACAGTACATTTGAGAGATAGAGATTCATCATTAAAACATAAATGGGTCGGCAACATATATTTTCCTAGCTTTTTATGTAAATAAAAAAATAATGTTACTTAACGCGTTGTTAGTAGCTCTCTCCCGTTCCTGTAAAGAATCGTAATGTAATGTTTTATAAGACTCCTCTCCAAATTGCTTTACGTAATACATGAACGCCCCCATATACTCGTACTTACTTCGTGACCATAAGAAGATGTTATAATTGACTTGAATTCATACTTTACAAAACTGTGTCGCGACCACAAGAAAGAGAAGTGAACTATTAATTTTGTATACTTTCTTTCCAGGTACACCAGATTTACCAGCTAAATCGCCACCAGTAACTGATTTACCCAAATTTTTAGATATCACTGCTTTAAAGCAACAACCCAAGTTATTGTAAATATGTTGCATATAATAATATGGTTGAATTTACGTAACGAAATAAGAACACAATTCTGAACAGACATTTATTTAAACTTCAGAGAAAATAACAGAGTAAACTCCTAAATTGTATAGGTATAATGTTCTCATCTGTTTTTGGAACAGTCAACATTGATTATATTTATATGTTCAGTATCATTTAATTATACAACTCCGGCTACATTATTAAATATATTTTTATAATTGTTTTACTTTTGTTTTGAATATCACATTTTAGTGGAAACGAGATGTGTTAGTGCAGTAATGAATAGGCCTATGAATCCCAACGTCTTTACAAATATTGAACATTATAATTTTAAGTAATCTTTAATTCATTGTTAGAGGTATTTAAATTTATACAAATTGTACTTCTTTAATAATGATAAACAGAAATTTAACAAAGTATGTTAAAAAGTTAATTTATTTACATACGAAGAAATTTTAGATGTTTAATTTTATACGTAAAAAAAAGTTTGTGCTTTTTTATATTGATGTCACATACACAACTGTATGACATGATTATGTAAGTAAATGAATTTTTGTATGTAATCTATTTTGACTAATTGTTTATTTGTCAATCCCCCTTACTTAGAAAAATTAGCCTACTTACGTTAATTAATGATTAATTTATAAATTTGACATTAAATGTCAAATCCATATAAAAAGACTACACATTATTTAGTGACCGACAATATTTATTAGCATTTGTAAGTAAGGGGGATGCTATTTAAAATTTAAAAGTGACCTCGTAGTCAGTAAAATAATATGATATTTTAGCTACTTCAATATTCTACACAAAAATATCAGTTTTTAATGTTATTTAATGTATATGTCCACAGTAAATTAATATTCACATTGTTTTTCTTTTATTCCTCAAATTAAAACAATACTTCAATTTTATTAAATATCTGTTCGTATATAGATTTATGAAAACTGGACACCAAAATAACAATTAAAATACATACCTTATATATATTAATAGTATTTCTTTCATTATATTATTTAACTTATAAACCGCAAATCCATTGTTTATTATTAAATAGATCTTCTTATGAACTATCAGTTTGGTTCTTCTTCTTTGGTAGATTTACATATTCCGTTCCATAATATCGGTACATATTCTATCGATACATATAAGCTAATCCAGTAGTACTGTGATGTAGTTAATACACAGGACTGGTAACTACTTGCTACTTTTTCATTAAATTGTTTTAATTAACTCCAAAAATATCGTTATCATATTATGGAGTATTTGCCCACGGTACATGGATATATTTATATTTTATGGCAAATAAGCCGATGGTTTACCCGATGGAAAGTATAAGTAAATATGATAATATGAACAGCACGTGGATATGGATTATACTTTGATACTCGCGGTATCCTTTTTGCTTTGTCATTCCTTAGGACTAAGCTTATCTTACGCTTATATACCCAGTAATTGTACTACTATAACCTATTATTTAAACCAAAACAACCTTGTAAGTACAGCTGCTTGGAAATTGTTAAAAATACAGAATACTAGTCGAAATTGCTAGCAATATACCCAGTCAGGTTGACCTCTCCGTGGTCCCCCCGCTGGAAACCATCGGTCTGAATTCCAGGTGTATTCATCACAATGGGCTAACTGAACTGTTTTTTTATTCTCACCTATTATCGCTCACTGGTGACTCGCCAGCGTATATTGTATGCGCAGGTGAGATTACCATTTCATTATCTTCCTTTGACAAAAAAAAAAAAACTTAGAAATCATAGTTCTGTGTACATACAACACAGCATACATAGTACAGAAATATTAGTCACAACCATAATGTTCGCGACATTATTTGTATATATCGTAATTTATAGTTGTTAAGTCCTAGTTAATCGTTTTGTATTCTGTTATTTTATATAGATTTGCATAGATTTAAGATAGTGTAAGTTAAATAAAGTATTTCTTTGTGTGTTGTCATTATTACCTACGAATAGAAATAGAAATTGTAACAATAAATAGAATTAAGAAATTGTAAATTGCAATAAATAGACGCTATAGAGTACCGATCTGAAGAGACACGCGTCTCGTTCATTCTCGCCCCGTCCCGCTCGCACAGATCGCTAACGCGAGTTGGAAACGTTATCATGCGAGCGGGCGGGTATAAAGATAGGCCGCCTCTCGTCGAGCGGCATTCGCTTCCGGGCAGCGACGCACTACACTCGAGAAGAAATAGGACAAGAAGAAAAAATACTCCTTCAGACGGTACCGGAGGCTTCAGAATAGTAATCCCTGTGTTTCACTCCAGCCTGAACCAACGCCCCTACAGTCCACGCTCACCGTACGGCAGTCCACACCGCACACATAAAAATAAATGAATTTATTCTTACGGTATATCTGTAACATACTCTATTCTATTATAATGACACATGACTGGTAAACGATGATAAATATATGTACCAACCATGAATCAAGATGATGATAAATCGATTGCAAAGACAATGATCAAAATCGGTTTTGAATTAGCAAAGATGTTGCGTAAAGTAGATACATGAAGAACTTCCTCTTAGATGTCTCTTAAAAAAAATTGTTATTTAACATTTGTGTAAAGACACAATTAAAATGGTAACTTTTTAATTTAATAATACGTTTCTCCAAGGAACTGCAGCCAACAACTTCAGCATAATAAGTTTAATATCTGTATCGTCAAATATCTAACGATTCTTTCTACACACATTTATAACAATAGAGAAATCAAGCAGGGTACCTAATTATTTAAAATCGTTTACCAGCCTATCTACCACCAAAATTTTTCCGAAATTTTCGAGCTGATATAAAAAAAAACTTGGTGTTAAAGTTATGAAAAAGTGCTGACAAAATGGTACGATTTTGATCGTTCGAAGACTATGAAACTTGTTTCATCGTACGCACGAAATTCGGGTTCGAAATTTCGGAATTAGTTTTTGTGATAGACCTCCAGGTCACGGGTAGTAAATACGCGTATATCAGAAGTAACATCTAATGCACCTACCTATTTGTATTTTTTTCACTACATCTTATTTACATTGAAGATAAAACTTGTATTAACACTTAAATAAGGTTTCAATTCTCTTGCATCGCAAAATATTACAGTTTTATATTATTAAAATCTAGAAAGATAACCAAATAATTGGATGGCACTTCTTTTCTGGTATCGAATAGACGTTAAACAGATAAAACGATACAATCTTATTTTGTAACACTAGAAACAACTAGATATTTATACATCACTTTTTGTCTTACATTTCGCTCTTTGAGTAGAACGTTCAATATGAGATTCCGTTTAAAATCTAGTTACTTAATATATTTATGTATATATAGACATCAGTATTACAGTAGTATCTGTAGGCATAGTACAGATCAGAAGGTATACTCTGGTAGATGGTAAAATATTTGAGTAGGTGTTTTTTTGCGTAAATGAGTTAATTTTTTTTTTATCTATCTAAATCAGTTTGTTAACTAAACAAAGATAAATTTATGAATAGTATTTTTTTTTCTGATTTTACTTTGTCTAATATTTGCTAAATATTTGGTATTACAAGTAATGAAATGGTATAAAAATTATACATTTTCAATGATAAGAAAACTGGCAGTGTCAATTAGAGATAACTTCGTTCACATTATAATAACATAGAACATAGGCTTCTCCCATAGACTCCTATATAGAATAGTCTTAATCCATCTGTATAACTTTTTGCATCCGTTAACATTTGAGCTCTTTGATGCACCTTGGAAGGTCCTTCTTAATTTATTGAGTCTCCGTCTGATGTTTACGGGTTTAATTCTCGTATAATATAAATATTTGTATCCGTGCATTTATGTCTACATTTTTGAGAGTTTTTTTCATAATACTACGATACCTAGCCACATTGCTCTGAGTGAATACAGGAATAGTATGGGTCTACAGGGTCCATAAATGCAATCGATCAATCAATTGACATAAATGTATAATTATATATTTAATATTATTATGTTATGTATATAATTATGTATTGTTTTTTTTGTCTGTTTGCTTATTATGTTGCAGAGTCAATTATATTTTCTATTATATCTGTCTAGCCATATGGTGTTAAGCCCGCCATTTACACTGTCTAGGTGTATTTAAGTGAATAAATAAATAAATAATTGTTTCTTATTGCCATTGCAATTCAATGCTTGTTGGCTAAGCATAGTACTGTTGTCTCATGGAGTAATTAAATTTATTAACAGTATTTACCATCACCAGAGAATTAATGGGGCATAAATAGATAAAATTTTTTGTATATAGAATCGAAACATTGACCATTGAGGTCTTTTGAAAAAATTATTAGACCACGACGCTCTTTTAAAATAATATTTCTCTACAACAAACATGTAATAACTATAGGGTAAAATTGGAAACATTAGGATCCTTTTAAAGATGTGTTTTAATATTTTTTTCCCAAAGAAATATGGGTTGATAAACGACAAAATATTTTCGACCTTCCCTTAAAGATGGTGCATGCAGCTGTTAATATGGGAGGCTAAAATTTTTTGGTACTTTTAATTGATTAATTTTATTCTAATTTAATGGTAGAACACTGCCTGAAAAGGATGCTACGATATCGATCTCACCCTGTATATAGAAATTAATTCCACGATATTTTATGTTTATTCTGATAGATAGTTCTACATCATCGTATATAACATTGACATCACCCATTTATCACATTTTTACTAATATTAAAATCATTCATATACTCCATCTAATTTACAAGAACATTTATCTAATAATAATCCGACTACAAATTTTAGCATAATATCTTTTTTATAGGTATACTTAGAGTTGCCATCTGCCCGCATTTCTCGGGCTTTGTCCTCGTTTGAAAGGTGTCCGTGATACTCTAGTTGATTGATATATTAGAAATTATCAATCACTTCGTTGACGTTAAATAATCGTCGAAAATATTGATATTACTTTTCTAGTTAAATAAAGCAGAGGCAGTAACAAAAAATATTGTTGATCGTTGGTTAATTGGCTTTTACATAATAAAAAATTTGCCACAAATACTGATTCACAGTATTTATTAGCGACCACAAACTAATTGCAAGATGCATAGTCAGGATTTTGTATTAGGAATCTTTTAAAGTCTGCATTTAAATTTTTAATTTCTGAATCAGCTTTATATTTTCTATTCTAATAGTTGTGTTTACTGATTTGCTGTTTTATTTTTTTCAGATGGCAACTCTAGTATACCTAGGATAGTGGATGTTGATATAAGGACGGAGTATACTCCGTCCTTAAGATATCAACATCCAAAATTTTGTTTATCAACATTTAAAACCTATATAACTGAGTTTATATTTTAAAATTGTGCACCTGGTTCCATTTACTAATAATAGGCAAATAATAGGGTATATGCCGACTACTTTTGGTACCTGTAGGTAGGTAGATATTTTAAGTAATAAACACAGAAATGGAATATCTATAAATACCATAGATGTCAAGAGTAGTATAATTAAAACTGGTTTCCGTTATTTGTCAAATTTCAAACAAAAAATATGTTAAAACACCACATACTTTGCCTTTACACTTTCATATACGTACATATTTATCACGCCTGTGTCTCATTAGGGTAGGTGGATACAATGTTACGCCAAATGCTTCGATTTAAACAGACCTCTTTCGCTTCTTTCATATTCATTAATCTTTTCATATACGCTCGTTGGTTAAACGTACTTTAAATTTGACCCTTCCTCAGCACGTTGTCTATTTGATCAACATACGTACTTTTATGACGGCTCCTACCGACATCTCCACTCATTCGTGCTCGATAAATCTCTTACGTAATTCTTCTTTCATCCATCCTCTCTAAACGACCAAACCAACGCAACATTATCTTTTCGAATTTTGTCACTACATCGTCTCTGAGTCCACATTTCTCTCGAATCCCAATATTTTTCACTCTATCTTTTCATGTAATACCACACAATTTTTTTTAAAGTTCTTATCTCTGCAGTATTTATCTTGATTTCATGTTTCTTTTGTCATGCCCACGTTTCATTTTCATACATAAGTGTTGGTGTTAGTACTCTCTGAATTATGGCAAGGTAACATTTACTCGATATATTTTTAAGATATATATTTTATTCCTTTTTTTATAACATAATTCTACAATTTCAGTGATACGTTAGTAAAAACCTTGTTAAGTATATAAGTTACATTTTAATGCAATAAGAAATATATACATATATAAACAAATAATAATTCAGAAATCATTAAGAGAAAATACAGACGTTGCTAAGTTTATGGGAAGCACCCTCTTAATAAAAGACTTCAGTCAATATATTCTTTGGCTTCTAAATTCAAAATACAAGTATTTTATAGAACGTTAAGACATTGCTAGCAGGCATATACCCTTTTATTATTGTGGGGAATGTCTGCTTGTTTATAATGTTTCGTCGTCGCCTCCGCCCCTCGATTTGCTGTCCAATCTCAATTCTGCTAGCCTTTGCCGGATACTGTTTGGCCTATAATAAATTAGTTGTAATTAATTATAAAAGCAAAATATTAATTAATGGTCACAGACAATCAGGTACTTTTAAAATACCAGTACGGCAAATTGTTTAAATTCAGTTGAGTTATTAGTATATATTGCTTTTTGTACCGGTATTTTGGCTCCGGTAGTAAATATAAAACATAGCTAGTAAATAGATAAATTAGTGCGTACCTATGTGAGAAGTAGGAGGTGACGACTTGGTCCGCCGACACAGACTGACGCTGGTACGCGCCGGCGCTCAGGTTGCTCTGTGGGATCTTGTAGATCCGCACGCATCGGCCGCTGTTCTCTGGCAACACTGTGAACATAGATATAATGTAGTCATATACCTGTTTGTTGTAGTATGATATTAAAGATTTTATTTAAGGCGATAAGAAATAATGATGATAAAAAAATTATTAAATATAAATAAATTTATTTCGTTACTTCTTGCAAGAAAAGGTTAGTGTCACTTTTCACATAATAATACATAATGCCTTGCTTATACAAGTGCATGTATTGTACATAGTATATTTTGTACATGTACATTAGTTTTTATCTACAATTTGTACTTTTTCTGCACTAGATTTATTAATCTTTCTATTGAAAAAAAAACTCAAAAACATTCAAAAAATATTTTACATAACTAAAAAACAATTTGCATTTATTTTAAACATGGAAAATATAGCTGGTAATATACTTATACCCAAAAGAAGGTCAGACCTGTTTTATGGTATATAGGCATGTTCCGTAATACGTAAAGAATACATATATATATATATATATATATATATATATATATATATATATATATATATATATATATATATATATATATTATAAAGTAGCTGATTAGATAAAGGTTAATTGTCCCTACCATCACTATATATAATATACGATTATCAAAACTATCTTATCTCCTATTTTTTAAGTTGAAGGGAATGATACACATTTATAAAATTTCATTAAAATTAATTGAACGAGAAATTTCGAAATCAATGATGATCGTGACACGAGACCTTTGTACTAATATATTTAACAAAATAAATTATATGATTTACCGTGTGGCGAACTTGGCGGTGATATAGGCGCCATGCGCTGTAGTGGTGGTCGGATGTTCTCTTGTTCTGAAGATATAGAGCTGCTTCTGCTAGAGGCCGAGTTGTTCTCAGGCGTCCGGTTGTTCTGGTTGGATTCGGTCCTGCTCAAAGTTTATTGTTATTTAACACATTTTAATATGAGATAGAGTGGGCCGTCCCTTCCTTTCCCGTGAGTGTTTTAAGAGGGGACTAAGGGAACTTAATTGTCGAGGGATGGACAGCAGCATTTCTCTTTAAGTATGACCAAAGTCTAATTGCGGTGCCAACCTAGTTGGTTTTTAATACCAACTCATGTTGATATTAAATAAAATACATTAAATAATTGCATATCTAATTTGTGGTTATATTACTTAAACGATACAAAAATAAACATCTCTACAAATAAATGCGAAATAAAAAAAAAAACTTAAATTTAAGATGTAATTTCAAATTCATCATCATCATCATATCAGTTGTTATCCATCCATTGCTGAATATAGGTTTCGTCCGTAAGGGAGGAATGGGGGAACTTGTCAGCAGTTGTCACGCTTGGCAGGCTGGCAACCACAGTTAGGTTTTAGTGGTGTTTTTAGAGGGACAGCGTTGCCCATTGCTCGACAATGAAGTTCCCTTAGTCGCCTCTTACAAGACCCACTTATTTGATGTAAACACGAGCAATTAAAAATTGACTGACTTATCATTGTCGTCCTCGTCGAGTGAGTAGGGCGGGTGCGGGGGCAGCGGTTGCTTAGCGGCCGCGTGCCGCGCCAGCTCATACTCGTGCAGCAGACTCGAGTCCAGCTCGCGGCTCAGCGGCACGTACTCTGGCGCGCACGCCACGTAGAATATGTCCTGGCGTTAATGCTATTCATCAGTATTGTTTATTTTTAAACATTGTACACTTATTATTAACAATACAAACACGAGGACCGGAATTGATTCGGGTCTGGGTGTGTTTGAAACGATTTTGATGCTATTTCTATAGAACTAATTTTAACGTAAAAAGAAATTATGAAATAGTTTACAAATAACCGAGATATGAGGTAATAAATATAAAAAAATTCAACCGAAATGAGAATCTCCTTTTCGAAGTCGGTTAAAAATATAAATATGACTGTCTCTGCCTATCTACTCACCCTTCTTCCACAAAGTAACTTCAGTCCGGGAATACAGGCCGCGTGTACAAGGGACCCGTTGGCTACTAATCGTATTTCTAACAAGTCTTCAGCGAACGCCATTATGTAAGGGAATGCACACACTGAAACAAGGAAAATAGCTAAGTATACATGTAAGTAGTATAGTATTATATATACACAATGTGATAGTGGGCGTATCCAGCTAAGTACTTTTCAATTTAATTAAATAGGATTTAGCTATTAAAACTGATAAATAACAAATTTTATTTCGAAAGTCTAAATTGTTACGTTATCACTGCGGATGAGCCACGATTTTTTTTAATTAAAAAAAATCCTAATCAGACTAGTATTGTTAAGGGGAGATTTGATCTCATTATTTTCATTAGTACACTTGTGTGAACCGGGCATTTTTTAAAGGATTACAACCATTGGTATTAAGTTTATTTTAGCTTAGCTTATTTTAGGAGGCGACCTGCCCCTTAAAAGGGCGCATATGCACTTTTAGACATGTTTTTGTGACGTTCCTGATCCTAGAGTGGGTAACGGACAATTATGGACTGGGCACAGTCCACTCTGCCACTTTTAAATCTTCTTGGGATTATTTATCAAATAAATAAGAATTATTATTATACAGGAAGATAAAAATGCTATAATTACCAACAGCTGCGGGCACGGTTGTCCAATGAAAGTCGTATTCACCGTCACTCTCGAGCCCCTTACTGGTCAACCTTTCAAAATGACACGTATCTGAAAGGAAAGTTCATTTTATCGTATCTACTTGCTGTAATAATGCAGCTTTGCTGCATCAACTAGTGTTTAAAAGTTTACACCACTTATATAAGTAACGGTGTTGTCCCGGTACAGATTGGGCCACCGCTTATTTCCGGTGGGTGTCGTAAAAGGCGACTAAGGGAACTTAATGATCGAGGGACGGGCAACAGTGTTCCTTTTAAAACATCACCAAAGCCTAATTGTGGTTGCCAATCCAACAGCCAAGCATGGTAACTATTGGTAAAACTCTCTTTAAGGGGGAGGCTTTTTCATGTTCAGCAGTGAGCAATTAACGGCTGATATGATAATGATGATATAAGTAGAAATAAAGTTAGTTAATGAAATTTATTATAAGCATTACGAAATAGTATTTTTTCGTCATTCTACCGCCTAATTCGAAATACAATTTGAGTTGAAAAGAAGGCAAGAAACTCCATGCTTGTTTTGTTCAAACAAAAGTTGATTTTAAGTGTAAAATTAATCTTACTAAGATAAATGTAAAGTTTAAGTGTTTGTTATTCAATAACACTTTAACGCTTGAATGAATTCGAATGAAATGTTGTACACAGATTATATTTATTCTAGATTAACAATTAGAATTGTCTACTATTATTTAAAATTGTATACTTACGGTTATAACATAAAACTATTTGTCCATCCCTTTCATCACCGATGTGTAGTGCGTTGACCAGTGTGCCTCGGCGAGGTCCACTATCCTCAGAGTTTTCTACACGTTTTACAGACTGTAATATTTGCGTGAGAATATCATGAGATTATGAACTTTATACATTTAAAAAATAAATATCATATACAACACTTTTTTTACGACTAGAAGAATAATATTGTTTTTTTTTTCAAATTTTATAATATAATAATTAATATACAAGTTCTCACAATTCGTTCCGACCGACGACGGTACGCTTCCGTACACAGTAATTTCCCTGCCATATCTCATCCTTCAAACCGAAACGCTGTAGCTATATGAAAATATCTGATCAAACAGAAAGTAATTTATTTATATAATGCTGATCGGTAGAGACCTTTGTCATATTTATTTTTTATTATCCCGCCCTGCTACTTGGAATGTATATACAAAAGAAATAGAATTGCTGTAGATAAAGCACGAAGAGTTTTAGATGTTATACTGTATTTCAGAAAAACATTCGGCAAGAAGCTTCACGTTTCGTATTCCTTGAAGAAAACTTTCTCGTTTAAAATATTAAATTTCGGGTTGACATACTTCATTAGAATGGAGAAGTCTATGTACATAATAATCACACGATGAATTATATCTTTACTAGTTATGAACAGATTTTAATATATTTTTTTTATATTTCAATAAGGTTTACTCCCGTGTTAGTACCATATACCTTTTGTCATGTTGAAGTTGTAGTTTTATGGTGGTGCAAAATCTTAATTTGTGGATTAATTTTATTGTGGAAAAAACAATAACATACTTGTCCAGCACTCGTTTCTAGGACTTCCCAATGGTGCTTGTAACCAACTACCATCGTTGCTACTTCCCCGTCCATTAGTTTAATCAATACAGGCGATTCGCTTAGTTGAATGTCCTGAAAATAAGTTGAAAATAACTTCTACTATCGAATACCACGGATTCCATAAGTACACATGAAGCAATTCGCCGTTTCATTCCCATGTAAACTGCTAAAGAAGCTCCATCCTATCATTATCATTTATACTACTATTCCTCATTGGTCATACAAGTGCAAACCCATCTTGTGATAAAAATAAATATATATAAAAATATATTGTTAAATCTATACTTTGTTGACTGTTATTTATACATTCATCATTACCTATATTTATTCATTTCCAACTAATTACATATAAAATAAAAACTAATTCTAATACACGATTTCCATATAAAAGGATCGAAGTTAAATGAATGGTACAAATAGTATTACGAAAACTAAATGCATTAAATAGCACAAGTAGAAGGTATTCTTAAAGTGTATACTTACTTTGATATGTGTGTATTCGAAACCCATTTCATTATCAGTCTTTGATTCTTCCGTCATAAGCATCACCCTTCTACCAACAGCCACCGCAAGGATAGTTTTACCATTTTCACCTAAAAAATATTCAAGTGATAGTTAAGGTATATCGATGTAATTCAAGGATATGTAAGTGTTGGCTGGCAACACAAATTTTTTTTTATAATAGCAACATTTTTGTCCTCCCGCAATAAACGCCAACAGTGTGTTTGCGATTCCGTATTTTTTACAAATATTTTTATTCTTCACATTGACATTTTAAAAAAGTTACAGTTCACAAAAACTACTTCTTCTACTAACTGTAGTATAATTTTTATCTGACAAAATAAGCAAACAATTGATGGTCAGTTTAAGAGTCTAATACGTTACAATACCTTGAGCGGTGCAGATTGTCTAATGCTCAAAATCGTCTATTACTTATTTTTCTCCAAAATTTATTTATTATGTGCTAATTTGTAATTATATATATAATATAATTACAAATTTAATTAAATGTTTAAATTTATCATGCACTCACAAAAACAAATGTTTGTTTTGTCGAACTTGGGAATCAAAACCACAACTATATAAAATGCTACACCATACAGCACTAGTAAATACACTTGCCGTAGTAAAAGCTATGTACCTGACTCAAGTAGGTCAAAATAGTGTGCAGTTTTCGTGCGCGGCAGACGCGCATGTTTGCAATCCTGCAAAGGGCGCATGGCCCATGCGCCGGCGCACAGTTCCGGCAGCGGCAGCGCATACAGACCCGCGCCTCCTGCGCCGCCCCCCGCAGTCCCACTGGGGCCCAGTACGCGCGTTCCCACGCGGAACAACCCAGCACGCTCACTCACACGTGCTGCGCGGACGCAACCCTCCCCACCGGAGGACTACTCGGGTTGTGCCGCTTTCTGAGACCAGGGAGCTTATAAGCGTTTAAAACATATCACTTTTAGACATTATATATTATTATTATATATTAATTTATCCTGCAAATTAGTATTAAATCATAGACAAAATGAAACAGTTTTTTTTAGTCGCATGACCAAAACCTATCAAGTTTTGAAAAGTTGTTAATAAACTCTTTAAGCATCTGTAAAAATAATGGTCTGGTCTTCAAGCTAAGGGCCTTCAATACACCTTAGTACCTAAGACGACCATTTAGACTAAGCAACTAGAATTAACAGATCCATATTAATTTAGAAATAGTTTCCGTAATTCGTTGGATTGAAAATCAAAACTTCCAAAAGCTCAATCAAGCATACGTCAGTAACTACCAAGAAGACTGTAAGGGCAGATTACTGCAAAGATTTATGTATAAAGTTTTATTTTTATTAGTGATAATATTTATAAGTATCATAGAGAATTTTACAATTGTTTTGAAGTGTTTATACTTAGGTTGATTACCCACATTATGAAAAGTAGTTTGACATGATAAATGTTTTGTAAAACTAATGTTTTGTATTATTAAGAAGTTTGACCATAACAACTACAAGTATTTATTATGTAGATATACCTTCTAATATATAAGTATTGGAAGTAGTTGATAGTAGCAATCGTCCTTCAGTCATTTGTTCTGCACAAACCGGTGTGGCAGGTAACGGTGCTGCGCGCCATACACGACCTTCCCAAGGAGCTCGACGAGAACCACCAGATCCTTTAATTTATTGGAAACAATTGTTTAAGATGTAGATAGGTATTTAAAGGATAATTAATCTAATAAATATTAAAAATATTTAAGATTAATTATTCTCTAAGTGCTATCCTTAATCTATAATTCGCTTAGAAGAAACATGAAAGTAAAGTAAATGTTGCAGAAATAAAAAAAATTGAGTACTATGCAGTGTATCATTAAAAACAATAATTTAATATAATAAACAATAATATAATAAATATTAATGGGAAATAAGGTGATTAGAGAGAAGCGTGTCCAGAAAAAATTATGCAGTGACAAAGGGAAAAACAATAAGGATAAAGGACTCTATATGTGTTTATTTGGTTATATTGAAAGGATGGATGAAACAATAATTATGAAAGGGTTAAATCGATAGCGAATCAGTGAAGGGGTCGGTAGGTTGAAGGTATTTCGACCAAATAGGTAATATGCTGAAAAACTGGCGAACTGGTATGAATAGATTGATGAATGTAGAAGTCAAAGAGGTCAGTATAAATCGGACATTTTGGGGTTCCATTGTTTTTGTTTACGCCAATGGGAGATAGGCGCGTTATGTATATGTATATATGGACATTTGTTATATAGAATAGGGATAATTCTAATTAAAAAGAAAATTTAAAAGTCAATAAAAGTTCAATAGATTGACAGTGAAGATATAAATAAATAGTGAAGGAAACAAAAAAGTAACTACTATAGATATACCCGTAGAGCGACGATCTCAAATGTGTGCATCATATTAGTGGTTGCAGATAGCTCAGGTGTATTTGCTATTTCCAGGTTGTCTTTTTTTTATACAACTTAGAATGACAAACAAGCTGACGGCCTACCTGATGGCAAGTGATAACCTTCGCCTATAGACATGAACAGTACCATGGACATAATAGAGTATACTGTTAAGCCCATGATACCCCCCATGCATTGCCATTCCTGAGGACTCAGATGTTATTCCTCTGTACCCTGTAAATTCACGCCATATCCAAAACACAGCCATGCAAACACAATTATA